TCGTTGTAAAACCAATACCTTTTCCCGCAGCATCAAACCGAAAACTCAACTCCTGTCAATATTGTATTGTTGATTTTTCTGTCCCGTTTATTAACATTTATATGGGAATCGAGAGGAAAATGCCAACACATATATGTATAAAAAATAACAATTTACAATTGTAATGAAACAACCCCTCTGGCGAACCACGTTTAGTTGAAAAACCAACTATATGCAAGATAAGATCAAAGTATTGAAACAATTAATTGTATTAAAAAACTACAATCACTCAACGTTATGAATGGCAAATTAAAATTTTTTCTACTCGAAAAAAATGTAAAAACTTTTTATTTATATGTTGTAAGTTTTGTTACAATTTTGAAGGCGATTTTTAAAAACAGACGTGCAGTGAACATTTTAAGACCAGTTCTTGGTCTTCAGCAAAAAAATATATCTCTTCATAGGTTTTTGAAGGGAAAATTCGCGGTAGAGTAAGTCGACGTATTGGAAGAAAATATATCAATAATCTCTCATAATTTTACCAGGGAATATCGATTTATCCTTATTGCCATTTCTTCCCCTCGTTTTTTCCATTTCCGCCTTCCCTCCATCTTCCACCCGCCATCAATGAATTTCCTATTTCTCTATCTCTGAAGTTTCACTTCAAACGCGTGTGGCGACCAATCACAGTTTTTTAACCCCTGGCCATATTTAACGTTACGATAATATTATTTAAAAAAATAAGCAAAATTTAAGTTTTGAAATAGTATCATTCAAATCACGTAATCAGTATTTCGACCACTAGTAGGTCACTACACCATTAAAAATAATTCCAAGATTACTATTGTGGTTAGTTAAATAGTTTATTTTAAGCCGATTGTTCAGTGATAGTGTTTAAATTTATATAAATTTCCCAACAAGTGGGTCGTCGCTAAAAGTTGTTAATACGGATTAATTTCAAAGTAGGTGCAAAGTAGATGTTCAAGCATTAATGTAGTTTTCATCGACTTAATGTAATGGTCTAATAATATTACAATATTAATTGACCAGCTGTAAATCGCATATGTATAAACTACTATACTTCCCTCGAAAAACTCTTTTTTAAATAACCTATTAGTTTCTTTGTAATTACATTGTTACAATAATATCATGCAAATTGAACTTTGGATGGGAAATAATTAATATTCATTTACACCTGGACAACCGTTAATGTCATTATTTATTAGTGCTGTATACATTATAGACTCCAGTGGCGAACGACATCCGAAACCCATTATATGAAGCTTACCTACTTTTCAATTACAATTAATTTTTATTGTCATAATTTTTAAGTATTTTATTTTTGAATAACATGTTTACCTCGTTAATGAAATAATTTAAATTAGGTAAATATTTAACTATGACTTAAAGACATTTTTTTAAAAAAAATCCAGCGCAGTGGAAGAGTCGTGGTATAGCGGACACAGGCTGATATCATTGATTAGTAGGAATATTTATTATAATTGAAAGTGATAAAATCATTTTACGAATAAACACTTTAATATGCGAATTTGTAAGTAATAAAACACACATATAAGTAAGATTTATTATTATAAGACCCGAAGGGCTTTGTTGTACAATTGAGTGATATGTTCACAAAACGATAAATCACTAGATAAAATAATACCTGAGCCCTCCACATGATTGAGTTTAATTAAATTAACACCACCTATTTCATAACAAAAAGAGTCAAGAGTCAATACTAACCGAAATTCAATCTTAAAATTATTGTAAAAGGTCCGTAATATATGTATGCTTAGGGGCAATATTTCAATCTCGCGGAATACTAACTTTCCGAATATGAACCGAGGCAACGATTGTTAGTCTGCGTGGCTGGTAAACTTCATCATATTACTCGTGCATAGTGTATAGCTTATCTTTGAAGCGCACGCACATGTCAGCGATAATATTATAATTTTACCACAACAAATACCTCTCTGTATTTCAATATAACATTGAACAATACATAGAAATGCATAAGGATACTTTGAAAACGGATCCCAATATTCTTGATTATTTGCATTTCACTAATTGAAATAGACGTTCTTCTATTTCAACTTTATACGTTTTTTTTTTAAAAATCATATGTAGACTAATTTACAGCCACACGTGGAATGTAGACCGCAGAAAGACGTTTGACAAAATATACTAATTTAGTGTTTGGAGGATCTTTATCTCAACAGATGTATGCTAGACACATTTAAATGAAAAAAAAAATCTTTAATAGAATGACGTTTTATTGTAGGCTTGGTGCGTTTTAGAACGTTCTATTATAACTCTCAAATGGACTGTATTTACTTTGTACAAATAATTTTAGATATACACATTTCATGGATAAAATTCCATAGATCGTCTGGCCAAATCAATTTCAGCTTCGATGCGTAGTGAAGAAAATACTGGTTTACAACGCTGTTTGATGAGTTTTATTTAAAAATATAAATATAACTGTTAATACTTATGTCTGGATCCACGGAATCTCCTAAACCGCTGAACCAATTTCTTCGTGTAGCAAGTCTAATAAGATCAGAAATCGTACCTAATAGGTACTACATTGGTCCAAATATTTAAGCTCGCCACTCACTCTCTCTTCAATATCAAGAATTACCTATTTTCCAACTTAAAATTACGATGCGCTATAACTTTTTTTTAAAAATAGTCTTAAATTGAATTCCAAGTTTGAATAGAAGTTTCTTAAGAAAAAGTGTTTTCAATTAACGTTAACAAACCAAAAAACACAATTAACCCTTTCCCCTAGAAGGAGTGGAACGTTTTTCTTTATTTCACTTTTTCAAGCAAAGTTTTAGGGATTTAGGTCTGAAAATTAGACCAAAAGTAGATCTAGAAAGGGCGTATTACATATACAGTTTTCTTAAAAATCTGTAGTCAAACTTTTTTTTATTAAGGAAAACCCCAAAAATAGGGGGAAATTACACTTTGGCTATAATTTATCACTCTCGGTTAAATACTATCCAGAGATTTGTTTATATTAAAATACATATAATTGCTTGTAACGTAAATAAATATAAAAATATAATCAGAATTTTTTTTTAATCATAATTCGGATTAAATTATATTATCCAGATTAAACTCTCCGAGTAGCTATTTCGAACGGAAAATACACACAATAATTGAAATGGTTTAAATTAATTTAAAACTATTATATTGGTAGTCCCTTCGTCATTTTGGGTTAATTCATCATTTTGACGTTCTATTTAACTTGAAATATAATAATATTATACTCATCATTCGCTAGAATCTTTTATCGTTGGTCGGTTAAAAAAGTAAAAAAACAAATTAAATACTGACAATATTGTATGAAAGACAAATTATTGATATTTGATGTGATTTTTTCAAAATGGACAAGTTAAGCATTAAATATTTCACAGGTGTGTGCGACCATTATACCTATTGATTATGCACATTTTAAAATCTCCTCGAAATTTGTTTTGTGGAAAAAATATATTGCATTTTTTTTTTATTATCCGTCTCGGCGAAATGTCTTGGGAATTTCATAATCAAAAGGTTTACCGAGAACACAAGCTCAGTGCGTGTCAAAACTTATATACTTAAAAAATGCATTACTTAAAATCAAATAAGAAGACATTTTTTTAAAGCAAATTTCCGGTTTATTTTTACACGAAACACTGTGAAGTTTACAATTGCACAACTTCACGTGCTCTTTTATTTTGCACAATTCTAGGTAATAGTATGCAAACGTGTGACCTGAGTTTGTCGTTTTTTATCATTATTATTACTATTACTAAGTATTATTATACGCCATACCGGTACAAATGAACGCTTCGCGCGTTTGATATTAACTGCTGAATTAGGTATATACAATCACACCCACGTGGTAGTAGCAGTAGATCGGAAGAAACCATTGTGTTGCATTCTGCTTTCTATTAATTATCTTCCATCTCACTTGCTCTGACCCTGGAGACGTATTGCTTTGTCAACAGTTATATATATATATATATCCGTTAAATATCCGTCGCAAATTTCAAATTAATAGGTTCGATACAATGGAATTTGCAAAAGCCTATACAACTCCCATCTATTTCAGCGGTCGCTCGCTGTATATATGAACAATACAACAATAAACATATTTTCTTTTCTATGATAAATCGTCACCATTGTGGTTTATACTTTAGGCAGGTATTACATTGTTGAAGAGTTAATTATATTAAATCTATAAATATTGTCAGTGTTTTTAATAGGAGCGCATTAACTAAATTCGTTCCTTTAATTAAGGAACTATCCTTGGAACGATACCAATTCTTTTCTTAGAATATAATACATCAGAAATGTATTTTTTTTTTTTAGGAATAGAAATTAGATAATTATTTTCATTTACATTTGAAATGTATGACATTATTAAATTGGAAGTAATATTGATAAGTAGTTTTACGATTTTTCATTGTATTAAATCGATTCTAATATTTTGAATGAAAATTACTTAATAGCAAAATTTCAATTTGTAAGTATATAATTTATTCACTTTTTCAAGCCCCCCACACCAATGTTTATAAGAAGGCGCATTAAATAGGCAATTTAGCTACTCTTGTCTACACTTAAAAAATGTATAGATAGCATCTTGCAATACAATTTAAAGGGAAAGAGTGGGAAAAGTTCTATTTTTTTTAAAACAATGTGCGAATAAAAAAAAATGTGTATATTATCTGTAAAATAAAAGCTAAAAAAAATCACCTTCGAGTTACACCACATTAAGGATTGACCATTTCAGTATTTGTAAAATAAATAATTTAAATTCCACCAATCGAGTAACACACTTAGTTTTTAAAATGACGTTTACACAATAATATATATATTTATCGATTAACAATTTGGTACAATTTGTATTACATTTATTAATTAAAATTTCAACCAATAGCCAAAAAAAGCTTATTATAGTTAAATTAAAAATTAGCAATGTAAGAAAACTTAAATTCTTCTAGAAAAAGTATTTCAAAAAGTCTACAATTTTCTAATGTAATTGTGTAGTGAGTTGCAAAAAACTTTTAAATTAAAAATGTAAAACATTTTTTAGTTTTAATCCTTAATGTCTAATTGATTTTTAAGTGGCTTAAATAGCGTTTTTTTTGTAAAAATCCAGATTTTCAGATTCCCATTACTAATACTAGGTTATAGATTTTTTCTTTAGACAATATTCAACAATTATATAATTATGTATTAATAATTTTTTAACAATACAACAAAAAAACCACTCGGGTTTTGTAAATATAAATACATGTTTGTTTATACTAGTGTAGTATAAAACAAACAACATAACAAAATAAATATAAACATTTTTTGTTCAATTTCATGAGAATATTATAAATTTCAGGCTGTATCGTGGACGTAATTAAACTGATCGCCAAATTTATCACGAAATTTTCTTTGGTCCATACTATCCAAAATCTTGGCTACCTTTTTCACAGAAGATCTGTAAACATAATAGTCATAGTTATATAATTAATATAACCATTTAATGCAAACACACTTGAGAAGTATTAGTCAGCCTAGTGCAACTTTCGAAATTCTTTTTGTTGAAAGATTATCAACACAACAATAGGCGAAAAAAACAAATTTTTTTTACTTCAAGACATGAAACGGTGTAAACACCGCGGCGCAACTCCCAATTTTTAGAGATAAGACTACTTGGAGGTTAAAGTAGGAAATATAACCAATAAAATACTTTTATCCAAACAGTTTTTTTTTGTACAACAATTTCCCACATACTTTTTAAATATCTTTTTTTCCAATCGTGCCCGAGGAGTGTCCTGCTCTTTTTTCAAATCCGTCAGCTTAGGATACTTATGTACTTTCTTTTTACTACCCTTTTTTGGCATAGTTAAGTCAACGCCGGTTTCGCTCTAAAAAACATACTAGATTAAACCATCACTAGTTTTAAGTATATTATTCAAAACAAAATCTATTGCCAAACCTGTATGTCTCTGAGCAACTGGGGGTCTTGCCATTCGGGCACGTCAGTACTTTTCTCTTTTTCCAACGCCACTTCGTCTTCTGGATCAATCGGTCGACCCACTTCGTCTCTGGCCACAATGCGACCATGGAAAGGACACTGCGCAAAGTAAAAAAAAGTTAAGGCGAATTTATTTAATAATAAAAATATAATATTGTATAATCAGAGTTGGCAATAATAAAGGGGTTTTGTAATAAAAAAAAAGCACAACCCAGTTAAAGTTTTTAATGGTTTGCTTAAATCGAATACACATAAAACCCTTTTTTTTTTAGGGTAACTATCAAACATTTGTTGTGCTTTAGTGGATTTTTCTTGTTTATTTGCCAATTCTATTTTAGATCTTTAATTTGTGTACTTTAAAACGATCTTCTCTCGGACACAGTCTTCCGCTGGGCAACGGAGCCCGGCACTGTCTGTCAACTCTTTCGAATTTACCCGTGAACTCGATGACCCTTGTACGTAAGCTCGACGAACCTCCTGGTTGTACAATTCCATCGCCGTCGGTTTCCATTACGGAATTGGACGACCAGAAACTGTGACCATCCGGATTAGTCCTGGAAAAGCAACAACAACAAAATTTAGTAAATTCGCATGGAATATAATACAAATTTTTAGCAAACATCTCGAGACTGACGATAAAAGTAATTTAAATAAAAGTTTTATTTTTCAGTAAACTAACCAAAAGAGTAATGTTGTTTCAATAAGATGAATCGCGGCCTAACCTAATCTTTCCTAACTTGACTTGTCGATGATAAAAAAAACCTGTTCTGAGTCTATAGCAGTATGCTGCGACTAAAGATATTTTTGTCATAGGAGAGTGTGATAGAATTTTGAAGATTATATCACTACAGATTGAAACTCTTGGCCAAAAATCGGTTCGAGTTTAAGTGTTCTTCCCACTAAATAGACTAAAGTAAGTACAGCCGATCTAATAAAACTCGAGTTTAAGCAAAATTTTTCAGTCATATATTAGCATGGTTAAAAGAAATCAAAATGTATGTTCTTATATTTGTTTCCAAATCGTACAACGCGGTTGTTTGGCCATTATCTTAACGAATACATGACTCGAAAGAACATCTTCCTTCTAAAGATCCAAACATGAGCTTTAGCGTAAAATGATATACATAAAAAAATTTAAAAACGAGACTTTTAACTTTATTTTGACATGCGCGAATTTCGATTAAGTTAGAGACTATGTTTTATAACAATTAATTTTACAAAATTCCAAAGGTTATAACTTTGACCAAAATTTTTTTATTAAAAATCGTCAATGTCGAGTTCTTGAAAAGCCTCACATTTTTAATAGATATACTTTTTTTAACACAAACTACTCATTTTTTCAGAAAAGTACATCTCCTGTGTCGTGTTTAACGCACAAAAGTCATTTGACGCCCTCTTTGAGGTCTTAACTCATCACTAAACAAATTTCCATATTTTAATGCATATACATAAATTATATAATATTGAACACCATCCATAGTCAATATTATTATACATTTTTTTAATGTACTTTTCAAATAACTACAAGATAGGTTAGAACTTAACCTTTTTCGATTCCTTTTTTTCAATCGTTATTTTTAATATTAATAAAAAAACAATTTTTAACACATTGACCTTCATAAATAAGAAAACAATATATTGAATAACAATAGATCGTGTTTCTTTTTTTTCTATACTGAAACGTGAATTTAAAATAGAAAATTTAAATAATTTATTTGGTTTCTCGGTCTAATAACCGATCAATGCTTGCGTTTTCAACATTCTTCTTAACAGAATAACCTTAACATATATTCTAAATATAAACCTGTTTACTCTCGAGTCCACCTAGACTTACGTATATCTACTTAAACATATTGTTTATCTTTAGAACACTATGTGGGCTAATTGTAAGTACCATATTTATTATGGGCAGTATACTTATCTTTGCTTGAGTTAATAATCTCGCAGTTTTTCTTTGAACACATTAAGAATTCTAGTTTTTTGCTGATGAAGTGTATCGTTAAAAAAACTCTCAAACTAATGAGTGTTCATAATAGGATTATTCATATCTTAATCCATGATAAAATGTTTGTTGTTAAATTGAAGCGAACGAATAGTGTGTAGAAAACCGTTCAGACTAGAGAATAATCGTTAGAAATTAAGTCTTATAGAAATAAATTAACTAAAGTCATTGCGAATACATAATTACTAATTACTTATAAGTTATAACGGTTAATAAACATTATACAAAGCGTATTATCAAATATCATTGACGTCGTCAATAATTTTTGCAAACGCAATAATACAAACACTATATGAAGAATAAATAATACAGTAAAAACGGATACAACTTTCAATAAAACTCTAAGTACCCATTAAATCAAATGATTCGTATAACGCAAAAAAGCGTGTAAGCACGTTCGTATTTATGATTTTTCTTCTATAATAAAACTTAATGCATGGTTTATGTATCTACTTTTAACTGGCAATAATATACTTTATATTTTTAAAGACTATAGAGAATCCTTTAATGGGTTCGAAAAAATGGAAAACATTTTCAGACCCTATAACCGAAACAAAAAACGTAACTAGTTTCTTTACGCGAAACTCAAAATTCGATTCTGAATTTAATACCCGCTAAAATTACCAATTTTAGAATTATAATAATTATATTTGACTTATGTCTCCTGTAGTCCATATCGAGTGTATATTTTTTGAGCTGAATAGTCTAAACAGAATTGTTATTAGACAGGTAAACATCGACTAAACGAGCGCCACAATAACGGTATCTGATTCAATAGTCAGTCAAATAACAAAAAATTGAATAACAAAACATAATCGACTAGTTGCTACTTTTTTGATTTTTCCCATTTCGGCCAGTTAAGCAGCGGCCTTTGCTGCTTTTTTTGCTAGCCAAATAAGTGAGTTATAAATAATAAAAAAACGATAATACCAGCACGTGGATTATTGGAAATACTACATTCTCATAACACCACGTTTGTATTACGTTAACGTTCAACAAGACATAATCGTGTGTACACATATTTATTATACTTGTGAATATCCATTTGTCGGCCTTCAACCGACACGTTAACGATCTTGCGTACAAGAAAGAAAACAGACCTACAATAATGTATGTAAATGTACAACGGTTGGTTCAACTAAAAACAGACGACCGTAAAATATAAAAAACAACGCAAAATCCCTGATGAGAATCGGTAGCCTCGAAACGCGCCAATAGTAAATTTAAGTACGTCCGTTGGGTTTTACTGGCCAATAGTAAAATAAATGTGCACTTCACGGGTTATGCAAATTGAAATGCTGACATATAGCCTGTAGTATTACTGTGTCTCAACATGAGTGTTCATTAAAAAAAAAACTATCGAGAATCATTTGGTAATAACTAGATTTTTTCTGAAAAAAATCCGACCCATTTAAGTTAGATGGATATGCATTAGTCTTGTAAAACCAATATTTTTAGATAAATATCGAACATTTATTGGTTTTTTTTTTTGCCAAGTCTGCCAAGAATAACTAGACAGGTATTATAGAAAAGACGCGTTAAAGGCTAATGATCATTCGTCGAAAACAAATATAAAAGGAGTGAACATAATAACGTCGAAAATGGTTTGTAAAATTAAGTGACCGAGCTAGGTCGAAACTAGAACTACTTGCTCTTGGCCACTGGGCAAACACACTTAAAATTGACTAAAAATCAAACGAAACTCAATCACGCTTACGGTAACAACCGAGGAACCGGAACGTCATCATCTTCCCAGTGATAAAGGTCGACGTCAAAAGGTAAAGTAGGCACTGCCATAGTGTGTTTTTTCTGCTCGCCTGTTGATTCCGGAGGTCGGACGGCTGTTTCTTCTGTGAACTGATCCTGCGGTACAATTAAGTCATCCAAATTAGTCAACATTAAAATCGTTACCAATACTTACAATGTCACTTACGGTACCACAGCTGTTGGAAATTCGCTGCGCCAACAGTTCATCCGCTGAGCAGGCGGGTGGCAGTACTTCTTCCATGTCCGAATCATCGTCAGAGTCGTTTTCTTCCTCGTAATAAGTTATCCTGTTCTCTCGGTCCATTAAATGCGATAAGTACTGCTTTAACTCAATGATCTTTCTCAGCAAACCATCCTCACCTATACACAAAGAATATACTACTCCTTCTCGTATCAGTACAAAACGGGCTCAGAAGGGTGTTCGGTTTGGGATTATAGTTGATTGACTAACTAAATTCGTGTGAAACCCTATTTTTTTCAACAGAAGATCGCACCGTCCAATAAAAGAAATCTCCTGTTTTCGAATGTCAAACTAACAACTCCCGTGCACGTTAAACTACACTTAAAACAACCTTAGAGTTTGAGTTTAGTGATGAAGGGAGTAGAAACGATATGAGATAGAAAGAGGCTAGGGAGGTGATGTGACAAAAAAATATAATTTAAAGTGATTGGGCAATTAAATACATATTGGTGAAGCCAGCAATGGAAGTGAGTGTTGGGTATTGTTTAAGGAGATGGTAGGAAAATGAAAATAGTTGAGATGGAAGTTCATTTAGGAATGAGCGTATAAGTGATGATTTGTGAGTTGCGTCCAAAGGCCGAATAGATAGAGATGATTATATAAGCATGTTGAAACAGTAGAATTGATGTGACAAACGAGTAGAAGTAAAAATATCTTGAATAACAAATGGGAAATAAATGATATGTATAGAGTAGATAGAAAAGCGTGGAAATACGCAGACTCCTACTTAAGTCTAACTATTTATGATCCAACAAACAAACGGCTTTCATACAAAATAGCTCTACTCACTGTTGGTCATCTTGGCCACATCCTGCAGCCATTGTTTGACTTTGGGCAAGTACTTGCCGGTTATAAGTTTGGTCTGCTCGTCGGCGGTTTCTACAATGGCCCGGTTGTCTTCAGTTTTTTTCACTCTAGTTCGAAAGCCTGGTTTCAGCAAAACCGTGACCGAGTGTCCTGGATCAATAATGCCGGTTTCCCTAAAAGCTACTCTTTCATCGGACACATTGACTGCAACACTGTCGTGTACGACAGGAAGAGAAGAGCGACCATCCCCGCTGTCGTTTTCCACTTCGGGTATGGAAAATTCTTCGGGAGTGGGAATCAATAGCTCAAGACAACTTTCTAGACTCGTGGCTGACACCATGATTTCGGGTTTAAGTTCTGAAAACAAGTGGTACATAGAAAAACAATATTTACCACCTCACATTTAAAATATCTTACCCTTCAATTCGTTTCGAATTTTTCGAAGTTTCTTTTCGTTCACGTGCTTTTGTCGACGTTCTCTGTCTTCGACCCGCCTGGCTTCGTCCAACGACCTCACGGTCATCGATTGAAAATCAATCTAAAAAACAAACGTCATGGAAAAAAGTGAGGGATGTCAAACGCAGCCATAGTGTCCGGGGACGCCCTACCTTTTTATATTTATTTAAATAACTAAAAGCGAAATCGAATTCGTCTACAAAGTCAGCTCCAAAATTGTCTTTCCACTCCTTAATGCACCTGACGGCCGCCATTTCCAATTCTCGGGCAAATTTTTTAGGCGGTGGCAACGGTTTGGTCATGTCAGTGTTGACGGTAAGCTTTAGAAAAACGGATAAATCGTCGACAACTAATTTTCTGAAATGTTCGTATTTCCTAAACCAATTTTTAATTATTATAAATCAAATCTGCCTTTCTACAAACTATTTGCAGTTTTTTGCTTAGGAGTTAAGTCCCACACATTAAACACACCAAACTGTTACGCAAATTTGAATATCGATAAAAAAAAATTTACTATAATTTTTAAACATAATAGTTGCGGAGATCGAATCAAGGTTGAAAATAATGAGGCTTGATAACCTTATGTATAAACTATACATAAAGATTATTAAAATATTTTACTGAGATTTAAAATACTTACTTGAAAAGACAATCACAAATACGAAGAGCACCAAGTCGAACCTCTGAATGCTTTTCTTTTAGCTGATGTAACACTAACACATGAACTCTCTCTACATACTCAGGCGATTTTCTAAAAAAATTGAAGTGTAGGTGTAAGTAAAAAAGGGCGTTTAGTTTCAACAGTAAATGAAAATAAAATAAACTGATAAAAACAATGTAAAAGATATTTCTGGCTATTAAAACATAATATTCCCGTTTAAGAAACCATTTAAACTAGACTTAATTAATTATTTCCTTGAGGTACTGCCAAAATCTGATTTCTATCTTATATCTTAAACAATGTTTCTTTTAAAATTCTTTATTGATTTTAGATAGTTAACAATGAATTGCATTATAGGCTTGTTGCGTGTAGAGTTTTTAAAGTATATTTTAAAAGAGATGTCACACCAACGTCTAATTTACCTTGTATTACTTAAATTCTGATGGCGTTTTATAATCAGCATTCAACAACCACCACATAAAAAATAATGAATGCAACGAAACGTCTGCGCGAAAAAGAGCAATTACCTACTCCAATAAATGTATTCAAATATGATTCAATAGATCAAATCAATTGTTGTAAATGATCTACCATAAAAATTGTTGTAGATTGACTGATTGATCTAATAGGTACGGTGTAAATGTAAATTATACATATTTTATGTCTTGTGCCCACATTCCTGGTAAAAATAATTTTACTCAAAACTCAATTCTCTTTATCATATTTATGTTTTTTTTTTACCCATCGCTATAATGCATGTTTACTTTTTGTTCGCTTCATTCGAGGAAAAAGTCGAATGATATTCGAATACCTACCAATTAGGGCGCGATTGTAAACAAAATTGGGTGTATACCATTAATATAATATCTGATCGAATGAATGCCAAAATAGGAAGCGAGCAATTACGTCCGAGGCCAAAACAATGTCGACGTTTCCCAAGCATGATTCGACACTCGACTACAATACAAATTAACAAAAAAAAATAACAATATTGGCTTATAATAAACAAAATATAAATATTTTGTTTTAACTTATTTTTCAAGTGTCAGGTGCTAGGTATCTATTTTGTGATTTTGAAACAACTACAACTAATAATATTCTATTTCGGATAGAATGGGGGGAAAAAATAACAGAATGATTTTAATAAGGCATAATTAGGCATACTAGGTAAACCACATAAATCTGTGTTTGCATATCATACAATTATTCATCTAATGTCAACTGACCGCAATTAAGAAAACAAAATTAACGCCAATATGCCAATAATAATTGTATCTAAAAAACATATTTTAAATACATATTAGGTATCTAAGTTTACTCTATTAGCAACACTCAATCGATCATGATTCATGACCAACTTCATTGAAACATGTAATACAAATAATAGTTTTTGGAGATGCCACCTTGGCATTTTCCAATCGCATAAAGTATATTGTAGTATTTAGTCGAAACTCGAGATTTATACATGGAAAACTAAATATTTTGTCATTTGGGCAACTGTTTTCCCTAAACAATCGTGATAAATAATTTCCGAGGAAAACAAAATTATAAACCAATCAGTATGTATCTACAGATTGATAGATGCCTACACTAATAATTATTGTGTAAATTCTGTTTAGGCGTTTGTCAGCACGTATATAACGCTCGAAGGTAAATATCTACCGTTTACTGAACACAATGGTCAATACGTACAACACGTGATATTTTATATAAATCATATTATTATTATGCCATTAATTCCTATTTAAGTAGACACGATTAGGTCGGTAACTACCTTATACGTCCAGGTAAACGTTTTGCCACTAGTTACCTAGTCAATAAAATGTGGTGTTGTAGATGTGCTATAGATCTTTTTTTAATGAGTTTCCTACCACACAATAATAGTAACCCGAGAAAATGTTTCCCATTGTTGTTCAGAGTTGGCATTATCTTGGATTTTTTTAATACCCGATCCAGTAAGTTTTAGATAATCAGAACTCCAAATGATGGGTTTCATGAGGTTTTTCGGTTCAGTGAAAACTCGACATTTATTCACAAATGTGGGTTTTAATAGGTACCTCAAAAAAACCATTTCTATAATGGCCTTAAAAAAACCGAGTCATTGCCAACTGTGGTATGCATAAAAACCAGTAAAACTCATAGAATTGGATAAATACCAAGCTTTTGTTGAACTTAACCCTTTGAAGCATGGTGGTATAAGTAATATACCAATTTTTCAAAAAATTGCTTACTCTTGCACGGTGGTATACATTTATTACCACCTTCATAATCATGTTCAGAGAACAAAAATGCTGTGCTTCAGCATTTATAAATCCCTGCTGGAGTTTTTTTGCCTACCCCGGTTTCTTTAATAATCGATTTCAAAAAAAATTATGAAAAACAATTGTCACCTTAAGAACACTTGTATACTCAATCGAGGTTTAACCCAAGGACTAATTAGTTACTAACATGTGTACTATACATGTAATAGAGATGTCTACACACTTTATAGATGGAACAAACATTCGCATTTATGTGTTTATTAACCAATACAAAAATTGACGTTATTACCCAGAAATTATTAATTCAATATTTCCCCTAAAAACTACTTGTATTCTGAGAACTAATAATAAAGGTAATAAAGGTTGGATTAATAGTTTTAATGACAGTTCAATTTATTTAACAAGAGAATCACTCGTTTCATTTACAGAGAAGAGGGGAACCTAATCAGTAATACCCAAATACCTAAATTGTAAATCATAAATAATAATATACATTTTTATAACATCAGTTCAAAAGTGTGTTCTTTGGCCAGTGTACAATCAAAATAACCAAATTCTAAATTCCAATTTTAACCCTCCGGTGGGCACGCTTTTTTTGTTATCATAAGAAAACAATGGGAAAACAGCACTCAGCGCTGCCACGCGCCTACCGAAAGGTTAAAGTACATAAGTATTCAAACTTCAAAGTTCTGGATTTTATCAACAGTAAACATAAACAATTATACATTTGTTGTCCTTTTGGCGTACATGGTTTATTTAGCAAGATTTAAAAAAAATAATCAGTTAACACGTTTAGATAAAACAAAAACCCAATAAAACCAATATTTTTAGGCCAATACTAAATAATTGCTAGCTTACACAAAAACACCAGAAAAAAAATACCTACTTGACGCCGTAGTTAGGTAGGTATAAATCCCAATCATTGAAACGTCCCATAATATAATGGGAAAATAACGTATAAAATACAATTTTTTCCATTTTGTCTTGTATTTTAGGTAAAATTATTTGGGTAAAACATATTGCTATCACACAGAATTGGAGTACGGCATAGCTAAAAATGTGTGAGAGTAAAACCTACATATTATAATACATACCTAAATCATTACCTACTCTAATGGGTTTTTTCGTTTAGAAGGTAAATCGATGAGAGTACAAAATAATAAACCATATACAAATTTTACATAAAATTACAATATAATTTCAAATAGAGAATAATGTATATTTATTATGCATACAATGTATTTAAAAAAAAATCCAATGATTTATATAAGTATACCTAAAAATACCTTTGCTAAAATAATTTAACTATACTCGTACTCACACAATAGTATTGGACAAGCATTTATATATATATTTTTTTTTTTTATAAATTTACGAATTTTTAGGCTTGAAAAAATCATTAGTTATGTAACAGTATTCAATATAAACAAATTAAATAAACAAATATTTTAGGCAGTGAACCTAATTAAAAATTGTATTAAATATTGCTTTCACTTTTATTATAAATTTAAATTGATATGTATTTGTAAATTAAGCTTATGCATTAGAGCGAATCATTTTAGTTAAATTGTTAATTGCGAATGAATAATAGACGTACAATAAAATTAAAAATTAATTGTCCCACCGTTAAAAAAAGTAATATAATAATAAAAAATGGTATATAAAAAATAAATTGATAATAAAAAACCATCATGCTTCACCCTGTCTTGCAGTTTTCCTGTCGCCAAAAATAATTCCATTGTTACGAAAATACAATAAAAATAAAATAATTTTTATACTAATTTGAATATGATTTTCAACTACAGGAAAGTTTTGACAATTTCATACACGTAGCGTAAATATTCAACTGTTTCCATTTATTATTAAAATTTTCTAGGTTCATTTTGTGAAAAAAACATTTTTTATTAAATTGAAATGCTTTTATGTTCATAATAGAATAAAACTGTGTAGTCATAAAATGCTAAAATATTAGATTTAAATACAGTACATTGTTTAAATAAGTATAACTATAACCTTATATATGGGTATAAATTGTATTAACCTTGTTAAAATCTAGTTACCATACATGAAAGGACTAGACTGTTGCCATAACAATATTATTTATAAAGTTTACAGCTTTCCTATGTACAAAAACCATAATGGGACTCACTAAACTAAACTATCAGTTTGATTATAAATTTTCAAGACTTGTAAAAAAAGCTGGGCTAAATTTAGATTATTTGTCATATAATGAAAATAGTTTAGTTTAGTATGTAAATAATATGTTTAATAATCATAGTTAAAACATATTTGTGCTAAGTTGGAAGATTAAATTTTAATACAAATTTTGTAGTTTTTTTGTTGTGCAACACAATACAAGATTATACCTAAAAAGTAAAAACTAAAAGCCAAAATAAAATTATTTAAAAAAAAAAGTCATAAAAGAAATATAAGAGGGAGGGGGAATTATTTTATTTAATGAAACATATATTTGCTAATTTTATATAATACTTCAATTGCTAATATATTTTTAATATATAAATCACAATGCACACACACATAATTATTGAACTAAGTAATATATTTGTATATATATATATTGAAGCATATAAATATGTGTATTATTATAATTTATAAATATATTATATAACAATAGTATAGCTTAACACTGTATCCTTACGTCTAATCGATTGTCGAAACATAATTGAAAACATTAAAAAATTATTAAATATCTGGTAACCTAATGTTTTTAATCTATAAGTAGCCTAATGCCATTGGAACTAATAGTTAAAAATGTTAACTTATAAATATTTACTGGCCTATAAAAAAAGTTATACATAACAGATAGTATAAAATGAAAAATTCACAAAAAAAAAAATATATATATTATACAATGCGATAAATTTTAATTTTTGGCACCTACCTAATTAAATTTAAAATAATAGTAAATACCTTATAAGTTTTTTACCTAAGCAAATCTCTATTTAAAATATCAACACGACAAATGATTTTATGTAAATCACAAGTGATTTGTGTTTACCATTGTAGAAATTAAATAAAGTATCATTTATAAATTACGAGCAACCTGATATTCACTGTGAATTTCAATCAATCAATAGAATGTTATGTCATAAAATTACAAAATTAAATGCATACTTCTCGTTGGAGTTCAACTAAAAAAAATCACATCAATAACTCGTAAGGTTATTTTCTATAAAACTCGAAGCAATACTTTTTATTACATTAAATAGAGCATTGCTTTAAGGTAACAGTTTTATTGGGTAATTCCACAGCCACCAATTAAAAGAATACTTTTTCCTTAACATCAAATGACTATTATTAACTTACAAGAACATATTTTGTAAAGGAATAATTTTGAACTTAACTTCGATAAGAGTGTAATTGGACAGCAGATTTTTAAAAACCTCATAATAAAAAGCCTACAAAAAATGGAATTTTAATTACTCAAAGACACTTGAAAGCTAGCCCAGAGAATCGTGGAAAGTTTCAAACAAACATCTAATAAACAATGTACAGCAAGTTTATCTATCGATCAAATACATGTGACACAAGATCGTTCCTTATAGTGTTACAAAATTCTTTAAAGAATCACATTTCAACGTAATCGGTGATCAGCGAAAATTGATTTCAACTTTTTACTAGATTTTCCAGAAATCCATTTAAAAGTGAATAATACAATTTGTACTCAAACCCATCCAAGATTCAACAAGTACAAATACATAACTTGTGTATTAGATAAAGGTATTATTAACATTTACATCGCTTAAAAGAATTACAAATTAATCGTTACCAGCTTTCAGTCTTAAACGAGCAAAATCCTCAAATATTATGTCTTCGTCATGAGATGGTATGGGGCCATCTTCATCCAATTCAATCAAATTATCTACACGAACACCGTTATCATCAACTTTTGCATCTGGACTGGCAACATTATTTGTCGTTGTAGGAATTTCTTCTTCGGGTTTAGGGTGCATCAATATGAAAGGAAGTTCGGCAGTCAACTCTCCGCCTAATGCACCCAAACAAAGTTTTACTTTAACTTTATACTGGACAATAATGCCCAGATTTTCTTTTTGTGATGGATTACTGACAATTGTTGACGAGGCGAGATTCGTATCCTCATGCTTCAATTGACCGTCTAATGCCAAGCCACGTTTATCTTTATTATTATGTAGAGTAGGTTTAACGGTATATACTTTGGATAATGTGAATCCGGGACCGACCGGACAACCGTCTTCACTCTCCATTTCAGCCACTGTGCATTTATATTGAGCAGTCGAAAATAAACATATATCAGCAAATTGTCTAACAAAAACTTTAACCTTTTTAACTGTTCTATTCGAATTGTTAGCAATGTGCACATTCACCGAAATACTTTCACCGTGGTAGTAAAGTTCTTTATCTAAAGATGCCTCTAAATATAATTTATTAGGACTCATAACAAATTCTTTATACACTTCAACTGATGGTTGTACTTCCTCTTTCTTTGGGGCATACATAATTTTCCTGATTGCCAATCTAATTGAATTTCTTTTATGGGGTTTATCATCAGCAGTTTCACCAACAAATGCTTTAAACTCATAATCTACTCCACATGGTTTTCCTGTATCGCCAGCAGCTGGCTGAAGTGTAACAGATGCTGGACAATGAGGTGGCAGTTCAAAATAAAATGGTATTGCATTGGGCCCAAGTTTCTTGATTAAACGTTCTTGTAACCTAGTCGGTGTACGAATATTTCCCACAGGATATATTTGTTCAGAAGCTATGTAGAGATCTTTACGAAAAGTAAGTCCAAGTACATCTAAATCTTCACGACCATAACGAAAAGCGGCCAAAACATGGCCAAAAACTTTTCTACCCTTCACATATTCTGGGTCGACTAGTACTACACCGTCAATCGGATCAACGTTGGTAATGTGATCAACAAAGTCTCTTTTACCGAGATAAACAGTTATTTTACCATTCGGAGAACTCTTCTTAAATACTCGGGTTGGTTGCCTAAAAGCACCACGGGTCGCAGATTCGGATTCCCCATTATTTTTCTCCATTTTTAATAATTCTTTACAAACATACAAAGAAACGTATACTCTCAATACATAGTTACACGACGGCTGCTAAACAGGGTGACAACCATGGTGTTCGGATGGTGTGGTATGGCAACAAAATTAACTTTTTAAAAAACGGCTTTATTAATTTTAAAACCAACGAACGTTTTGCGTCCGTCTTAGGTAGGTAGGCAGTAGATAGTAATGATATATTGAGAGTAGGTATGTATTTATTGACTTACTTGCAAATATTTTCGATTTCGTTGAGTTCAGCGTTGGATCGATTAAAAAAGTCTTGGCCGTTGTTGGTTAACGATTCGACGAGATCGGCTGCTCGGTTGACCGTATCGTAGTCCAACACCATTATTATCGTTGCTCGATTTTCAAAGTAGGATTAGGTATTGTAGTATAAAAATGTATTTTATTTTAATTTGTATATTGACAAAAAAATGTTAACAGGCACTTTGGATAGAGAGATACGGCGGAATCTTTTGCAGTAGCTTCTTTTGTGTGTTTTTTGGGAGGGTTTATTTCTGCTTTTCGGTGCACAGTGTTATTGCAGTAGTTCTCGGTTGTACTCGTCCTGGCCGTGACTCAAGTCCCAAGTAATGACAAACGTAATGCGCACAGACCGTTTCACCACAACGGCGACGGCGATATCGTCGTACTTGTGGCGACAACAGCGGCGGCGGCAGCGAGCAAACGCGTCATCGGACGACGGGTATCCACAACGATGAATCAAATCAATCGTGTCGTCATCCGCGGGCTCGTATACTACTAACGCGACTGTCGACTGCTAAAATGTATATTACAATTAATAATTGTAATAAACTATTTATTATATTATACTCGTATTGTAATGTTTTTATTATTTTACACTTCCCTAATAGATTAGATAGTAAGAAAAAAAAGTACACATTCGCGTACGGACACGGCGGATATTGCGCAAATAATATAGTAAATATTTAATAAATATATATATATATATTATAATATATTTATATATTATGCACTGTTTTACATATTACTATATACATGTACTGACTCGCGTAATCTATATCTATACTCTTCTAATTAATATACGCGGACCGCGGTATACCGTATACACCAGCTTATATACCAGATTCTATAATATGTGTATGCAAATATATATATATATATATATATATATATATATATATATATATATATGTATATATACGTATACGTATACAAAACGACGGTCACGTGACCTAAAAATGTTGAGTCTTGGAAGAAACACTGCGATTTAATTGTAAATAATCACAAGCCATGGATGAGAAAAACGAAACACCCAAAATGCCCGCCTGCACAATGTTTGAACGCAACGATATGCCTATTCTAATTTTCTGTGAAGTTTTCCAAGAGAAAACTACGAAAATAATAAAAAATATATTTTGATTTGAACGACAAAACATAGCAAAGTCGTACTTTGCAACAAGCAGTTAAAAGCTAGTGGTTTGGAACTCTTCAACAAGAAGTTATTTAATAGGTAGATTTCGTCGTAAAATAAGCAAGCCAATTTTAGGCTAGTTTAAGTAATCTCAAAACTGAAATAATATGGTAATCGTACTATGATTACTTCTATTGTTTCCATAATATTTTATTTTGAATATTTCATATGAAAACTAAAATTCTAATTTCTGTAAGTTATATACTATAATATATAGTTGATACCATTTTAAATAGATGGAATAATTATTAAAAATATATTGCTTTGATCAATTATGACTTTTTTTTATATTAAGTGTTAGTAATCGATTTTACCATAACTGTCATACTCCATATTATCTAATAATTCATATACAATATGAATAAAATAGTTTAGCCAACTTCGAATTTTCTACTAAAACTTCATTTATTAATATTTATACAATCAAACATAGGTTTTAAATTATAAAAAAAAAATGTATTAATTATTACAATTTATTTACATGAATTTAAATTTTAAAACTGTTTTGTAAGTGAATAAATATAAGTTTTAATGGCAGGAATCAGATTTCCAAACTTATAATTTATTTGAAAACGGTCTTATCTTATCATTCTGTTGGGACAAAGCTTAGTTTCCCGCGTTATTTCCGTTTTCTCGTGTACTGTCTCTGTAAGAATTATTTATTTTTGTCAAACTTTAATCGTTAAATGTTAATTATTATTTTGTTATTACAATTAAACTTAATACAATAAATACTATTTAAACATACAGTTTATATTGATAGCGTTAATCCATCAAATTTTGTATTTTATACATAAGATATCACTATACTATTTATTTGTTGAAATTTAATCTAAGGTAAGATTTTCTATTTTGTAAAACCATGTTTCACATCAAATACTTGGCCGTGTATGTAGTATTTTTTTACTAAAACTATCTCCTAGTTCTCTAACCGATAAACTAATATTTTAAATCATCGAAAATTTGCAACAAAAAAAAAAACATTCCAACGCACCCATCGTTTTACAGTAACAATTCAAACTAATACATATCTTATCATGTGGTAACTTTTGTACGTTTAAAATATTGTCACCATTGACCATTCTGTTTGTTTTTAAGCAATATTTTTAGTGATTTTATTGCACAAAGAAAGTCAAAATAACATTATGCACTCGCTGTTACGTTTTATTTTTTTCAATGCTGTTTTGTCAGAGAGGGAGAAATGAATTTTTTCTGATTTTTTGTTTAGTTATCTTTCATAAGAAAAGTAGCTTATTTGCGAGATGACACATGAGCTGTTTAACTGTACATTAAACCGTGACATTGATTTGTAATAGGAATTTATCCATACAATTTTTTTACTGTGTGTTATCATCAATTTCAGGAAATAGTCTTTTCAACGTGAAAAAAAAAAATGTGTTGGTTAAAATCTAACTCAATTGACCCTTACTCGATATTTTTTTGTCCAAACACCATTAAGACACGTTTATCAAATACAAAGATAATACTTATGTAGAAAGTTGTTATGATATTATGTCAATTAATTTGATTTATTATTTTATAATGTATAATTAATAACTTACAGATTTCAAAATGTGGGGCACCGGTGCAACGCAAGATGAAGGTGGTTTCAACACCACAATAAATACGCAAAGTCCGGCCACCGGATCTGGAGGAGAGTCGAAGCAAATGAGTGTTATTCCTGTAGCTATTCGTCAATTATTAGAAAACAATGATGAAAACAAGAACGTCCATGTTGTAGTTATTGGTATTATTAAACAAGTTAGTAAAGATAGTTTTAATAAATTAATTTTGTTTATTATGTATTACGTATGCATTTTTTTTCTTATTAGGTGGAAACGCAAACACTGAAAAATATGTTTACAATTGAAGACTGTACCGGCCGTTTGTTGTGCATCCAATGGGGCGACGAAAACGAATTAGCTAGGTATCCAAAATTGATTGAAAACACATATTTTAAAGTAGTTGGCAATAAAAGAATACAAAACGATAAAGTTACATTACTTTGTCACTGCGTACGTCCTTTGGACAGTCTCAACGAACTTACATTTCATTTGTTGAGCATCATTGCTTTGCCTTTACAAAATGAAGAACTTAATATGACTCAGGTATTATTAAAAAATAATAATATAAATAAATATGTTTATTTATGTATTATATGTATTTAATTACAGATGAACAATCCTGTTGGAAATATAAACAACAAAGAATTAAATTTCTCAATAAATGGAGATAATACTGGTGATGCCTTTGGATCGTCTAGTAACAGTTTGTCTTTGAACCCGAAACAGCTGAAGATATATACAGTACTAAAACAGTGTCCAGATGAAGCCGGTTATACGTCATCTGACATACAAAAGATACTTCCTGAAAAAATAGCTTTGCCTGAGATTGAAAAAATTTTAGCGTTTTTCATCGAGGAAGGTCATATTTTCTCTACCATTGATGAAAATCATTATAAAGTCACTGATTTTGGCAATTGAACCTCATTATTATTATCTATCCTAATTAAGTTTTTAAATGTCGCTGATTTATTTCTATCTATTTATTAATTATAATAAGCATTCATCAAGTTAATAAATAAAAAAAAATATGTTTTCCAATTTTTAATGACACTTAATACTTAATGACTGAATAATAAAATAAGTAAAATTTGGTGTTATTTTACACGCGGGAAAAAACGATTGTAAAAAACTTTAAAGCAACCACAGTACAGTTACAACCGGATCGGCAGTTGGCAGTAAAAGTGTGGTGACGATTTTGTATTTTTATTAAAAATCATTGCTAGCAGTTATTAGTTAAACTAATGAACAAGACATATCATAAGACTTTAAAAGTAGACCACTATTGTAAAAACACTTTTATAATATTTATATTTTATAAACAGCTATGGCGAAAGGAAAAATCAGTACAATGCTAACGTATTAAGGTTTGGTTGCATATAGCATTGGTAAACTTAACTACAAATAAATAGCAGTTAAAATTCATAAAAAAAATTTGTTTTACTTTTACAGCAATTTTAAGGTACAATAATTTTAAAACAAAAATGTTTATAGATCAGAAATTGTGTCTACATAATATCATTTTAATTAGTCTCGAATTATCAATATTTATTTTAAATACATAAAAAATATTAGGACAATTTTGTTTTTTTTTATTGTATTACACAAAATTCAATTTTTATTGTAAAAAAAAAAGTTAATTAAAAATACTTTTAAGTTATACCTTTTGAACAATATAAGCGTTCATTCCAGGAAAAATACTGAAATAGTTGAGTTAAAACATGAAACATAATGATTTTATTTAAATTGATATTCAGTTTTATAGTAATATGACAAGTCTGAAAAATACCATATAATATATTATGAGTGTAGGTTGCGATGGAATATTCCTGTAACAAAAAATCAAATTTTTACACCGTATTTATTGAACATTTATGTATTAATTAGACAGATTAGTTATGCGTTTGTCATCGTGTTTTTAATATTACTACCACATGAAAAATCCGATAAATTATATATAATACATATTTTAATTGATCAAATGAAAACGCTTTATATTATACTGTATACACCCAAGCTAGCAAATAGGTATTATTTACTGATTTTTAAGGTTTTTTTTCGCAAAATTTTTATAAGCTAAAAGTATATATTTAAAATAAATATATATAAATGTATTACTAATCAGTATAATAATAGAAAGTCTATAGTTATTTATTTTTTATAAGAACTTCCTCGAAGTTTATTTTGAATTAAAACATGTCATCTACGCAAACCCGGTTTTAGAGCAAAAACACCTTATGATAGTCTGAATACAAAATAACTACTCGCAAAAGCTCCTATTACTAAACCTAGGTACTAATACAATTTGGCTCAAGTTTTATTTTTAAATTAAGAATTTTACCAATCTCGTTGATAAATATGTTTAAATATTATACGGGGTAACCGTGTTTATTTATATTATCTATAACAATAAACCTCCGCATAGGACTAGGATGGCCGACCTCGAGTAGTTGGGAGTGTAAGGCAAAGATAAAGAAGAAGAAGAAACAGAGAGGTACGAAAAAAAAAGTTTTGGGGGGTGTCATATACCAGTGTCTATTAAGTATAATATAACATTAAAATTGAATAAATAAATAACCATACAAAACAAAAACATTTTTGGGGGAGGGGGGTGTTTGAACACCAAAAACACCCCCCCCCCCAGGCCTGAGTACGTGCCTGAGAAAAAACTATAAACTTCTATGCAAATCCTTGTTTTTTCACGAAAGTACGACACGTGTGGCATCCTCACACGAATACGAAATTCCGCGGTTTCGTGTTTTGTCGGGTGTGATTACTTTTTTCCCAGGCGGTCGTCACACTGTACCGGTTCGGCGTCCGTAGGTGGCGCGACTGTCGGACGCCGGCCGTCCCCGCTCCACCACCGCTTGCCGCCGGACCACACGAAACAACGGATACGAATTTGTTTACCGGCTTCCCGCTACATAGTCGGCCATTACTGTTGCAGTCACCTTACAGTGAGCTTGAACGCAATTGCCAATTTTGCTGCCCGCTGATTTGTCCGTTGATTCGCACGCACTCCGCCGACTTGCAAATTCGTTCGCGGCGAGTACGACGCGTTGGTAAATCATTTTGCCGTCAAACAGCACAAATAGTCAAAACATCAGAATGACGGAAGACTACTTCTGGGGTGAGTATCCGACGTAGGTTTGGCGATTTTCCGCGCGCTGCGGGGAACTTGGGCCGAATGTGTGTGCCGCCGGCCGCGCCGAAGGACAATGCGGTTTCCCTTGCCTTTTGTTTTCTTCGTAGATGTTTAGATGAAAAAATGGCCGTCCCAGCTATAGTACTATACAGTATATATGCGTGGTTTGCACGCGGTTATCGTCACGGTGTCGTAGATTTCCGGCGACCCGATCGTTGGGTTCGCTGCTTTATGTTAGTCACATGTCGCACTTCAGACATAAGTTTATATAACATATATTGCATCCATGTCGCGTGCGGTTGTTTGTTTCGATTTCGATTATTGTTTGGCATTTGCTCTTATCACATCATGGCTAATGAATATTATTTAAAACCAGCCGCGTTCGTACTGTTCGTGAATTTCACTGCAACGCAATTGTTTTTATATACTCTGTGAATACCATTTGTATATAAATAGTTGATAAAAAAAAAAATCTTGTTTAACTTTCAAGAATCGTTGAAATAAATTGTTTTTTAAAAATAACAGCTATACTACCTATTTGATAACTTGACATACACACATGTGTGTAATAATTAATATTACTGGCATATGTTTTATAAGCATTCCATATCCAAATATATTTATGGATATTAGTGATATTACTCATAACTTTTAATATTTTTTTTTTACTTGTAACTAGATTAAAGAATATCCCGAAATATTAAAATATTACCGATTGGTATTCTTTCTTTGAGTACCTATTACCATAGTTAAAAGTTTCAATTAAAATTATCGTGCACATATTTTGTCTTAACTGTGCTATGATGAATTTATATTTGGGTAATTTGCGTCTGAATACTTTGAGGAATATATTTGCAAATTCTGAGCACGTATTAACCCTATCAATTATCACAGCAGTATTATTATAGGTATTTTTCTGAATTCTGAGATAACAAATTGCTCTAGTAAAATTTTGATATGAGAGAATTTTTTAGAACAACTGCAATTAATGTTTTTTAATCCATTTCCAATATCATCGTACCAACTCAGCTCTCTGTCACTTATAGTTTTATACAAACATTTTAATCTCTGACAGACACCAGCCTCTCTGTTCAAACAAGCCCTGCTTATTTTTTGGGTGGAGTGGGCATTAGAAATCAAATTCTAATAAATTAAATATTTGCCTTTCTTTTCATATTTACACTTGTGACAAGGAAAAATAATTCCTGATAAGTAAAAATACAAAAGTTGGGTTTGGTCCTTTTTTGGTTACTAATATATTACTTACGATGTACAGTTCTGATGACTGAATAAGCATGCTATGATGAATTTATATTTGGGTAATTTGCGTCTGAATACATTGAGGAATACAACAGAATTCTGAGCACTGCTGGTCTTGAATTCTGAAAATTGTATAATATGTTCTTGCTGTTATTATTATGTCTTGTTTACATTAGGTAATATATATATTATTATTTTTTAATTGCAGGTGTCACTTTAGATAAAACTAAGAATGTTGAAGTGTGGGACCCCGATGTAAAACCAGATGCAAATGACAGTTCTCATGTATTTAGAGGCGAACACACCTTACTTGTAAAACAAGTAAGTAACATGTACAATATTAAAGTCGAAGACTTATTGTTTTTACATAATATTATTTTCATTTTTTCCTCAAGGCTGTCCTTGGACCTGAAGTATCTGATGGTGATGTTAATGTAATTGAAGTCGAAGCGATGGGATACAAATCAGATATAAAATTCCCAGTTGTTGTTTTAAAAGGAGGTTCAGGTCTCAGTCAATGTGTACTCGATTTATTGTTTCCAGATCCACCAGTAACATTTAAACTTGTTAAGGGCAATGGACCAATTCATTTATTAGGAAACCATTCTGTCGGAAGTAAGTATTTAATCTAATAACTAGTTATAGTGATACCTTTTGAGTTCCAAAATTATTTTTGTTCCTTGAAACAATTAAAAAGGTTTAAAAATTTATTTTTATTTGGAGTAGCTGGCGAAGGAATGGCTGATGAAGAAGATGATGATGAAATTGACGAAGAATTTGAAGAAGAAGAAGAAGACGTTATTGAAGAAGTTACTGAAAAAAATAGTGTAAGTTGTTTTTTTTTATCTTAAATTACAAACAAGCCTTAATTATGACACTTCAATTTCTTTTTTTGCAAATATTTATATTTATTTTTAAATGATTATTGGCATTGATATTAAAATACACAAATAACTAGTGCTGTATAATGTACTGTTATCTGAAACATCCAAAATTTTCTTAAAAAGAAGTTCTTACTAAATTACAAAATAACTATTTGAAAGAATTATTTCTAAACTACAGTGTTATAAAAAAAATATTATTTAATTATAATAATCTTAAAAAATTATTTTAGGTTGATGAAAAGAAGCGAAAACTAGCTGCGAATTCAAACTCAAAAGGCAAGGCGGCCAAAAGGCCTAAAGTTGACAACGAAGTATTTAGAATTGAACATAATACTAACCTATTATTCCATTTTTAAATGAATTTTTTTATTATTTTAACATATACAATTTTTCAAATAGGAGTGGGGCAGGGGGGCATAGTGCAAATTTTAAATATTTTGGGTAAAATGGTTATAAGTTTTTGGATATTAATAAAATCATTATCTAACAAATGCTTCTTCGATGCAAACTATATGTGAAATACTATCGAGTATAATTTTTAGGCAATAAACGTTAATTTTTACATATTTCCTAGAAAAAACAAAATAATGTTGATTGGTCTAATAGGAAATTTATAATATTATAAAAATATTTATTTTTCAAGAAACTACCAAATTAATCATCATTCCAAAAACTAATGCATCATATACTAAATTCACCACCTGTATACCTACAGTCCAATTTTTAGACTTAGTCCAAATAGAAAGTTTTTACTTCTGTCTGGGGGTAAAAATAATACTGTAGTTAACTAAACATATAAAACACAAACGCACATAAAAACATAATATAACTTTTTTACTTCTGCATCGAAGCCAAAATATAACATTTTCAATTGTAGTATTTCTATTATATTTATTGTTGGTTTTTTTTATTTTACGTCTGTAACACCATATTTGATTATACATTTTTATTTTTTGCAGTCTAATTAACACTCAACATCTAGTTTGGATGTTCCTGGATTTGAAATTCCATTGAAACAAGAGACACTGTCCTCTGGTGTTAATTTATTTAACAATTAAGTTTTATAATTTCAAATTGTTTTTTTTTTTGTTTTCTGACCTTATTCTTGTAATAGATGTTTTAAATTTAATTTTAAGGTCCTATTTGTCACCGACGAAATGCGTCAAAATATTATAAAGTAACATAGTTGTTTAATATCAGATACATTTTTTTTTTATAATTTAAGTCACTTTATACAATAAAAATACAATGTCTTGTTTTACATGCATTTTTTACCGTCGGAATACTGCTTTTGTTTCTTTAATTATATTTTCCCCTAATTATTCATGTCGATGACTTGATGAATCTATTGGTCTAATGCATAACACGTAACATAAGGAGAATTGTATGTCGTTGTGCAGAATTTCGAACCGTTCCTTGTGATAAACTGACATCCTATCAGCATGGAATCTTCCCTCATGTAACAGTATGCTAACGTAACTACCTGTGACAGATAAAATTGCATACGATTTTTGAATTTTTCACCCAACTATCTATAGAATGCATACTGTGAGGTTGATTTTCCAGACCCGAATCCAAGAATCTTCAGATACAGATATTAAAAGATCTGCATCTTTGGCAGTTGACATTGCTGTTACTGACCGAGCGTGAGCCGACACTTGAATACACACAGGTAGTTGATCTTCAGCATCTACATTTGGTATTCTTGTGGCTGGATCAAACACCCTGATTTTTCCACAACTATAACCCACAGCCATTAGTCCTGTTCTCGTTATTTCTGTAGTTGTACAAGGTTGTCTGACCAATATATAATTATATAAACGACCAATGTCTACTTACACTTTTGCATTATATCGGTGCATTCTATATGTGTATAGGTACTACAAATTGTAGTTAAATAAATGAGTGCTCATTTTTTGAAAAAACAAAATTTGTATTAATCTAATGACGAGACTTTATAACCAACCCTTCAAAACCGTTGGATCTGGCAACGATCACCAATTCTCCACAATCTAGTTTTGATAGGACAGTATAACCTGATTCATCACATGACACTAAATTGTGTTTGTACGATGCCATGTCTGTTATTGGAGCTCCGTGTATTAATTTTCTGTCAATAAACATTATTTGGCCCTGTTCGTCTGGACCGAACACCCTTATTGATCCGTTACTATTGCCTTAAAAACGATTTTAATATACAGAGTAGAGTGGTTGAAGTTCTGGTCAAAATTCACATAATTTTCTTCCAACTAAAAAATAATTCAATATAAGAAAACATTTTTATGTGTACAACGATTCTTCAATAAAAAAAAATAAATAGTTTTAAAATATATATATTTTGTATAGTTAGAGAGTAAAATGTGAATTTTGCTCAGAGCCCAGCTATTATGACCATTACAATACACACCAACACATAAGTATGTACAATCAAAAGTCGCAATGCCTTTTGCAAATTTTTCTTTAGTTGTTTTATCTTCACAACTGTGTGAATATACCCGTTTAAAATGGTCGTTGTAATTGTAGATAATTAAACCTTCTGAACAAGTTAATACTAGACAATTCATGTAACCTAGTGTACACCAGTGGACCTGTAAATATAGTAGTTGAACTGTTTTTATTCCCGATATCATTTAATTTTATCTAATAATGAATTTACTATTTTTTACTTGAGTAACATCCGTTTTGGTATCTAAACAGTAGTCACCATCGGCCTCTGAACTTTCACTACAGACAATATGAATCTTCTGTTGATTTATTACGGCTAGACTAAATGGATTATTTTGGTCTTCAGAAATATTTACAGAAACATTGTTGGTAATGGCCGAGGCAGAGCCTCTGATTGAAATCCTTTTTTCTTTGGTATAAATCCTGAAACAAAAATTTAAAGAGTAACTAAAGTTTTTTTCAAATAATACAATTTTCATTTTTTTTATTTGGTTTGTATTTTGTACATTACGAGCAACTATTTGCTATATTTTCCAAGTGAAAAATAGTTATATTCATAAATAAACAACCATTTTATCACTTGGAAATATACGACAAATTGTTTATAAAAAAGGTACAAGTCAAATTATAAACTACATTTTTATCCTTTTTCGCTTGGTATGAAAACAAAATTGGTTAAATATTTAAAATGTTTGGAAAACAAATTATTAATTTTTAAAATCATAAAATTTGAAATTATTATATTATAAAACTGATGCGACCATTACAGGCCATGTTAAATTTGCGACCTTTTCGTTTCAACATAAATTACTTAGAAATATTTTACATTATTATCCAAAATATTAGTAATTTATTATACTTATTATAATTGTATTGATTTTTTGAAAAACACTAAAACGAGTCTATACTCTATGATATTTACAATGTAATCCTTTAATGGGAAATGAATTGCAAATAATAATTCAATACGCTATATGTGGCTACACTGTACTTCAAATACCTTTTTTCTTTTTACCAATCTCATGTTTTCTGAGTTTTGAACATCGTCCACTGATCAACGCGGAATTCGTTTGTCTGTGGATAATAATTGAGCAACACGTTTTTGCCGGTTTTTCGCACAGTTTGTGTAAACGTTTTGTCCTAACTTGGTTCACTTAAAGTCGGTTTTTTAAGTCAGTTTAACTAACTCAGGTAAATATCCCATAGCGAAGAAAAAACATTATTTCAGGTTAACCTCCTCCAGTGTTTTATTTACTCGAGGTCATGCATGGTGTGCTCTTGCAATTGTTACAGAAAACAACATGCCTGAATTGACGGAAATCGATTGTACCAAAAAGGTGAGCTTCGATGAGCCCAAAAAAGATGCCGATAGCGACAGCGACTCGAGTGGTGTGGATGTCGGCGCCGGTAAGGGAGCAGAAAGCGCTAGCGGTACCGTAGCTGAAGACCTATCTAACAAAGCCAGACAATCAAGAGGAGAGAAAAAAGCCAGAAAAATAATTTCCAAATTAGGTCTAAAACAGGTAAGATAAATTTTTATAGTACACATTGATTGTATTGTAGGCCGATTAATTTGTGAACTGCCAACAATTTTTTTATGTAATTTTAATGGTTAAAATTCTTTATTTTGGCTCTAACTCTCTTACTTGGAAAGCTGTGTTAAGAACACCCCTTTCCTACACTTTGTCATGTTTTAGTATCAAAATTGCCAATGTACTCATTGCATTTTTACTCCACCGTTTCACGAGTTAACGAGAGTCTGTAAGTTTGTATAAAAATAATACCACCAATGTTTTTGATTAATAATTGTAGATTCATGGCGTTAATAGAGTGACTATTCGAAAATCTAAAAACATCTTGTTTGTCATCAACAATCCAGACGTGTTTAAAAACCCGGCTTCTGACACGTACATTGTGTTTGGCGAGGCTAAAATCGAAGATTTGAGTCAACAAGCTCAAGTGGCAGCTGCTGAAAAATTCAAGTCTGCCGATATGATGCCGAATGTATTGGATAAAGACGGAGCTTCAAGGCCGATGGTGAGTCAACCCATACAAGAAGAAGAAGAAGAAGAAGGTGAAATTGATTACAAGGGAGTCGAAGAGAAAGATGTAGACCTGGTGTGCGCACAGGCACAGGTGACCAAACGTAAGGCCATCGAAGCCCTGCTGAAAAATAACAATGATATTGTTAATGCGATCATGGATTTGACTATGTAATAATAAGTTAAGCTCTTAAAAGAGAAAATAATCATCATTTATTAATTAGACTGATGATTTGATCCAATTAAATTGAAAAAATATAACAGTTGATTACATTAAATACAAAAAATGATTACTACTTCTTTCACACTATGACGTGTAAATATTTTTGTTTCAATCAACAAAATATCCATAGAAATGTCTGTTTTACATTTATTGTTATTAAAGCTTGTTAATGCTTTGATTTTTCATATTGAATAATAAATATCCTTTAAACAAAGAGCCAACATCTTGTCTTTAGTTCTGTTTTGACCTATCTTCTGAGATTAGGACGTAAAATTGAAGTATTGATACTCGTAAAAATAAGGCTGAAAGCTTCATAACGATTTTATTCTAGAAACATATTTTTTGAGATATAGTTTATAATTAACTCTTAATTGTAAAATAACCTATTACTTCATCAAAATAGGTTAACAATATTATACTTTTAGATATATATTATGGTCGAAAAATAATATACAAAATTAGTAAAAATGAAGTTGATCTATGTAGTAAGTACTAAATCCAAATCAAACCTGTGTGTTATTTTATTAAAAAATAATTTGAAATACATCTTTATTTATTATTTGACATAAGTTATTACTTATAATAAATTCCAATATTTTATACAAGTATATTTATTTTTTGGCAAATTGAAATAACCTGTTGCTTTAAATGTAATGGTAACGGTTATCTAGCTTGGTTTTTTAATCATTCTTAGGATTACAAAACACACGTACCAAGGGCTAGGTGTGAAATGGGTCAATTTTTTTTCTTGGAGCTAATCGATTGATATCAACACTTACACTAAACTTATTTAATTACTGTTAAAAAATACCAAAATATTTCAAAATTAATATGCCTTTATATTAAACATAATACGCAAATTTTTAAATACTAAATACAAAAAAAAAAAAAATGGACAGTTAACAAATATTTAAAAAATTAAAACTAATTTAACATAAGTTATAACTACATATATTTATATATATATAATAATAAGAATATAATATAATGATCAGTTATGGTAATCCTAAACTCAATATAATAGATTTGATAACTGTGTTTTCCATAACTTGTTTTTATCATATATAATATAAATATAAACTATGTAAAATATTATACACATTAAACTAAATAAAAAGTAATAATTAGGCGTTAAGAGGATGTTATATATTTACATAAATTAATATTACATTATATAGTTAACACAGAAATCAATATGCTCAACAATATTATTACCTAAGCAAATATCTAAAATCACAGAAAATAATTATTATATATAATAATACAATTATTAGAGAATAAATTCTCAATTAAGATTATTAATGAGAACAGCTTTTACAATGTTTATGACATTAGTTTTTTTGGTCTCCATTCATAAACCAGTGAACATGATATCAGCATAGTAAAAGTAATAATTGTCATATTCAGAAAAAAATTACTTATAGTAACAATGAATATACTTATATCATAAACTTGATTACCGAACGGGGAAAGTGAATTTTCTAAAAGCGAGAGGTTATCATGGAGACCAAAATAAAGTCCGTAAATGTAAGTGACCAAATGTCTCAAAACACATTAGAAAAAAAATGGTAAATATATATTAAAAAAATCAACATCTAATACTAGCACAGTAGTGCATTAATACATTTAATTTCTAAAAACTTATTACCATTAAAACGAAGTGATACATAAATACTTATCTTCAGTTACTTTTTTCGTATCGGAATGTATACTAAGTTTTGAATAATCTGTTAAATAATGTTTCAAAATAATGAGATAAGTAAATCAAAATATAAATTGTTTTGTTATAGAACTGATATCACAAAATTGTTGACCAATTAGAGATGTACAATGGAACAGTTTAATAAGTTGTAATTATCACGAACAGAGAAACACACACTTCTCAGGCAGGCTGTGTCAATTATATAGTTTACACGACGAGTGATTAAGTCATTTACAACAATATAAAATCAGAAAGAATTATATCACTCATCGAAGTTGTTAATTAATAATTTTAGAAATTGAATCTCAAATATCTATTGGTCAACAACCATCAGTAAATGCTCCATATAAATATACGATTTCATCAGTCTTATCAGGTTGGACTATTTATAAACAATAACTAAATTATAAGAAAAATAGTTTAAATATTAAAAATGAGAATTTGTCTATATGCGTGCTTCACTCGGATGTTGACTGGCTTTCAAACCTCTGCCTGTCCAACGGACATCTTCTTTAGCAGGTAAAGGCGAACTACTGTCTATACCATTAGTCTTGGATTGTTGAACGTTACCAACTATTACGAGAGCAGATGCTATTGCAAGACCTATATAGAAAAGAAAAGGGTTCAATATTTGTAAGACATTTACATGTAAAATTACCATATTCAAACATACCCGAATGGCCATGTGGTGTATATTGATCGTTCCCAGTAGGCTGTCTTACAAGTAATGTCAACACTGCCGCTTTGTTACCGGCACAGGGTTCTAAGGCCACAGGATTAGGCACATCCTAAAAAATAAATATATACATATATACCATACATAATTGAACAACTGGTTAAATTGTGCTTAAACACTTACTATTTTACGTTTTCTTAAGTTATTCGAAACCGATATAGTTGGTATATGACTATTGGTGTCAGCATTACGTTTTTCTATTTCTACTTCTACTACTGAAAATGGTCTACTAGCCATTTGTTCCATTTCTACAAACATTCTCTGTACAAAATAATTTAAAACTATATTAAAACATTTTTTTTTTTTAAATACATAATAATTAACCAAATATTATATTTAATAAACAGCAACAGAGAGGATATCATTATTCATTAATTTATTCCAACCTGTCTGCGACGATACATGTCATATTTCTGTTTGAGTTTCCATAGTATTGCGGCCACTAACAGTAGTAGTAAGAAACATCTACAAAATAATAAGTAAAAATTGATTTCTTCAACAGGAAATAATAATTGTCAATACTTACGATGAGAAAGTGATGAAAAATTGTTGTAGGTTCAATTTAGGATACTGAGAAAACGATATTTGAATCCAGAGTGGAGGTTTAAAGTCATACACATAAACATAGAACGTTGTTAGAGTTATATTTCCGTCAGTGCCAAACATATAATCAGACTTTAAGAATTTAGTTTTAAAATTCGAACAGTTTTGAAGAGGCAGTACCATTTTTTCTACGCCGTATGCTGAAAAAATATAAAGTAAAAAATGTATATTCATTTATCTAAATTATAATTTAATATTATTTTATCCGAAACTTACCTGGCTTAACTGTGATGTTCATTTTTGCCATCACCGAACATGTTATGCTAAAATCAGCATCAACGTCGGACTTGGAAGGAGAATTTTGAAAATTAATTTGTGTAAATCTGAGATCATCTTTTTTGGAGAGATTGAATGTGAATTGATAGTCAATTGTCAGATCATCTGAAATAAAAGGCAAATTTTAGCATTAAAAAAAGTATTATCTTTACAATGATGTTTATTTTTCTATTTATGTGCCTAGTCAATGATTTAAATATACAAGGTTGTTGCACATATACCGCTCTTCATCAAATATTCGATGATAACACGAATATGTCAGCATAACAGGCAGCCAATCAAAATCAAGTATATAAGTACACAGTAATATATATAGTAATAGTAAAGTATAATATAGTAAAATTGATATCCCGTTACGCTGTCATTTTATTTCTGAAGATAACAATACGAGACGATGGGCAATAACCTGTATATTTCAACCATCGCCTAGTCCCACAATATTTTTTAAACCAATTTCTTCAAGTAGCAACACTGTAGATTAGAAATCATACTAAAATAATTGTAAAACGATTCATATTAATAATGAATAGTTTTTACTATCTACAGTTTTGGATTGGTTTTTTTTTTTTGAGTGATTTTATCACTTAATAATTGTAATATTTTCTGAGGAACTTCTCATCCTCAATATACTTTGTCACTACTATGCCCCAAACCTAACGCGTGCTGTCTTTTTTTGATATTTTATATTTAAAAAAAAAATAACTTACAAAAACAGGAGCCATGATTGGAGGGATCGCCCAAATAATGATTATTCGTATCACACTTCTCACAATTGTCTCCGACAATGCCTTTTGTCGTACAAAAACATTTACCATTCTCTTGATTGCACTGGTTTCCTTGATTGTTACAACGACATTCTATTTTGCAAAACCACATAAATAATTACATTGATTTATAAGTTAAAAACAGATAAGTGGACAACTCATTTTTGTACCTTTGCATTCTCCGCCGTTAATTGGATTTCCATAATAACCTTTAATACAAGTTTCACAATTTCGACCTTCTGTAAAGTTTGAACACGGATGTATGCAGACATCAGTATTATTCATACAAGTACTATGACCGTTACATTGACAAGCTAAATGAATAGACAAAATAGAAGTTGATAAAAAAATGTTTACAGTAAATATTTGTTTGTCAATTTTATGTATTCACTTACTAGGACAATGTGTGAAATACCATTTGTTTAAGGAGCAAGATTGAGGTGGTGTACTACCGCCTGCCATACATGACCCCAGACCGGTTCCAGAACCGTCGTCGCACCAACCACACTCTGGATCGTCTCGACAATCAACACATGTGCGATAGAAATTGCATTGAGAATTACCTAATATTACTTATATATTATTATAATTTACAAAAAAAGTACTACTTATAGAAATTATGATACTGAAATAATAGATTTACCGGGAGATGGACGACAACGGTGTTCATCAGTAGTCCACTCTCTACATTGACCATAAGGAAATGAAGATGTGTATGCATTTTTGTCGATGCATCGTTCATTGTTTTGACACCAAATACATTCGTCTTTTGTGCAATTTGTACATTCTGTGTAATGATCACAAACACTCTCGCAAACGTCTGGTGACTAAAAATGTTTGAACAATAAAAATTAAAAAATATAAATACTATTCTTTATGCCACTTCCCTATTAGGTTAATCGTGGAGATAGAGTTAGGCATTATTTGAATACATTTTTAAAAAAAACATTAATTTAAAGAAGTAATTTAATAAACTTTTTAATAAATACATTTTTAAATCATTTAGTATAATAAATGTATTATCTACAAAAAAATTTATTTTTATTTTTTATTTATTATTTGTGAGGAATTATTTTAAATCAGGGATTGAAAAAATGTTTTTCAAGCTGAAAATTACCCTATTTGTTATAACTACAAAATTATTGATATTATGATAGTTGGATAGCTTAATTGATTTTAAACTTATAAAAAGGTGTTAATAAAAAAAATGTATAGTAAAGTTATACCTTTTAGAATGATATAAAGGGTGTCCCAAAGATAGCACAACCGTTTAAATGGCACAACCATGTTAAAAGTTGCACTATTTTTGGGACATCCTATATATAGTATATTTACAGCTTTTGTAGGTATGTTATGCAAGAAAGTAAATATGGTTAAACCAACTAACCTTTGTGTCGTAGGCCATAGTAAGATTAATGATGGGCGTACACACTGGACTTGGAGTTTCAAGATTAGAACTCCAATGACATCCAGTATGTGTGACGCAAGACTGACACGAATGGAGATGGCTACAACGCATGTGGTCAGCATTTTCATTCATACACTGATATCCAGACGTTATTGGCTGTTAGGTATACATAAAAAAAAAAAAAAAATTGCTGTCAAAGTGCATTTTGAGTCAGTTTGACTGAAGCTTACACGTTCGCTATTAAACACCATGCCTTCTTTGAACATTGTTGCACACTGTTCAATTTCGTGAATACAAGTATTCAAAGACGGACACCAACCACATCGATGGGTATGAACGCAAGATTCACAAGTAGTTTGATGACCACATTGCATTAAAATGCCTTTGACTTGTGATAGACCTTCATCTGGACAACGGCTGAAATTGTTTGGATTCAGTTAGTATTTAAGTTATATTAAAAATAAAATTACGACTAACAATACCTGTATGTCGATTCATAATCAAATCCTGGAGTAGTCATAGTGATTTCGGTGAATGACAAACAAGCAGCTTTTTTATTATCCCAAATACATTTTACACCAAAATGGTGACTATTTAAACAACTAGTTATCATATTATTAGACGAACAATTTCCAGGAGTAAATCTAGTAAAACAAAAACAAATATAATAATTTAAGTGCATTTGGTGTAGGTAATGGTTATTTACTTTATTATGTCATTAAGCATTTGACCGTTAAATCCACCGTAAATATAAGTGGACTTTTCAAATGTTATAGCCGAGTGTCCAAATCGCATGATGCTGGTAAATAGATTTGTGGGCAATGTCATGTGTATCCAAGAGTCACAGTAAGTATCATATAACAAAGGCTGTGATGCATAACACTGAGCACCAGCCATTGGAGAATTAATTCCGGTATCGTTATGTATGTTTCCACCATATATTAACATTAAACCACCTAAAGAACCCAACATCGAACCACTGTGTAAAAATCTACCACTCGGACCATTACTCATTAAATACCTAAAAAAAAAAAATTAAAAATTAAATAGTACTTCAGAACGAACCCAAATGTTTTTATTACGAAAATACCATGTATGCGTGTAAGGATCGTAAGAATATAGCTTAGAGGACAATGCCGATTGCAATGGGCTCATCGACACATAACCACCATAGACAAGTATACGTTCAGTTACAGGATCCCAGGCGGCGCTGTGACCGTATCCGCCTTTGACTGGATATCCTTTGGTTTTTACAACTGCCCATTCTCTAGTGCCTATAAAATGCAATTGATAATTAATTTATATTTGACAATAAATTAACGATTATGTAAAATACCAAAATAATATTCTTGTACGAAATTCAAAAATCCATATGTAGGGGAATGTCCAAAGATAATAATCATTCGCTCTGTTACATAACGACTGCCGGATCCGGAAGTCTGCTGAATAAATGAAGGCGGTACCAAAGTCGCAGTATGTCCTGCACTACGCAATGGTCCACAGAGCGCCTGATTTGTGAAACCGATGTTGACTAGGTTACGTTCACATGACCCAGTATTAACCGTTACATTTTCCCACGACTTGGCACTAATATCATAAGCCCACAGTTCATTGCACACTGTGCCATCTATTTTTACACCACCATAAACATATATTTTATCCTGAAAGCCAAAAATTAACAACCATTAACACACAAAATTGACTCATATCAATTTTATATTTGATATCAAGATAAGAAGGTATTGATTTAAAATAAATGTATACGTACACCAAACAGTACAGATGAATGACCGTATCTTATGGTAGGAGTTGTCTTGCTGATTAGATGAGGAGTTTCCCATACGCGACCTATTTAATAACAGAGAAATTTAAAATCAATATTAAGAAATTAACGTAAAATTATTGATCACAATTTACCGTTAAAATCATAAACATATAACATTTGTCCTTTTTTGAAAGACTCTCCTCCGACAATATACATTGAATCTTGCCACACAACTGCCGTATGTGACGCAGATCCTTGTGGAACAAAGTCGCTATTTTTGAGTACCTCCCAATATCCATGTTCAGCTACTTGACTGCAATCATCTCCTAAAAAAAAAAGAAAGCATAAATATGACACTCCGCAGATAGTATGCAGCAATTTCATTAAATACCTCTGTACTTAGAATTGCAAATGCAGCGGTGTTGTTGGCTATCACACACTCCGTTACTGGCAGTACAATTATTAGGACAAATAGGAATGTGACAAGCTTCACCAATAAATTTGGCGTCACAAGTGCATACAGAATCGATACAGACACCATTGCCTGAACATTCGACCATGGACGTGGTACTCGGACAAGAGTTTAAACTATACAACAGAACAAGATTAAATTAATTAATTTACAACAACTAAAGAAGGGTGTGTACCTGTATGTAATATTAAATCCTGATAAATTATAAGCTATATCACTGTAAAAATGCAACAGTGCAAATCCTGAATGAGCAACTACTTCGGGCACACTTTGCAGCGAATAATATTTTGTATACATCAAGCCGCTATAAATAAAAAAAAACAAACAGTAATTATACTTAATTAATAGATTAATAGATATCAATTGACAAAAACACATTATACCTGTAAACGCCGAGTAACGGAGAATGAACACTGTCGCCGTCATAAATGTACAAATGATCCCAACCACATTCAGTGATAAACTCTTCGAAATGAAGCCTTATTGTTGAATTGGTAGAATTTCCAGCTTCAATTAACCAACTACATTTAACATCCAGCGAGTAATTTCCAATACCATCAAAAATAACACCGGAAGTTCCATTGAGCCTAAATTTAAGAAAAAAATTGTATTAACAAATAAATTAATTTTATTTAAATATCTATCGAACATGCATACCAAGTTTCTTTATTTACAATGTAAAGAAATATTAAATATTCCATTTTTAAATTAATTAAAAATAAATTTCTGTTTAATGTTTCTGATTTTTCAACAAGTCTATTTTAAAGATAGAATATCTTTTTTTGTACTATTATTTTAACTCACAATAACTAAGTACAGCCGTTAGGGGGTTTGATAGCAGGCAGTTTATAAGGAGTATTATATTGGTAATATTTAAGATAAAATTCTAATAAATTTTGACCAAAATCAATTTACTTTCAGGTTAATTTATATAAGCTTTAGGGTATTAGTTTTAACGTCATTTCCATTTTTATTTCTAAAGCAAAATAATAAAATTAAAAAATAAAGTTTAAATTAAAATTTTTTTTTTATTTAAATAAAAAATTAATTAAATTAAATAATGCCCAGATTTGCGTGTAACCTTATAACGAACATTTTTAAAAAAATCAGGGTTACAATTTTTTCTGAGTTAAAGCCATATTGGTGGTACAAGAAACCAATTTAAACCTAAAAGCCTGACAAAACTACAGCTACAGCAGAAATATCATATTTTAATTCTGTAAAAATATTTGAGGTCATCAACCTTTTTTATTGTGAAGTTGATTTTTAAATACCTGTTTTATTTACTTAAAAAAAGACATGAAAGTGAACACTAAAAATGTTGAGAAATTAAAATAGGTTTTAGACACAATTTTAATTGAAATATCAAACATGGATACTCAGAATAAACTAGAAAAGTTGCCAATAAACTCAAATATTTTTACAGAATTAAAATAGGACCATCTTAAAATAGGCAAAATGTTGTCAAACTTAATGGTCCAAAACGTCCAAAAAACAGACTGCTTTCAATCCCCACAGCATAATTTTTTTCACTACTTTATTTTCAATGTTAAATTCAACTCTTTACGTAAAGAAAATTGTTAGTTGTATAAAAAAAAAACTATTTATCTACAACTTTTTTTTTAATAGAAAAGGAGTTTTTAAAAATCTAAATATTCGTTAAACATTTTATGATACAGTTTAATTTATGAGTTAACAGCCAAGTTAATTTTTTAAATTTCAACAAAAGTTTAAATATTAACTGTACGCACTTTTTGGTAAAAAATGAATTAAATTACACATTTTAAAAATTAAGGTATTTTTTTAAACTACTATCAATACAAGGTTTATATCATTCTATTTATTCAGTTGGTATGATGTTGATACTCTGCAAACAATTATATACCATAATACAATAAAAGCATACAATGAGATTGACTTTGAAAAATATAAATCCAATTTGTAATAGCCTGGACTCTTAATCTAAACTATTAAGAATATTTGTTGTCCTTCTTGACGATGAATCGATGCAGAGAGATGGGTTTGTGAAAGTAATAATTTAAAACTGTCTGAATACTGCTCAGATTAAAATACTTTTATTATAATATAAAACAATTAAACATGTACAATCACAATGACTTGTCATTTAACTAATGGCTATACAAAGTGTTGTAGTTCGTTTGGGTGATCTAACTCGTCTGTTTTAGTGTTGTTCCTTACTGGTGTTTATATGAATGCGAAAATAGTAATCGTGTATTGTGTGAATTTTGTGGGCTAGTGTGCATAGAGTAGGCTTTAGATAATAGTAAGTTCGGACGCCACAGCGGACGTGCGACCTGTATATATTTATGATATTTGTATAACATACTGTGTGATATTATTTTATCTACTGTAGCCTATATTAATTTTCAATTATTCAATGTTTTCAGTCTACATATAACTCTATACTGCTTATAATACAAACTTGTGGCCATAAAAACGAAATTTTTTGTAGTGTTAACATTTTCCCACAAAATTTATCACTGCCAATAATTACAAGTTAATTGACCCACATTGCAAATGAACTGTAGGTTGATTGACACAGATGTAAGTAATTGGTACTTACTTGACTTTACCACCGCAGTACTGACACTGAGAGCCTTGCCATCCGTCGTGGCAAATGCATGTGCCGTTTTGGCAAAAACCGTTGCCGCAGTCCAAGTCTTGTGTGCATTTGTCTTCAATGCAATCGATCACAGACACTAAAAGTGACACCAGCACTACTAGAATACAAGTGAAGTCGGCTATAGTCCGTTTCCGCCGGTACTTGGACTTGAAGAGAAACAAAAACATGTCCACCAATGCTTTCATGCGATGGCACACACCAAAAACTGAACGGGACAAAAATCAAAATTTTCCTCTATTATTGTTTACTTCAGAGTGCTGCCGTCAGCCGTGTCCCAAATCGTCTGCGTGTGTCTATCTCTTTCACACACTTGCATACTGTACATTTACACATAATATACATTGGTCACATTGATAACGTGGATTTCGATGATAACGGTAAACGCAAACAATAGGGGACAAGATACAATTTATTTTCACATCATGTCTGGTATAGACCCTTTTTAATATGGTTACTGGTTTGCGGTAGCCATAATGATGATAATATCACTAATCAATATTCAGTTCTGATCTGGAACTGACGTCTGCTCAGCTTGATGACTATCTCTGTTTACGGCCAGAGGAAAGGTAATCTAGAATCTGTTTCCGATTCTGTGATTTCCCAGATTGTTCGTCTATTTAACTTTTGATAAATAACGATCAACATTAAAATAAATTCACAGTATTTTTTTTTTGCCGTTCCCTTAAAATGAGCGTTGACATGGCTGAAGAAGGACAAGTAAGAATGAAAACATGGTTACTTCAGCTACAGCGAAACCTGTCTCAGACGGATCTCTTGAATAAACTGAAAAACTGTACATGATAGAATTTGTGTATGTTTCAGTCAAACCGCGTTTACATGTATATTTTACTGAATAATGTGGAATTTTCTTTCGGTTCCCTGCGTTTTCTTTGACAGGTTTTGCTGTTCTGGGTTGTTTTTACATAACATAAATTATATACGGTATCACTTAGTAGATGGTGCTGTCCGCTAATCAATACCGTATATAACTTAATGTTTTGAAAAACTCTTTGTTAACTGTTAAATTGTTTGTATAGGAAGAAGAGAGCGTCGGTTACGGAGGGTGCGAAGGCCCAGATGCAACGTACGTTAAGTTGATTTCAAGTGATGGTCACGAATTCATTGTTAAACGTGATCATGCCTTAATGTCAGGTACTATCAAAGCAATGTTGAGTGGTCCTGGTCAATTCGCCGAAAACGAAACCAATGAAATTCATTTCAGAGAAATACCGTAAGTTTGTTCTTTTAAATATATGTTATCAAATTCATTAATATTTATTATTATTCAGTTCACATGTTTTGCAAAAAGTCTGCATGTACTTTACGTACAAAGCTCGTTACACCAACAGTTCTACGGAAATACCAGAATTCCCCATTCCACCACAAATCGCATTGGAACTACTGATGGCCGCCAACTTTTTAGATTGTTAATGTGCAATAATATTACCAACATGATCAATTTAAATCTTTAAAGTATGATACAATTCATTAACTATTTAAGTTGATGTACATTTTATATTAATTTTTGTATCGTCTTTATTCTTAACACAATTTATATCAAAGTATACCTATATATTGAAATATAACATACCCTAAGTTATATTCAAAATATTTACAGCTTTTCATCAAACATAATTATTTTCTATGTAGTGGCGTTATTGAGAATATAATATATGTATTGTGCCCTTTTTTTTTTGTGAGTCATCTTTGGCTTCATTATCTCCAAACAAGAAGATATACTTATATTACTTTTGAGTATTCTAATGTAGTTTATTTACATTCAAAGTTACATTTTTTGATCAAGAAAATTATACATTTTTATGAATTGTGTTAGTTTCTTCTTAAAATTGATAAAACAAAAATAGTAACCAGTATGAAAAATAGGTACTACAAAAAATTAACATGGATTATGTAAAAATTACTTTCAATAAAATGTAATAAAATTGCCAACAAATTACTTTTTATTTTTACGGCTTTACGATCCATTAAGGTTCTTTACTGCCAAAACTTTTTCCTCCCATCTATCTCTATCATATTCTATTTCTAATTTATCTTATCTTCTTGACATACCACAATCCATAGCTCTAAACACTATCCATCCATCTTTATGGCCTTCCTCTCAGCCACATTCCATCTAAAGTCCAAGTCATTTATGTATTTATCATACACCCTCCACGCATTTTAATTTATTGCATTCTCTCTCATTCCTTTAATAAATTGTAAATTTACCCTTTTGAATACATCTTCTAATTATGCGTTAGTTCTTATTTCCCATTGTTGTGTTTCGGTGTTAAATACTGGGTCATGTATTTTTTTAAGATTTTTCTTTCTTTGTAGTTTCTTTTCAAACATAAATTACTTAAAAAATTATTTTGATTCAGTAACTGGTAACATACTTTAAGTTACTGCCTAACACTGGAAATAATTATGTTATGTAAAAATATATGATAAATACGAGAGATTAGAGTAACGAATCAAGAAAATAAACAACAACCTTTTGGTTTTTGTTTTTATTTTAAAAAATAAACGTATAAAAACAATAGTTCAAATTTACTAAAACATAGAAGCTAAAAACACACACTTACAACAAAAATCATATAACTTAATATCAACCTATTTATAATCCATTAAAAAAATTAGTACATAAAAGATAAAAAATATAAATACAAAATTAAGCAAATAGCTAAAATAACATATTAGCTTAAACAAATTATTAGATGTGTATTTTCTAATAGTATGCTGTACTTCTTAAAAATAAAAATAGTTTAAAATTACAAGATTAAAAAAAAGAATTAAAGAATTGCTTGTTTTATGCTACTGAGTACAGAATAAACAGAGTTGTTGCGCCATGATGAACTTGGATCTAAAAAAAAAATTAGTTTAAAACAAATTGAAGGTTGTAATTATTATTTTTTATAGTGATGACATAAAACAGAAAACTAATTATTAATCGTAGAACTGCTTGATATAATTAATTTATTATACTTTAATTACTTTCATTTTGACAATTCATAATAATAATAATGAATTAATTGAATTTTTCATTTGACTAGATATTTCAAATTTCGTTTGAATTATTATTTTCATTTTTATTATAAAGCAATTCAATAAAACTAAAAAATAGAGTTGAAATTTAAAATAAATTAAAACTATTTTTTTATTATATTTATTTAAATAAAAATGAATAAAATTGAATAATGGCCAGATTTGCGTGTAACATTATAACAAACAAATTTTTAAAAAATCAGGGTTAGAATTATAAAAACTGATCACTAAATGAATAAGTCTAGATACTAGACAATCTATGCATATTATAGTTAGATTTGAAATTGAGGTATTTTTAATTGTTAGTCATATACTACCTTGATCTTCAAAATTTTTGTCAACCTTCAAATGTCTTAGGAATAAGTCAACTCTTTGAAATTTTTCAATATTCTGTAATGATATATTTGTCCAAATAAATCTGCCTCTGTGTCTAACATTTTTAACTGGCATACCTAAAAGTATTGGTTGTCTGCCATCACAGAACCTAAAATTAGTTTAGTTAGAAAGTTGAACAAACATTTTTATTGATAAGCTCAAAAAAGTGGTAATATAATTTTCTCAAATAAACAAAAACTTACAATTTAAAAAATGAGTAATTTGTAATGAGGTTAGAACAAAAATTATTTTTACTTATAATACGCTGTATTGATAAAAAAAACTATCGCTATTACGTTTTAAGCTTATCTGTTATTGAACCAAAATAATAACAATAAATTCAAAAGGTTTACCTAGATATAATATTATGCTCTAAGTATGATATCGAAGCACTTGTTTCAAACGCCCATAATAATATATTTGAATTATCACTTTGTACATTTTCAATAATATTTTTAACCCTTATAAAATCAAAAAACTCTTCCAAAACACCATTTTCATCTAAAAAAAAAAGTAATGGTAAAAAATACAAAATATGTTACACATGTAAATTAGTTGAATAAAAGTATATTTAGATACATTTTTTTTTTTTTTAATACCAACCAAATTTGTTTATTTCATCTTCGTCACCACAGTTTGGGAAATATTTAATTAATATGCCAATAGGAAACCATTCTTTTATCTTATCTGTAGTAACTATAAGTTTTTCATTTTGTTCGTCAAACAACATAGAGTTCTCATTCTCTAATATAGCAGGAGAAAAGTGATCACAGGTGTTGTATATTTTATGCTGCCACTTAAGTGTTTCTACAACTTTAGCAACTATTAAAAAATTACGAGTTACAACACAATGAAAAACATAATATGATAATTTTCTTAATATTTACCAATGGCACATTTGTCTTCCAAAGCTAAAATATGTGTTTCTTGTATGTTTATTTCAATTTTTTCTAGTCCAATCGGATACAAGTTATAAATCTACATGGTGTATAAATATGTAAACCAAGTTTAATTTAAAATGATCAGAATGAATAAAAATTTAAAAAGTTGAGCCAGCAATACTTATATACATTTTGAAGTTGTTCGGCTTTTGATCGCCTAAGTAATCCACTTATAATTGTGTCGGGGTGTTCGTTACAAGAAAAACAACTCCATGGATCTTTCCGAAGTATTTCTTTAAGACCCGATTGGCCACAATAAATATTTAAGCAAACTGTACAATAAGATCTAAATTAAAAAAAATCAAACAACTCTAATAATAAAACAACAATAAATACTTTATATAGTTTAGAGGTACGAGTTAGTCTTACCGAACACAAGTATCACATAAAACTAATTCATTATGTTCAACAGAAACGCAAACACAACAAACGGGCTATAATTAAAAACACATATAATATATATAAATCAAATCTACTTTAATAAGCCTTAAAGGAGGGGGAAAATGCAAAAAAAGTGATGCCATTTCAATGAAAAATTGGAATCAAAAGACTGAAGAAAAATTAGTGGAATAAATGAGTTTAAGAGGAATCTATTAAAGTCAATCTTTTGCAAGTACATTCAATTTTATTAAACAGCTAATAAATATGTTTTTTTCTAAATTATTACGTATTGTAACTCTTATTTTATCTAATCTCAAGACAAGTTTATAATTCATTATTGAAAGTATGTTGGAACTGTAATAGTTAATAATTTAAATTAAAAATAATAATAATAATGTATAGCTTAAAAAGTATAGTTAACAAATTGTACTTACATTAGAATTATCACTCGCAGCGATAGGCATCAGAAAACGTTTTACTTTTTCCTTTATAATAGATTAGATTCAATAAAAATATTACCATATAAAAACTGTTAATATTCAATTTGATACGCTTACAAAACAATTATCACACAATGATCCGTGAAAGAGTGGATGAAAATGTAACATATCATGAGTAGCGATTCGACATGACAAACAATAGCGATATTCAACTTTTGCTGTCAATAAAAAGTTAACAGCATAAAATATTAAACAAAATTATTTGACTACTTATAAAAGTAATGTTATAATATTATATACCATTTGTTATAATACCAATTAATCATAATAATAATAATAATATCAGAATTTTATTATTATTTTGTATTACAATAATACATACCTTTTTTATAACAACGTGGTAGAATAATATTATCTTCTACATTTTGTTCTATAGCAAGTTTAATGTTTTTTCCATTTAAACATCGAATTTTATCTATTACATTTCTTGGAATATAATATTCTTCGCCTCTACTAAATTTTCCTAAAATATAAAAAAAACCTTATTAATTCAAAAACCACTATTAATAAAATCTTATTATTAAAAACATCTAGCTTTACTGTCTTAACATATAACTGTAATTATTTTCGTATATTGAATACTATGGTATTAGGTAACCTATTTGTGAGCAATAATGGACATTTTTTTTATGAAAATAATTTGGGTCAAAACTATTTGGTTTTAGAGACAAAATTATGATAATTAACCTAGTTCTAATTACACCTTAAAATAATAGATAGAATACTGAATAGGACTTAAGGAATTGATATTACTAGCATGATTAAAGATACCGCCATAGTATTACAGGTAGTCTGTATTTTATTGGCAGTATGGTAATTATAATAATCGGGTCAAGTAGAACAACAGTCAACTTGTGCCAGATCATCAGATCCTGGAACTAAATTTATGCTCCGTCCATTAGTTTGAGATATATGACCAGTTTATATGTAGCTTAATTCATATACACCTATTTTGTGCTTTGTGATGTCTTCAAAATGATCCAACGCCCAAGTTAATAGGTGATTAGATTTTTCGATCAAGCGTGTAGGCACCTCCAGGTTAAATCGTATTATTAATATCTAAAAAAATATGTATGACCCATAATTTAATTACACATTTCTTAGTAATTTGTTTTTAATTTAAAATTTAGAAATGGTCAATGTATAATCAATACTTTTAAAGCATCCTCAATGCCTTTTTTACGTTGACCGGTTGCTGAAATTGTTTGTTGTTTAAATTCATCACAAAAATCAAAAATTAAATCATTTTTTAACTGGAAAAAAAATTGTAAAAGCAAATGTTAAATAACGTGATTACATATTAATTTATGATTAACTTACATGTGAAAACGTATCGTGATTAAACCACCAAACCCAAGAATATCCAATTTTTTCTTCAAAAATTAGATCCAATTTCTTCGTTGATAGAATCATAGCTATGGATACAATTAATAAAATCACTAATTAATACATAATCAGTTAATTAATTATATTTATGAGATTCAAAAAGTTTTTATCTAGGTAATCAAATATATGAAAAAAATTTTAGACACCCCAAGAACACCAACTTTAATTTATTAATAACCTTTATTAATTAATACTCGGCTACATAATATAGGAGATATAGGTATACACAAAGAGTAGAAGACATAATGAAAATAGTTCTATAAATAGTAACTGTAAAATTATCAATATTTCTCGAATCAATGTGTGGTAAGCGTTCTAGGATTAATTAAACCATATAATTATTTTATAACAATGAACATTGTTGAAAGACACTATAGAGGTATTTATAATTTCTGATATTGTCATTATTATGTGTTAGTTTTATGGGAATATCAAAAATTAAAAAAATTAAGGCCGAGGCCAACTTTTTAATAAAATAGGTAAGCAATATAGTTAATATATTATACAGTTAATATATATGATAACTGTTTACCAAATCAAAATTAAAACGTACCAGCCCATGCTTTATCTTTTCGGGTCAATTTTCCCCAAACAATAAGTCCATGGTCGTATTCTAGGTTAATCTTCATGATTCACTCCAAGTACTATTAAAAAATTAACTCAATATAAACGATAATTACTAGGCTATTACAAAGCATATAATACTATAATTTTCCAATTGGAACAAGTAGGTACACTTACTTTAATATTATTGTAATACTTTTCAGCAGAAATCTGAACTACTAGTCTTCCATTTAAAAGTTTGAAGTATAAGTAGCAGCGGCTGGAAACTTTTTTTTTGTTTCAACATAAGATGGTATTTTGAAATCACTTTTATACAGTTGTAATTAAAAGTCATGTGTGAGTTATTTACTTGGGAAAAAATAAAAATAAGATTGCTAAAAAATATGCGTTGATATGTCAACTGCAGTTGTGCATGCAACACGTGATATTATGCCTGAGTCCTGACGTCTGTCAAGATTATTTTTAAGAAAAATAAAAAATGGAAAAAATTCATGGAAAAAAAAGTCGAAAAACGGAAATTTATCTTATTTTTACACACAATTATTTCTACTATTTTGATAACTGTGGTCGTTTTTCCTATTTTTCTATGAATTTTTACCTCTATTTTGTTTTCTACCCGTTTTTATGGAGAACCCAATTTGAAATCGTTACAATGAAAATGATACTACTAGGCACTAACGCCCGTACCGTGTCGGCATACAGAACTAAAATTTGACTCGGTGGGCCATCTATAATATTTATAATCAATTCTAATACCTATAATATATAGATCCTATTGATATTTTTTTTTTTCTACCAAAAAGAGAATTGACAGTAAATTGTTGCCTTAGATAGACAGGCATTTATTGCTATGTGAATTTTACATGAAAATTCAATTTTTATGTTCTGGTGTTGATATTTTGTATAATGATAGTATTTACAATTATTATTAATTTATAAACAACATGTTAATTTTAGTTACGTTTAATATTACGCCTTTAATAAGTATAATACAGACTTATATAAGTCCTGAAATCTGATAACATTTTTGACATAACAATTTAATTGCTAAATACTTTTTTTATTTAATTCTTATAAGTTATATAAAGTATTTGGGATTCCATATAAATGAGTCATATTTGCTTACTATCTCAACATCTGAAAAAACCTTATACTATTTTTACAGTATATAATAAATTGATGCATGTTTGAAAATAGGGTCCGGTGAGTGGTGATATGAGAGAAGGGAAGGCTCATGTCTACGCGTTAAGAAGTTGGAAAGTAGGTACGTCAAAATCTTTTAGTAGGCATCTCTAATCATATCGTGGCCTTAATACAACTATCCGTCCGTCTAAACTATACTTCCTTAATTGCATTAAAAAAAAATGTATAACCACATTCCTAAATCCTAATAATTATAGAAATAATATACATATGATTTAAGATTAAAAACATAATTTATTTTTGTTCACTAATTAAGGCGTTGCGTCGTCTGCACCAGTGTAATGTCAAAAAAAGTAACAATGACATATCATATTATTTAAAAATATTTCCAAACCATTTTCATTAATATTTAATTAATTAAGTTTTACATCTTTCATTTGATCAAGATTTATTTTTATAATAAATTATTGTTTGAATAAAACGCATGTGCATACTGGACGAGCTACTATGTACAGTATACACCCTTCTATCAACCACAATTACTCTGTCAATTAATTCAATCTATGCTAAATTAATATTAATAATGTAAAGCAAATTTTGTGTTCAAAGAGATCCTTTATTATATATAATATAATATAATATAGGATCTCCTAGAACACAAAATTTGCAAACCTTTGTTGGCTCTATGTGAGTTTTTAACTGCTGAAAACAATTCGTTTCTATGTTAACTTCTGCTTGTTGTTTGAATAACAAGACGTAGCAATTGTACACTGAAAGTAAATTAAAAGTAAATTCTTAGATTTTAATATTTTCAGCGAACAATATGCATTGTGTCGAAGCATTCTGCAGATATATTGTACGTTAAAACAATTACTTTTTCGAACGACTTAAACATTACTATCATGTTCTACCATAAGTTTGGACGTAACTTCAAGCTATTTCAAAAAAAAAACCGAAGGCGACCAAAAACTCAAAAGCCTGGAGACTTGATGGTAGGTATTTGGAACACATACAGTTATTATATTATGTAACATAATACAGCAATATGTCCTTCTCTCTCATTGTTATTTATAATAACTGTTTCAAAAAAAAAGAAGACTTTTATAAGAACACTTGGAATTTTAAAAGTTGGTGAATTAATTTAAGCATTTGAGAGTCTAACAGGGCGATTTCACATTTGGGCTTCAGAGTAGGTAATGCAAAAACCCAGCATGCTGTGTAGAAATCTCTTAATATATAATAATCTAGATACCAAATCTAAAGTCCAAATCCAATTTTTACTAAATACTATTTACTAATATTATGTTAATTTGTTTTTTTTAGATTCAAGTGCAATTATTTACACGTTGCGGTCGATCATAAATTTCCTAATAAGTATAAATAATACGAAGTCGGAAGTAACCCGTAAGCAAATCATATAGTAATTTATTTTAAATGTTAATAATAATTTAATTGTATACTGTAAGGGTCCGGAATTAACTACAGACGAAATAATTGTACTTAAGTTTCTCTGCTCAGTAAAATTCTTACATATTGAATTCAAAATAAAATAATTGAAAAAACATTTTTTTTATAAGACTGGTTTGTTAATTCTAGACCTTTTTTTAGTGCTTGATTTAGTATAAGTAATGTATTCCTCAGACGAATATATAAAAAGGGAGTGTAATTATTGGAAATATTTTTTTCAACGAAATCAATACATTTCTGAATAATATATTCTGGTCTCACTTGGAAGTAAAATTAGATACCTAGTAGGTACCTACGCTAAAATATCTAAACAATTGAGTTACCTCCCCTTCCCTCTATTGAGTCAAGTACTGTGTGGATTAGGTCTATGTACGATGATGCCATTTCACTCTCAATTCTCCCTTTATAAATTACTTTGGACAACCGCACAATTATAATTTATTTATTTAAGTAAATTTACACATTTTAGCACTATTGTCATTTCAGATAATTGAACTAAACTACTTTAACAATTTTTTCGTTGGTAACTTTTCACTTTCGCGTTGTGGTCGTTCTCATTATAGTTTATAAACCTCTCACATTTTCTGCTCAGTAAAAATTAATTACCTACTTTAAAATTTGCGTCCAGTTAATCAAGTCACAACATTTTGTACACCAACAAGATTTTTTTGTAAATCAAATTACCAATATCTATCCCGTGATCCTACAGGATAACCTCCTTTGTACTCTCTTATATGCAAAGTCTGTCGATACCGGGATATTTTAGTCATTAAGTTAGTCTTAAGTTAGTCTTAAGTTAGTCATTAAGTTAGTCATAAGTTATGCCCGGATCGACTTCGATGCGTAAGTCCACCATTGTCTGTTGTGTGGCCGCTCGGTCTGTCGATACCGGGATATTTTAGTCATTAAGTTAGTCATAAGTTATGCCCGGATCGACTTCGATGCGTAAGTCCACCATTGTCTGTTGTGTGGCCGCTCGGTCTGTCGATACCGGGATATTTTAGTCATTAAGTTAGTCATAAGTTATGCCCGGATCGACTTCGATGCGTAAGTCCACCATTCTGTTGCGTGGCCGCCCATTCTGTCGATACCGGGATATTTTAGTCATTAAGTTAGTCTTAAGTTATGCCCGGATCGACATCTATGCGTAAGTCCACAATTGCTTGAAACGCCCCTACCACACATTTCTGGTGATTGTACAGTAAATACAATTTGAGCATCATCGTAGACGGAGATACCACATTAAAAAAAACGAGCCAAATACTCTACCTCATAGGTGGTTTGGAAACGAGTATACAATCCATAATACGAAGTAACCGGTAAGCAAAACATGTAGTAATTTATTTTAAATATTAATAATAATTTAATTATATACAGCTGTAAGGGTCCGGAATTAACTACAGACGAAATAATTGTACTAAGTTTCTCTATTCAATAAAATTCTTACTATTTAAATTCAAAATAAAATAATTGAAAAAATATTTTTTTATATGTCTGGCTTGTTAATTCTATACATTTTTCTAGTGCTTGATTTGATATAAGTAATGTATTCCTCCTTATTGACGTCTTCCATTAAGGTAGGTACACCAACGAAATTCGAAAAAAACTAAAAATCATTGGCGTGTCCATAAGCCTAAGCAGGCGATAACGAATTATCGTTATCGCCACGTACTAATGTACGTAATATTAATTACGTATTTATTATTATTTAATTCTATTTTAGGCTTTAAAGTTAAAAGAAAACTTACACAAATATTTTTCTTTTTTTTTACATCATTTCAGGAATTCTTTAAAAAAAATTGGAACAAAAGACACAAAGGATAGGTAATACAAATATTTTTCGATGAAATTTCGGGGGGGGGGGGGTTGAACCCTGACCCCTCCCCCCCTCCTGAATACGGCCATGTTTAACAATGTTTCAAAAGCCTTATCTTTAGGGCTGTGATGGTGTACTGAGTCTATACAGCACATCAGCACAGGCCTAAAACTAGCAGAAGTAATGCTTCGAAAACGTTGTTAAAGCCAATATGTAAACACAAGTGTAACAGACTACTTAACCAGAAGATAAACAACCATCTTCAAACAAATCGCACAGCTAAAATTTGGAAAAAGTGTTGGAAAATCAATATGTAATAAAGTCTAAAGCAATCATTTTGAAATAAAAATAAACAAATAACATTTTTCTTGGCATGGTTTTGATTAAATTGCTGCTGGTACCACAAACATAATATACTATATTAATATCGATGGTAGCACGACAACAGCGGGTCTAAGTGTCATTTTTCTTAGTTTTCAGGAAAGCTAATAACCGTTTTTTTTTGGTGATTTTATTAATTTTTTTTTCTTCAAATATCAATAGCCTAAATATAAACTAAAATATTGTACATACATACTATAAAACAATACATACAGTATTATATAGTCTAGACCCTAATTTTTTGAGCAGAAAAAATATGCTATTGTTTTTACCGCCACTTAATGTTTAAATTGCTGTAATGGTCACAGCTGTCAAAGCATGGGCATTCCGCATTGGGTTTAGAAGGTTAAGTATGGACTTAGAAGGTCTATTATCTTCTAAGGTCCAAGGCCGTGACCCAAATTTTCGCTTAGATCCTTACGCCGTGTACCATCGATGTAATATATTAATATGCTATTATGTAGTAAAAAATAGGTTTGTTAATTGTAGTACAAATGCAGGATAGGTTAATCTATTCTGTGGTACAAATTTTGTTCTACAGACATTTTGAGGTTATTTTACTATTAAACTCTTATCAAACGCTTATCAAATTCGTAAGAACTATCCCCATCTCTTTGATAAGTTACACACTACACAATAACAAATAAAAATTGGCAATTACTCAATTCAGATAGTTGTCAATAATTGTGTATTATATTATACTTTTTTATCGGACCATAATAATTGTCTTTAATTTTCTATGTTTTCAGAATTAGTCCAAATTTAATTTCGAAGTTTCACTTCGATAGTTATTGAAAATCTACAAAGCGAACTGTAAGTTTGTATCAGAATAACATACTTGATCTATTTTACTTATATATTTTTTTACCTATTTATTTTCAGTAATATTCAGAATTGATAGTTATCAAATTTAATTAAATTTCTTTTAAAAATTGTCTAAACAATGTCTCCACCTACGCTAAGATCGTCTCAAGGCACTACAGGAAGTCAAACACAAGGGCCACAGTACGCTAAAGTCTTTATACAACGTGATTATTCTGATGGAACGGCTGTAAAGTTTTTAGCGAATTTCCCTCAAGAACTGGAAAATAAAGTATTAGAAATTTGATTCTATTTGGTTTTTATTATTCTTAACTTATATGTACTTTGTTTTAGATTGAGCGGTCTGTTTTTGAGTATACCATCAATCAGTTAAATACATATTTTGCCGAGGCAGAAAAAGCATCTTGCAAAACATATTGTGAAGGATGTTTTGCTTGTTTCACCGTGTACACGATGTTCTTTTGTGCAGATACTCATTATGAAAAAGTATTTATCAAAATGATTATAATATTTAGTACCTACACAATTTTTATTTATTTACTATCCAATTATTTTTACAGTGTTTACGTAAAGTCAGTAAATTTGTAGTTGAACAAAATGAGATGGTTTATTTACCAAGAGGATTATTACTTACCAATCCTGCTGAAAGAGGGTTGAGAATTGTATCCTTTTTTATATTTTTAATAGGTTAGTGTTATTATTAAAAATATTGATGCTGTCAAGGCACAATGACAGAGTGATGTATTTATAAGTATATTTGAGTGCATTTTTTCTTTATTATCAATGTGTTACTATTGTCATTACTCATTACATTAAGAATACGTCATATTTTTGTTACGTCCATTTGCCTTGGAAGCACCGATATTTACAAAACACTATTACTTCTGTTAATAAAAGTAACATATTTTATAGTAATATCATAATTGTATAATATAAGGACCTGACGTATCATAATGATTAGACAGAATTGTATTTTTTTAAATTATTTTACAATACATATTTAGCATTTTTCTATTTATTAAAGTCATGTTTGATGAGTACGATGAAAAGTTGGTACACCTTTCGATCAATTTATTTAAATTTCTATACTGTAAAAAAAAAAAATTATTGCAATTTTTTCCTTAATAGTTGTTGCTAGATTGAAATTACTATGTTGGATCAGCCAATTGTAGCTCGAACATGACTCACATTATCCGTTTCGACGGAAGAATTCTTCATGTGAAAGCAAGTTTGTAACGACGTGGGACGCAACATACGTACTGTAGATGTTAATTTGGCATTCTGACTTACAGTTTTGACAGCTGTGTTGCATTTCAGCTGAGAGATACTAATGTCATAATACTAAAATAGTGTTAAATTTAATACTAATTTTTTTTTTTTGTTTATCTTGTTTGACCAACATACCAAAAATTGCATTTATTTATTTATTTTTATTTTGTATCAATGAAAACCCCTTTATTAGTCAATAAAATGTTAATTGAATAAAAATGTGTTTTTATTACCAAATAGTAAATTAATTTATTTTTTCATTAAATATTATACAAAACAAAACATTTTTTTGTTGACAATTTAACAATAGAAATGTAACATAATATTAAAAAATCACTGTTTAAAGTTGATTGAGTATCCTCCTGTATTTGGGTCTTGATTCACCTGAAAGTTTTGAGTTGATAATCCAAACGGTTTCAGTACCATATTTCCTAAATCTTTTAGTTTAGACATCATTTCCGTTTTTAATTTTTCATTACGTTCGTTGATTTTTTCTTGCAATATCTGCAATAATATAACCAATCATTATTGTTCTTAATATATTTTTTTTAAATCGGCTTATTGTCATTGACCCATTAACTAAATGGACTGTAACTTCAACACTCTCTGCCTATTGAAAAACTTAGACAACATTATCAGATAAGCATAAAGGGTTGTAGTGGAAGAGAAAACTAATATTTTATTATATATTTCTTTACATTTACTTTTTTTCCCACGCCAATATTTACAAAAAGTAAATTTAATGCAAAACAATATACAACACGTTTTATATTAAATTATATTTATATTAAATTCGTTTTTATTAAATTAAAGATTTAAATTGAGCTTAACACATTTTAGCGCCTTAAGCAGCCACTGCGCCAGTGTATTTAGTTAAAAGGGCTATGCTTATTGCCATGAATGGTATGAGCCTCTAGTAAAAATTCCGAGTCATAATCTATCCGGTATCTAGCTGTGGTGGACACAGCTGAACTTAAAAAAGGAGAGCATCATAATTATATTTAATTCCCATCAGTATTAAATTAAAAATCAACATACTGTGGCGTGATATGCAGCTTCCCCATAATACTTATCGACTTCAATCACTTTTTTTAAATCTTCTAATGCTTCATCAAGTTTATCGTTACGTTCATATAATTTAGACCTCCTTATATATGCTTTTAAATAACTTGGGTCTAATTCTATTGCTCTAGTACAATCTTGAATTGCACTTTCTATATTCTGTTGATAATTGAAATATATATTAACAGCAATAAGTATTTCATAAGTAATATCTTAAAAAAAAATTTAACATACAATATTGAGTTTAGCAGCAGCTCTGTTGGCAAATAATATTGCTCTATGATTTGGAAACATAATTGGGCACGTTTGTAACGCTTCAGTATATAATTTGCATGCTTCTTCATGTTCTTCCGCTTTAAATTTAATATTGCCTTCAGATTTTAGACCAAGAGCTTTTTGTAATAACTCCTAAAAGTATAAAATAACCTTATTACAATTAAAGCTTATCTACATAGTAAACATTATCACAAGAGTATTGTACTCACTCGTTTTTCTTCATCATTCAATTCTGCGTATTTTGTTTTCAATAACTCGTCATCAATGAAGTCAACATCTCTAACCTCGGGGTCGGTGCCAACTTGTGCTTCTACTGATTCAGTATCAGAGTGATTGCCAAGTGAGCCGTTATCGCCATGAGACAACTGATCGTCTTCCAATTTGATGGCAGAATCCCTCAAATCTCTGGTTAGTTCGTTTATAAGTTCTTCATTAGACGGAATACTATTTATATTTTCCGAAGACATTTGTATGAGTTTCTAAGTTTAAGGATCAAAATATTACTATAGATAGGAAAGAAATGCTTTATATGAATAAAATGTTACGTATTACATCGTAATGGGTAATACTTTACAATTCGTTGATACTCACCAAGAAATCACCAGACAATAGAGCAATAAATAAATGTAAAACAATGAAAACTATGTGTGTCAACTGTAAATTATTTCAGTAAAATGTAATGTAAAATACTATGGTATGAACAATTATTAACACGGAAAACAAAATTCAATATTGCTATGACTATTTAGTGTTATTAAAATTTCCAATTGGCAATTATAACTGGTAAAGTGATAACAGATAACAACATTGATAATATACGCTTACCGACGTCGTGATAACAAATTAAAACCTAAATATTTCGCTCATGATTTATGCATTTTATTGATACTTGTAACTTGGTCAACACAACTTCGAAGTTCGCATACGGAATAATCTGTATTTTAGATTACTGTAGGATAATTTTGCTACATAAATAAATTCAATACCATAAAATTGGACATTTTGTGAAATTCACACTTGATTATCCGGTTTTATTATAAAAACTTTCTGCGTTAGATGGAGGCTCCGCCCCAGACACCGCCGCGCTCGTTCGGGCGGGTAGGTCACAGATCCTGAGTACTGTACCCGGCCCCTCACTGCAAAGTATTTAAGGGGCAGTCGTTGATACTGAAGCATTAAAGGTGTAAAGTCTGGAGGTTTATCAGACGTTCAAAAGTGTAGACTTTAGAAGAATGATATGTTTGTGTGTCCTGTGACGATTACTTAGGAACTCGAGAATAAAGGACATAAATGAAATGTATAGAGGTCAATCTAAAAAATCATAAAAAAATGTTTATACTAAATAGGGGAAAATGTCAAGAAGCAACTATTTTAAGAATTTTAAAAATGTGATACAGAGACTTTGTATTCAAAATCTACACGGTTCGCCAGTCTAGGAATCGAAATTCGTCGGTATTTCTTAATTGTGTTTACTGTGTTTTATTTATGTTAACAATAAATGACGAGGATACGGAGGGAAGGACGACCCGAAAGGGTAAAGTACACCTCAGTAGCGCCGTAATACCTCACAAAAAAAAAGTAGTATATACATTATAATAAAAGACATTATAAAAAAAAAGTATTTTTTAATGGTTAAAATGTCAGTTTGGGTATTTTTTTTGCTTCATATAATTTTAGAGCTTATATGAATACACCGCATGAAAATCATATTTTTGTGGCTTACATGGGGTAGCACATAAAAAATACTGACAATGCACAGAAAAAATATTCGTGTCGACAACGTTAATTTTTTATTTTTATTTTGATCGAAGCAAAATATATAAAGCGAATATATCTTTAATCCTGTAAATGACAGAAATGACTGAAACGTATTATTAGTCTGAAATAATACAATTTCGGAACAAATATATTCTTCTTATTAATTGTTTTATATAATGTGGTTTTCTTTTATTGATTTTATTATCACAATGAGGTATTAGACAATGTTATTCACAAAATAGTTGTGTATTATCAACTTATATAAACATTAAATCCTAGAGGGCACTTTGATAAATAATGTTTTACATGTATTTTAATAATATTTTATTCTCCCTCGTAATTATTGTGTTTTTGGCGCCAGGATTGAAATGTTTTTTTTTTTAAAACTACCAGCCACTAACAATGCGTTTATTTGCAAATCGAATAAACAAATATATATATTCAGGTTCTATACTTGTAAACTTGTAAGTACGATTATTATATGTCACCAAGTGTATTATAATAGTTACTATTATGATTGCCGTTTTGTTTTTATCAACTCGAATTTCCGCTTAGTATATTATTTAGAGAGTAACTGCTCATAATGCCATTCACGGCAGTACGCGTGACGGGCATGCAAATCTTCAAAATCGAGTTATTGTCTAATATAAATATCATTCCCTGTATAAACAGTGCGAAGGGTAGGTACATAATATGCCTAACCAGTTAACTCGAGGCTGGCGTTACAACATGACCCCAAGCGTCGGGACTTTACTTATTACGAAATGTGTGCCAAACCGAATCACTCGCAAAACAATATAATTATTATTAATAAACAGAACAGAATTTTTTTTAAATTTAGAACAATTCGGAAGTAATTCTAACATTTATCAAAAAGCTAAAGCGTGCCAAATAATATTGCGGTTGAAAAATGTAAACATTTTCAGGGTGATTTTCTTCAATTTTAACTGGTAGGGGTTATGTTCAAAAACTATACCAAAGAAATTTGCGTTTAACTGATCACCCAGTATATTCTATTTAAATACCGCGACTTATATAGTAAATTGTTAGGGAAACCGCGAGCCGCAAATCTGTGGCGCTATGATAGAAGTTAGTATGGCAATAAACTCTAATATAATATGACAAACTATACGAATATTTTGTTTGCTTTTCTAATACCAAACTTTTGTGGCCAAACAAGATGACGTTAATGTGTAATTTTAGCTTCAATGCGGAACTGAGAAGGTATTTTTTCTTTTGAAATTTTAGACCATTATATACAGTACCGGAAAGTGACGTTGATTTAAATTTATTTAAGAGATAAAAGCAATAGTATAAATATTTAAAAGAAATAAACATTTTACAAGTACATTTAGTATGAATAATTAAGTTTTTGAAAATTGCTCAAGTCGACCGTATAAAAGTTAAAAAAATAAAATGTGGTGAATATAAAATATATTAATGTTGAGATAAAACAATAAATAACTTACCATTGTATTTTTTAAATTAAATTTAAGTTGTTTTTTTTTAGCTTTGATGTGATCCTAGATAAGTTTTAAATGGTTTTAAGCATATTAAATGCATTGTCTTTTTGGTAATTAAACGGGTTATTTAAAATTAAATTTTTTTTTCCATTGCACTATACTACAGTACCTTATTTTTTATACAATTCTCAAACTATATAACCTTTTATAAAGACATTTTGATATGTCAAAATATATTTTTATATAACAAAATAAATGGTTTATTGTACTCGAAAACTATATTATAGCTCGTTAAAAAAAAATGTTTCCATTAAAAATCGCAATCTACCAATCTCTGCGCCATAGGTTTACAAAAGTGTTAAATAGATCATTTATTTGTTAGTTGATGTACCTGTCGATATTATTCTCGTCAATTTGAGGAAACATAAATCGAAAGTTAATTAAAATCATTTATTGGACATTTCATTTAATTGTTATATTTATCCATAAAGTTATTTTTTGTCCGTTTGAATGACAAATAAACATTTTTGTGTTTTATTTTGTTATTATCAATTTGTCAACGTTTCAATTTGCCAATATCGTTAGTCAATCAGAACTGTCATAAAGACAACAAGGAAGTTATGAAGCGTACAATTCATCGTATAGTTTTAACATGGAAATTAAATTCAACACATTTTCATGGCCGTCGCAAAAAAAAAAATATGTTTTATAATATATTAAGTGAAAATTAAAAACGGAGGCGTTTATTATAGCTTTCCAAGCGAGGGGCGGATGTTGAACTAAAACCAAAGCTGTTAAAACGCTTTATAGCTACAAGGGAGCAATAAGTTTCAAGTAAACGAAATTATTTCACATTACATAATCAAAAATAAGACTTTAAAAAAGTCAAATTTTCTTCCACGTCCTTAAATAATGGCTTCAAAATAATGCGTCCAAATTCTTCTCTATGGACCACAACAAAATAAAAAGTTTTACCAACCATTTTTTTCTTTCTTAAAAACTAGCATCTACAAATTAAATACCTTCAATAAATAATAATTAAACGCTATAGATGCAATTCTAGTATTATATAAATATAAATAGTCAGCGTTAGGTGGGTCAGGTGGAGATTTTTTTTTGTTGTATGTCTTCCATTGGTATAAGGTTTTTAAATACAAAAAAAATCCAGGGTGTGACCACGCGACGGTCTGACGCGTCGCTTCGAAGAATAAACACAGAGGTAGAGAGGAGGGCAAACAGGAACGAGTGAAGGACCAAACGAAATTCACAGTTAACGTTCACGGTTTGAGACTTGAGCGAATGGTAGTTCAGGGAATCGCCATCGGCTAGATCAAATACTGGCAACACAGTCGGAATCTTAACAAGTGGCACAGTATTAATTAATTAATTTGCCCGGCCGCGGTTCGCCGTTTCCGACACGTTTAAAACGTATTCCACGTACGTCAACTCGGCAGAAATGATGCGACTTGTTTAAATAATACTCCTTTTAAGGGCAGCAAATGTCACGCATCGGCGGGTCCATTCACGGCGTGTATATCTATTGTCGATATTGTGCATACGCTTGTCCGGGAACGAAGACATCAGTATCAGTTATATTTTGTTTTTTTGGGTTATTGAAAAATTATTTAGCAGAGCGCAAAAAAGGAATTCAATGAAACCAAGAGGAATGCATTCCGCATTATAAAGTGTTATATTATTATGAATGGACAAGTTATATTATGCGGAACAGCAATTTCATTTCGTTGTGCTTTTATGTGCGTATTAATACCACGTGGATTCAGTTATGTAGACTGTAGAGTATGAACGGGTTTAATTTTGACGCTGTGAGAATTAATAACAAAAATGCGAGAAAAAAAATTAACGCATAATAGACACCGGGCGAGTGAATATTTAAATTAATTTTTAATATACCATGTACTTTTGGTACTAGTCGCTATTGTTATGTATTCCGCACACACAACGACTATACAGCTGTTGGTTAACAACAAAGCTGTAATTCGAATTGTAGGTACACTGAGACCAAGAATACTTTTCCTATTAAAAATATACACACATTGCAGAAAATCGCCGCGAAAAGCACACACCTCTTACTTAAATTCGGGTTATTTCTCCTAGGACTTTTAATTAAACATTTTTTTTTTTTTTTAATAATCTAAGTTGAACCCGAGTAGAGAACGATATCGATTTACTATTGTAACAGTAGATAAATTAATACAAATGGGGAAAAAAATCATCTGTCAAAGACATCTCATGTAAAGTGTTTTTAGGAAAATGAAATTTTAAGAAAGACTTATAAATTATAGTCAGACAAGTACATTATTCTTATCAGCTCAGCTATACATAACAACATGTATGATATTACCTTGTATGACATTACACATATTTTGATGACAGACTTACATGTTGTGGATTGAATTTGAAAATCCAAAATGTTGACACGATAAAAAAAATACAAAAGAATTATTATGAAACATTTGTTTCATTAAAGCTTATCGTTTCGATCAGTACCTATATTGTCTGTGTCCGCATACCTTTATGCGGAATTCGATGAGTTTTTATTTGAAAGATAAAACGAAAAATGTTAAGGGAAGCAAAACAAAAAGTATAAATATATTTTTATTATATTGAATTTCACCTTTAATATCATGTATCTAGAAAAGTTTCGATTTTATAAAGTCTAAACTCTCTTAGCTCTAAATTCGAAAAAAAAGAAAATTAATTTTAAAATTCCAACCCAAAATATTTTTAAATTGGATTAAATGGTAAAAACAATTTCATATATTGTGTAAAATATTTACATAAAAGCTCTACGACGGTAAAAATCCGAAAAACCACTTACATTTTCTAGTGAAAGTTTTTTTATTTTCAGTCTGTAGTTTATATGTTAATAATCTGAAAATTAGATTGGTCGTGAACCTAATTATTAAAAAAAAACGCATCGTTAGAATTTTTTCTTGCGATGATAACTCGTAAAAAGTGTTCTTTTATTGATAACACAATTTCAATGAAAGTTTTCAGGCCATTTTTATGGAATTTTGTCTATGTACTCAAATATGCGTGTAAAACAGTTGTTAAGATTATTTCCATATTTTAATAGTCGATTTGATTATTAATTGACCGAAACAAAGTGAATATTATCCCTCAATTTTGGCCAACTATAAGTTCTTATAAACCGAAGGTATAATGGTACTCAAAATTGTCTGCATTCATTATTTAATTTAAGTACACATTTTTCATGGCGGATGTAATACTTTAATTCTTCGAAAGGCTATTTTATCAAATTCGAGTTGGCCTATTAATTTTGATTTTTTTTTTGCGGGCATATACTATACACATATTGTGTTACTATATATTTTTTTATTTTTCCATACACTGTTTTTGGCGATCTAGAATGTGTATACAAAACAAAATATGATATATTCTTGGCAATCATTTTATTATATTTAATTTTATAACTATTATTAATAGTTTGATTAATTTTTTTTTTTATAACTGTTTAGTCATATTATAATACGAATACGTGTATAACAAATAGTACAACGGAACAGAACGCGTTAAACAATGTACATTTTGCACTTACATTATAATATAAGTAAACAGTTATCACGCTTATATGCAGCGATTAAACCGCATTGACGACTGCATATAAACGTGTAATAACGTTGGTTGGGCGATTTGGTTTGGCTGGTAACGATTCGATGGGTCGTGTGGTACTGGCGGGACAACGGGACTAGGACAAAATTATTTAGCCAGGACTTGCGGCGCCCGCTTTTATGTAAGTCCGTGCGTTGCCGTGCTTGAAGTTGTACAAATGAGGAGACACCGGACTGCCGAACGGGTCGTTGCCGCCTTCGGCACTGCTGTTCCGCCGTATGCGTCCCAGCTGCAGGTCGTCGCTGTCGACGGAATCGCGGCCGTGCTTGTCGGCGATGTTGGGCAGGCTGAACTGGCTGGACCGACGGCCGTCGAAATTGCTCGTGGCACTGGCGCCCAGGGGAATGTCGAACGCCTGTCTGCTAACAATAGACGCCAACGTGGACGCGGCCGAGTTCAGGCTGTCGTTGAGTTTGTAACCGCCCAACACCTGTTTGTTCGCCGGCAATCTGCAGAGTGAAAGCCAAGTGCAGTAATTTTAAAACTTGTTTTTATTTTATTATATTATACAACATTAAAGTACAATATGTAGGTTAGATTAGTTGCTATTTATGACAGAAAAAGAAATAAAACAAATTTATTATTTTTATACATAATTTCTACGTCTAATCATAAATTTAATCTAATCTAATCATAAATAAACACAGTCAATATCAATGACGTTTTTATCAAACCAAACGCAAAATACGGCATAGGAAAAGTATTGAAGATTAAATCTGACTTAAGTACGGCGAAAAATGTTGGCGATTAGGATTTAAAGTAATAGGAACATAATCTAGGAAGTTTTGGATATGAAAGAAAACAGAAGTATTTAATAGGACGAGATGGGACTTTGAATGCAATATGGAAAAGGAACATATACAAGGTCGTATATTGGAAAGGAATACAAGATTGACCGCAGAGGACAATCACGCAAAGGGCAGGGAGGTAATTAAGGGGAAAAGAGAACTTTGATCTTGTGTACAGCAAGATGAAGGAATTTCCTCTGAATCCTCTTTCTCTCTCTATCGTCGAAGAACCTTTAGAACTTATGGGATCTTACGTGGTAGTGATTTTCCGTAGAATATTTAAACGGTACGACATTATTGTATCAATAATACTAGTCCTGAGGGCGCAATTATAGCGAGGAGTAGTAAAACCTTGTTAGGTCGTTAAATGACCATTAACCTGATTTCGATAAATTAAATTTTAAGGGACGTGATTCCTGAAAGTACCACTCGTATGAATACGATTTATAAACGTTTGATGCAGTTAAAAGTAAGCAAGAATCTCTAAATAAAATAAAATGTAATTGGATTTTACGCTTATCTTTGTTTTTGTTTTTAAACTTTTGTTGTTTTAGTTTTTAGAAACGATTTCCTGAGAAATCTGAGTAAGTATTTTATTGACCAACGCTGTGGTCGTGAAATGTTCACAGACAGCAGGCATTTGTGATAATAACATACAGTCGGTGTTTATTGCACCAAGGCTTTGAAGTTTTTGACTTGGTTATCTAACGCATATATTATATAGTCTCGCAAATGTCTTTGTATCGAATTACTAATAATTGTTGTACCATTTATCATTGTTAAAAGTTTGCACATTAAATTAGTAGGTGGCCGTGTGAGATCACAGACCTCATGTGTAAATTAATTAATTGTAATACCACACGTTGTTGTCTTAACAGTAAGGTATTTTTATTATAATCAGACGTCTACAATAATTACTCTATAATCACTAACTAATTATGTACCTTGCAACCGAAGACGGTTTGGGCGTGGGTTTACTTCCTGTCGACATCCTTCCTCGGTTCTTTAGGGAGCCGACGAGATTACTTATCCTGTAAGCAAACATTATAAATTTATTTAAGCGCCATTATTTACATGGAAAATATAATATCTCAAATAACTATACTTTTTCCCTATGCCTTTTTTTTCGATTTCTTTCTTGAAAGCCGCAGGTAAATCCCTCTTTTCCCGTTCTGACGTTTTAACCCCCTAAAAGAAATTCAATGATTTATTTCTATTGGCTCCGCATTCGAACAACTGTACAGTTTTTAAAGTCGAAGTATTAAGTCAACAGCATAGTTAATATGTAAATAAATATAGTAAAATCGTTTTCGAAAGAAAATTCAACAACTATTCAAAATTATTCCACTAAAACGAGGTGTCATAAAGTAAAAATGACCGACACAACCAAAATTATAATTCATATAGATACGATTGACCTAAAAATGGCTAATGAATGTCGGAGCTTTTCTTTTATCAATAAATAACGTTACCTAAACTATCTACACTGAATCAAATCTAATCAAAATCACAATTGATTTAATAAAATCGTTTTACATCAAATATCTAGTAGGTATGTATTTATCAATTTTGAAATAAAACATTGCTAACTTATTCAAACATCAAATATACAAATATTTCCAAAATATCGTGAAAAATGTGTCAAAAAAAAAAAACCCCTATATAGATGATGTTTTTTAAACGTTTTAATATCATTTTTTTAGTACATTGCTTGAAAGTAACGCGTTCCTTTTTTAATTCAATTTCATAATTTAACATAATTCGTTTTTCATAGGAATTTTCCAATTACTTATCTTTTCAACATTAAAAAAAAAAAAACGGGTATTTGTACTTTTTGGCTATGTGGGAATCGTTGATGCAAAATGCCGTTGTCTAGTGGTAACTCGAATCAATCGCAAGATCAGTCAGTTTTAGGATTTTTTAGCTGGGTCAGACCGGGTTGTAATAATTTTTACTGCTGGTCGGTTGTGTTTTATTTAGCCGGCGCCAAGGCTCAGTGGGCGACACACGTGTACATAATATGCGCCTTCATCGCCCTCGTTGCCTTTACTACCCGCATCATTACCGCGTGTTGCTTGCTCTTGCCGTCCGTTATGAAGACTTCAGGCATACCTGTCGCTACTTGTTTGTCCTGTCGATTTCGAGTTCAAAGTCCTCCAAAAGTAGTAGGTAGGATAAGTCATTTATATTTATATTTAAGTAGTTTCGAAGAGACTTTTAGTTTGTAAGGACCGTCCATTCGCATTAGTTTAAGTATTTATTGCAACGCAATCATATTGGTTTATGTAAGGTTATTTATTTAAAAAAAAAATCTCATAAATATATGAAAATAAGATTTATTAAATTTTATGCTTGTCACTTGAAGAATAAGTAAATTATTATTTGGGTGTTTTTGACTTGGAGGAACCGGATTTATTCAAATTTTGATTTAATTATTAAGTATTTGAACATTTCTTCACGAGTGAATTCTTATTAAAGAAACCATCGGCTCACCGACTCGAAAAATTATGTTACAAAAAAAAAAACAATTTTTTTAGTTGTAAAATATAAATACTAAATAATACAATTTTAGCTCCCCACCTTAGCTAAGCTAGTAAAATTAAGTGTGTGATTATTTCAGAGTATGATAACACACAGAAAACCGGAAAATTGTTTTATTAGCTACTACTACTAATTATTATTCAATACATTTTCCTCATACAGTTGGCGTATTTAGATTGCGATTTTTATAATAAAACCAATGTTGATTTTTTTAAGATTGATCGTTTGGCGTTTTACTGACGAGGTCGAGATGAATGTTTTTATTTTTCTAAGCGCCAACTGTTAAAACGTTGTACCTTAACGACTAGCCTAATATTAAAAATTTGAATATGTCGAAACTGTTAAACGGAAATCCGACGGAAAGCAAGCACGGCACACAAGCTGTTTCCGAAATAGTTGTGTTTAACTTTATTAGGCTTTTCCGAATACACGGACACGAGCGCAGCGCACACACTTACATTTTAAAAGTTTCCCTATATCATACCACGGAGCCGTGTGTGTGTAGTTGTTGTTTGTTTTTAAATATATATATATTAAATGATAATTCAGTCACGTGGACCCACGTCATTAGTCTAGTCATTTACAATGAATGCATACGACACAACAACACTGATGGCAAAAATAAAAAGATAATATGATTTTCCATTATTCCGCGTGTGACTAGTGTTAGATAATTGTGCAAGGACGTGTGCACAAATAATGGGCTAGGACAAGAGTTAAACCGGTGTGATTTAATTATGCATTTGCCGCTTCAAGTTCCTATTTCAATCTAGCTTAATCGCCATACTATTTTATGCTGTTCTCGTTAAACATTTTTACCAACGGCTTGCGATGGTCGCTATTTTTTAACAGTCTCTCGTTGCGCGTTTATCGTTATTCCCTATATACTGACTACATAATAAAGTTGTTCGACGGTTTTTACAAGCTTATTGTGCACGTATAACCAGACAAATGTGTGTTATAACTGACTCGCTTTACTAATTTACCACTAGGATTACCGAAAGGATAATTGTTTTAAATTTATTTTTCGCATAATGTTTAAAATGTGTTCAATAGTACGGAATTTTTAGCTTAGACGTGCGCATTTTACATTGACGTGGTATTTCGGAGAGATTCGAATTTATTACTTTCCAAAGTCAATTGGTCGCAGACGGTTCGCGTGTCCTTTTTTTATAGTTTAACTGATCGTAAAAAAAAAACACAATAACGAAATTTTGGTCGTGCTTTCAAGTAAGTCGCACGTTGTTTCAACACTATATAAGTACATAATATTGTTTGTTTGCTTGAACGACGCGACGTCCAGACTTTGAACAATACCAGTCGTTTTTGTCCTACCCGCCGTTTGTAAGATAAACATCAACGGATAATTTTCGTTTTGTGAATAACTCAACGGCAAATTTGCGATAATGTCTAATTTCGAACTGTTAACAATAACGAGGTTTTTGGTTAATCGCAACAATACAATTTTCTAAAAATTGTACAACAAAAGTGTGTTATGCAAACAAGCAGCGATAATATGCCGTATTATAATATTAGTACCCTTTGAACTTTGTTGACAGATGATTTTGATTTTTGTAAAGTTCACACTTAATTAGTTCATTATTTATTTAAATTAAGGGTCGGCCTTATGTTTTTGCGACGCTCAGGGTCAAACACTTTGCGTTGCCCACATTTAAAAAAGTACAATTAACTTATGTAAATTAATTTATAAAATAAGTGCGAGATCCAAAGCTTGGGCTCCGCTCGTCTCCCTTCCCCTCTAACGATTGCCTTGTCTTATATAACTTTGCGCACGTGTTGAGAAATTATTCGTTCTTTCTAGTAATGTAACACCTCTTGGCGCATTTAGTCGAATATGATACCATATGTACAAAACCGTGTTTATTTCCATCATTAATATTATGTCATTATTACAAATTGAATGTATTGATCCTACTGCTTACATTTGATACGTGCCTTTCTGTTTTATTTTATACAATTTTTTCCTTACATAATTTACGTTTTATTGTACAAAACAAATCGATTGGACAAAAAATTATTATGCATCAACAGAAATCGTTCAACACGTTCTGTAACAGAGAGCGAGAGAAAATAAAAAAACGTGATCTGAGGATTGCAGTGAAGTAATGTAGGCGTATGTGTAATTTTCCAATGTGGGAACCATTAGTAGAAATATTAAATTGATTGAATAAAATACGGTTCGTTGATTTTCGTCAATCGACGGTATTTGAAATGTCTTGATTTAATTTAACAGCCTGGAAATACAACGCCACACGCAAAGCGCCGTTCCTAAAGCGGTATAGTCGAGTCTAAATGTATTATAACGTTTTTCATTTAAGTTATGTATATGACGAGTATGACAATGAGTAATTAATAATACTGTGCAAATAATTGTAAATTTTATGCAAAATTCAACAATAACTTAATACCTACGTATTTTTGAACAAGTTACTTTGTTCGAAAAAAATTAATAAAGAAACTTTCAATCAAAAAGAACGATTTCAATCATAACACATTTGTAATTTTCACAATATATTGAAATAGGTACTAATTAGTTGTAACGACATTATTGATAATATAAAATTGCATTAATACTTAACCAACAAATTTGAATTTGTGTTATTTATCAAACATGTTGAAATATCTTACAATTGTGTTATTGATGAAAGTAATATCCTCGTTATAAGATAATTGATTATCATACCTACTGCAAAAATGTTTTCAGGATCGGTTGCTGCTCATTTCTGGATGTTAGTTTCTCGACAAAAACGTTTTAGGTTTAATTGAAAATGTAGGAAATAGCGCACACAAAGACTTCAAGATCACGAGAACATTCCTTAGAACTGTTTCTTGAATACAATTTTTGCGACCGAGCATTGGAGATCAAACGTTTTTAACGAGTATACTCGCTAGATTGTGTTTGACGTTGTTTTAAATTATTTTTAGTTGAGAGTTCCATAAATTGCAATACCTCACACAAAAGTGAGGACTTTTAATTAAAACACAAATTAATACAATCAATACATTGGAAATGGCAACATTTTAACCATCATTAAAAACAACCCTCTGTTAGTGGTTTAAATCGATTATCATCAGTAGGATTCTTAAACTATAATTATTTAAAAAAATATTAACCTATGATAAATAATGCTATTGGAACAAAATAGCCTTACCGTTCGCCGAGGACTTCTCGTGTGGTTTATTTCCCCCTTGTCCACGTACTGTCCACGTGATGGAATTATCGGAGATCTTATGCACGCCCTAAAAAAAATTTCTCAATGTAAATATTTGAATAAGACATTGCCAGGTTTATCACGTTAAAATATAGTGCATACCAAAATGGTGTTAACACGCTCACTCAGCGACGAAGACGGCTAAAGAAATTTTCGTACAACACAAAAGCAAACGGTCTACAGTTATAGTATTGTTATTATAATAGTTACTTGTTTTGCCAGATAGTACCTGTATTTTTTTTGTATTTTTCCAAGAACCCATTTGGTTATTTCAGTACTATACATACTTTTGCGAGTGTTTTTTTCGGAACTCATGTAAGTCTTTACAAAGGTAGCTGGGGACTCGACTCGTGATGGTTATTTGCTATTCATGTGTTCATTAGCATTGCGCGTTAAACTAGACTACCTAATCGCGTTGCCCGAATCGTTCCATTGAAGTTATTCAAGTTTCTCATTTCCGCTTAACTTCCGTTTTCTTATTATTCGTCGCAGATATTCCTATATAGTTGGTCTCGTTTCCGTTTTGTGATACGCTCCTTCGCGTCTACCGTTGCACAACAATTTGTAAGCTTATGATTTGTTACAATTTAGACTTTGCTTAACGAATCACGACCTTGCCAGAGAATACTTCATCAACATACATAATTATGCACATGCGTAACGCCTTTGTTGTTTATTAACTTGTAAATCCGGTAATTTGTTTCACGTGCATTTCCTTCTACAGCATACCTCATTCGGCTCTGTCCACCATTTTACCCTGTCCTATTATTCCACACTCGAATCCATCATTCATCTCTTCCCAGATAGCCGGCTAAAACATCTTTCATGCTATAACACAACCTTCGTGCTCCAATTATACGTTCAGCGGTTTAGCCGAATATCTCCACTTGATTTTGTAATTCCGTCGATTATTAAGTACCGGCCAACGCTAAAAACAAACACACACTTAACCTTTATTAGTTCACTTCGCGTCGTACATCACGTCCTACACAAAACTGCTTAGTGTTTGACACTCTAAATTTCATCATCGTCTTAACAATAAATATTCTTTAGACGCCATCAGTCACGAGGTGTTTTCCATGCACACTTGAAATAATCCGCACAAGCCCCGTGATAAAGCCAAAATGTTTTCCTAATGATGTACGACTAGGCTGTTGTATAAAGCCTGGGTAAAGTATGTATGATATATGGTTATACTGTATAATAAGGCATATCATGCCTTTGTTTTAAGATTTTTGCTAAAATTATAATACATAATTCAGAGAAATCCAACACACCATATTTGGTTTTCATCTTTATGATTTATATAGAAGTAGGCTTCTATAGAACCTAACCTTTTTTTTTGATTTTTTGAAGTTACTAAGGTGAAAAAATTGTTGACTACTTTGTTTCTACTTACTGCGCTTTACGCGTTTACCGGTCGTTAATTTTTACTTCTAGTTTGCTCTATGACTCAATTTTGAACTTATTTCTTCGTTTGTTGGCGTAGAAAATAAGTTCTCAGTAAACCGCCGTTGCATAGCCCAACGGGTATGAGAGGGTATAATGTTTTGCGGGTTTTATAGTATTCACAAGAAAAGATAGGTATTATGTTTTACTAAACTAAAACAAAGCTGTAATTTTTTTTGTCGACTGAATTTACACCGCGCGTACAAGTAAATATTAGTACCTACTTTCGGAGTAGTTTTAACAGCGTGTATGTCACGCTGCGGAAGCGGTAATTGTTTTCACAATATTTCCAAAAATCAATTATTTTTCTCGACCATCTCGGCCGTCTGTTATTAATCGTGTCGAGCTGTGTTGTAAACGTCAAAAAATGTATACAAACCGTGGTGCACAAGACAAATCACAATAGCGAAAACATGACAAAATACAAGTAAAAAAAAAAAAAAAATAATAACAAATAAATAGAGAGAAGATAAAAATTAATCAAGCGAAAGTCGTACGCGAAGATTTATTGTCATGTCACTATATATATATATATATATATATATATACACAGAGTGAACGGAGAAAAGAGATACAAGTAGATACGGCCACGAAAACGACTATTTTTATTTGTGTGTGTGTGTATTTACGAGTTGACATCTTCGAGTTTCTTCAGCAGCCGTTCGTTCTCCCGGCACACCACCTCGTGGTCCCTCTGCAAAATGTCTCTGGAATTGAACAGCTCCGCGTTTTCCCGGCGCAGGGCCTCGTTTTCGTTGGCGTAGTGTTTGACGAGGTCTACCAGTTCTTTGGGGTCCATCTGTATCAGCCGGTCCATGTCCATGTTGGGCGGCATTTTCACAGCTACAATACGAACCAACCGTCAAATCAATAACGACCTTAATTACATGATAACTCAAGGCACGCAGCCTTTATTGCACGTTTCGAAGGGTCGACCCGTTGTTTTGGACCTTGCCGTAGCGTGTGTGTAGTGTAACGCCGTCAATGGTTTTTACCGACAGCACAAAAATTAACGGAAAAAGTCCCACCGAGTCCCGGAGACGGTCTTGGTTGGCATATAGACTTCCCAGAGTCCAATGTCAACCCTGTCCATTAATGGTCTGAACTTCCGTTGTTTTCGTGCTGCCAGGGAAAAGGTAACACAATGTGTCGTTTGCGACTCGAGTAGACCGCGCGAGAAGATCCGAAATAATTCACGATTGCCTAGTTAAATCAAAAGAGTCCCGACCATATTTAAGATTTAAACACGAAATTATGATTGAAGTTTGCGGTTTCATTTGGACGTTGTGTTGTTGATTGCCAAATCGGATGATTGTTCAATTTTTTTTTTTTTAGCGGACGACTTGCAAAGGCGGTAAGTCGAATTAGTCAGACGCCGGGAAATCGAGATTCAGACGTGTTGGAAAAACATAAATGGATTATTTTGAGCGCGTCTCGAGTACACCGACGTCAATCGCGGAAAAATTGCACACACGAGATAATTATCATCCAAACGCGAACGAGTGAAGAGGCGTTTGAAATTCAATTATATTATGCCCCCCCCCCTTTGCACGAGAAACGGAGAGGCGAGGTGTGCCCTCCCGTCCTGTTTCTCGTTAGGTCCGTAATGACTGCGACGGGATGGTTGTACTTATAATATATATATATATACATATATACTTGCCGGTGATTCTTGACGACGACGCTTTGGTGATGTCGAGAGCTTTACGCAAATGATCGTTTTCGCTTTGCAGCGCTTCCATCTCGCGTCTCAAGCTGACGATCAACGCCTCTCTGGGATCCTGTAGGGATATCAAAATAACAATAATTATATAAATATATATATAGGAACAACAAATCATTTTTCTCTCCCCGTATAGTAGTAATTTATTACGTTTTGAACGTTAGTCAACCGGAATGCCGGTTAGGGGAGTGCGTCTGTGTCAATAGCAAAGGAAAACAATTGGCAATACAATTGCCGTCTTCTACTTTTTTTTATTTTTTTTTCATTATTCGGATAATAATATTATACATACAGGGTGTCCCACAAAGATTTGTCAATAACTTTTGTTTTAGTGAATATTTTTAAGATTTTTTTTTTTAAATACATTTTTACTCATTTGCGCTATAAACACCACGTTTTTTTATGGCACTTGAATTTTTTACTTTTTAAGTTCAAGATAGCTATTTTATTAAGAATAATTTGCAGAGAATTTTCACTGGTCGATAACCAGTTTTGGATAATAATTAATTTTTAAGTTATTAAGGGTTAAAACATAAGACGGGAGGTGGAGTGCGGTAGATTAAGCGCGTAGAGTTATTTTTATCTGCGCGCATTACTCTACCACACTCCCCTCCCATCTTGAACTTTAAACTTTAATAACTTTAAAAGTAATTATTCAAAACTAAGTGTCGACCAGTCAAAATTTTCGGCAAAATAAAATGGCTACCTTAAATTTAAATAAATTTAAGTTACCTAAAGATAAAAATAAATAATTAAAAAAATTAAAACAGTTAAGAGCAATACAAACCGTGGTGTTAATAGCGCAAATGTGTATAAATTAATTTGAAAAAACAAAATATTAAAAATATTAACTAGAACAAAAGTTATTGTTTTTGTCAAATAGTTGTGGGACATCCTATACATGAATGTACATAATATACACTCTATCGATTCGCTCCGGGTAACGGCGATTGTTCTGTTGCAACGTCTTATGTGCTTTCAAAGTAGACTCCAGCGCGGCAATATATCACTGTTGTGTGTGATAACGCTGCGCTGAACGTACTGGTAATTTTGTTTAACGTTTTACATAAATTCGGGTAAAGCGATGACGCGCAAATCACGTCTAAATGCTCTCCGGAGAGTTGTTGGTATCGACAATGGGCTATTTTTTTTACGGGAAAAACTTTTGACGAGATAAAACGGGTTTTCCCGGCCGAGAGTAGTCTGGGTAGTCTCTGTTTGGGCGGGTCGGTCGTATTTCTACCCCAAACGCCACCCCGTGGAAAATTATTACTATTATTATTATTCGTCAGGTTCCAACGTCAATCGCCAGACAGAATAATGTTATTTCATACGATATATTATATTATACTATTTTTAAAAGGGAGTCTGGCAGCTACCGAGTCCTGTATAGAGTGTTCCTAAGCCAAAGACCCGACGATAGACAATAATTGGACTACCGCAGTGACATCTATGAGATTTCCATTCAAAATCATATCTTGTGCACTTTCTTAACGCCGACGTGGGCGTTTGATGTTACAGAGTTAGGACATAATAATAATATTGTGGCGTTGTTGGCCGTTAAGTTAAATTAAGTCGAGAGCTCGTGGCAAATGACGCATTCAATTAGAGCAGGTGTTATTTAACGCTTGTCTACAGTAGGCGACCGACAATAGGGGCTCGAGGGAAAACAATATTTTGGTCATACGAATAACCTAACCGTAGTATATTTTTTATTTGCATTCGTGTTAACACAGGATAAAAAAAACCTTTGACAGGTAAGAGTGTATGTTTTTCTAATCGTACACGTTGGACAGCTCGAATGGCTGTCAAACCGTTATTTTATCGAATGAACCGTACTATACTTATGTATACACTATTAATAAATTACCGGCGGCCATTCTTCGGTATAATAATAATATACACATAAAATAACTGACTGGCAATCGTGTATAATATATTTTCAAGTCCTAACGTTTGAGAATTCTACTTGGAATATTATAATGTTAACAGTGTTTAATTTATTGTATCAAAATCGAACAGGTCATTTTGTGCATTTGAATCGTATACAAAAGTCAGACCATTAAACTTTTAATAGTCAGAAATTATTGATTTCAAATGAAATTATTTTGCGCCTTGCACAATTTAGAACAACTTTCAGTAACCTTTAAGACGATGCGTAAGCCGATAAATATGGGTTTGAAATATTTTGTTTTTAGTTATTTCGAATTCGTCAGTTAGGGGAAGAGTTTTAAATATAAATTCTATGAATCCAATTCCAGTATGGTCGTATGAGTTTTATCGGCGACTCAGGTAAAAATACTATTTTACAGCATAGAAAAAATATCGTTTTTATATTCGAACGGATACATACAAACTAAAAACATTAGTCCGTGGTGTCGAGAATGGCGGCCGGTTTGCATCTAATAAATATTTAGAAAGGGAAAGAATAAAAATAAGGTACAGTTATCAATCTGTGTTTGGTATTAAAAACATAAAATCGTTACAAAACTGTAAGTTAAAAAAATAACAATTAGTTATAAATTGTTCAAAAAAAAAACTCGTGATATATAAACTGGAATCTTCGCGGTTTCTTTATAGTTTTTTTTGTACTTGCAATTAAAACTGATTTCCAAACGATAGAGTTGTTGATGAATATAAATTAGTTCTGTGAAAAAAAGTTTGACGGACACAACAAAATACGTCATTGTAGAACTAACAGATGTTTACCGTTTCGTATCATGCTAAACATTTTCAAACTACTTGAAGATATTTGTGCTAAAAATTTAAGAATGGTTGTACACAGAACGAAATCATACGTATGAAACGATGATTAAATCAAATTTAAGGCGTTCTGGCCAATATAATATAAGATAGTGAATCGAATCATATGTGTGTTAAAGTTTTTAGTTCACCACAAACAAACTTGTGTAACGATATTAATTTATTTGTCTTTCAAAATCAAGAGGAACATTTGGAACAGTCATGATGATGTGTAACTCGAACAGGATTTCATTGTTTGGTGTAGATTTTTCTACATAATATATTCGTGATTACACGGATCCTGCAAACGAAATTAATTTTGAAGTTAGATTGTACGTACTCGTACCGGAAAAACTTGTGTGAACACATAAATTACATTTGTGCTACCCTACGGGAATCTGAACTTATCATATTTGCGCGTTCAGCTGCTTTGTAATTTTTGATTTTCATTAACGTCTCTGTAGAATTGTTTTTCGGCGTTGAGTTGGGGAAGTTTTTATTGAAAATTCTCAACACAGGCCTGTATAATGGTAAATTAATACTGGCACTCGACCAAGGGTGGTTCTGCACAGCTTCCTAACGAATCCCCTCAGTCGAGGTCAGCATTGTAATTGCCGCTGTGATCATTATTGCCGTTATAACTGCACAACAAAAACATTCCAGGAGAGACCATTGCAGTATCTAGAGTATAGAAGCCCTTGTGATGATATATGTAGAGGTTAATGGAAATGCTTAAAATGTTAAATAAATATCACGAATTACCTACGGTATTACAGTAATACCTATAGTATTATTATAATAATATGCGACAAAGGTAAAATACTAAAATATCAAACGTATCAAATATCAATGTTATGACTTTAACTAAAAAACTACTATAAACAATTTTTTTTAAGAATAAAAAAAAAATCCTAGCATATTCTCCATTAAATTACGAACAAAGTCACTATAACATAGTCAATTTTTTTTTAATAGTCACACAAAATGTCGAAACATTTTGAGGAGTTCGGACTGTTGACTGCGTGGTTTGACTCAGAATGCCCCATATATATTATGCCGTTTAAAAACGAACAAATGACATTAAAGTACATTAGTACCATGACAGAGAATATTTTTGATGGCGACTGTCAAAAATGTTGTTTGATAATAATTTATTATTATAATATGCATTGTACCGTATAAGAAAACCAAGTATACAAATTATAGTAAAGGTATAATGGAGCGTTTTGATTTTTACATATGTATTTTGGCGTTCACCATCAAAAATGACAACGTACTACTGTACAATTAAAGTAGGTATATAATATTAGTGTATAATTTTATTAGAAACTAGAAATTATTTTTTGAGAAAGATTCTTGAAAACTAGCTAGTCATTGAGAACATTTATTACAAAAGTTTAATAAAACATTGAATTTGTATGAACACATATTCAAACGCTAATGTGCGTGGATATAAATTACACATTTTCAACGCCCACTCAAATTAGCAGAAATTGTGTGTGTTTGTGTATGGGCGGTAGTAGGCGTTGGCAGCTAAGCTGTTTCCCGGTCTGAAGGAATCGTACCTCTCGAAATAAAGATTTGCGAACAGATAAACTGAAGATATCCACCGCGATAATAACAGTGGTAAGTTTGTTGGAAAAAACAACCTTTTATACCTTTACAAATGATAGGAAGTTATACCGAGACCGCTGTACTATAGTGTATACTATAAAAGATGTCGACCGTTATAGCTATATGGTTATGCAGAAAGATGACAATGATTAATTAAATTTTTTATCATTGATGTACCCATATTTAGTAGATATACATTATATTTTATGCGATGGGTTATCACGGTACATTAGATATATTATATGCCAAGGAGTTAGAATAAGGTTTGCTGCACATCTTGTCGTGCCGCATGGGGAATTATAGTTTATCGAATGTTTCGGTTTATTGGATACGAGTGCAGTGGATTGAAAAGCTGGCATTCGTTTATAAATTATATTTTTTCGACCTACGCGGTATAAACTGTACGTGCTATTGATAGAAGAGTTTATATATGTCCTTATGCTAGTATTCTTTTAAAAAATTAAGTACATCATTGGCGAAAATAACAACATTGTCGACGTTTCCGAATAACGCACCAAAGTATGTTAATACATATTTTCGAAATTAAGTTAATTTGTAAAACATTAAAACAATTATTTTTTCAGTTAACGAATGGTCAGAATAAATTGTAACCAAATTTAAGGAGTTGGGGTGTACCAGCGAATACCGTGTTAGGACTACGTTTACCACGGTGCGGTGGTGCAATTAAATGAAGGGAAATTCGATTAGAACACCCGATAAGTGTTCTTATATTAGTGTAGTCATTTTGTAAATATGAAAATATCAAAGTTTTTTTATTATGTGAAATTTATTATACTTTCCTTAAAACGTTTTTTTAAGTGCATGACGTGACAGTGAAAAGAGAAATCAATTAAGACTATTTTTTTTTGTTGAAAGTTTGCCTCAAGAAAAGAAACTAAGATTTAGCGGTTAGCTGGTGACAGATGCCAACGTTGAAATTATAACCATGAAAATCAATTTTGACAATAATATTGGATACAAGTTTGCTGTTTTCAAAGTTTTTGCCAGTAGAAATTTCTGAAGGTTTTACAATGGCGTGACGTATAGGATTTTCACACTTAAATTGTCAAGTATAGACGATTTTTCTTTAAAACATTTCATGAAAATATCCAAATCTGTCTTAATTATAAAATATTATACTCCTAGTTTTCCAATGCAGTTAAACTACTGTAAAAAAAAAACATGTCCAGAGACATTTATGTGGTTGAATTGTTTTACAAATTACAACTACTTTAAAAATATAAAAATATTAATTTATCTAAAAACAAGCAAGGTAAATTTCAGAGACATTACTGCTATGGATAGCCAGCAAAAGTTAATAATGTTTTTCGTTTTTTTTTAAGAGATGTTTAAAAAAAAAAAGGATTCACAACCTCTTAAGTTAATTGAAAACTGTCATGAAAATTGAAATGTCTCGGGGGAAAATGGGGTTACCTTTAAAATATTTCAGAACTCTTAAAGTCAGTCTTCATTTAATTAAGGTGCATTAATTAAAGAAATATTGTTAAGAAGCTGATGTATAAAAGGAAAAGAAAAATGAATGTATAATAAAATTAAAAAATGTCCAGCTTCAATTGTGTATTGTTCTAACACGAGATGGACACTAATTGGACTAAACAACACGCGATTTTATATTATTATTATTTATTTATTATTAAATCAATATTTTATGTATTAAAATTAAAATGTATATCTAATACGATTTTTTCAGTCAGTAAACATTTTTATGGGAGTCATATGACAACATCAATGCGAAGCTCTTCAAATTTATTTTATCGATGGATTAATATTTAGAGAATTATTTATGCTTATTAATTATTACAATATGTTATTGTATTATAATTCTTAGTTTGCGATGAGATATTTAATTAATTTCCATTTAAGAAATTATAAAAATACTGAAGTATGTATTTAAATTCTTTACGAGAACACTATTGAATAGTATTGAACAAAGAAGCTGAGTAAGGAATTTCCGAAACCGATAGAGGCACTTAGACTTTGTTATGTAGAAAAACCATAGTTTATTGTCAATGACATAATAATTAATGCATTGATTGAATTTATAAACGAATCGTTAAGTACACACTTGATGGATGTACTTAATTATTTATAGAGGCGTTTGCTGTAATAGGTTGTAGAGTTTTATCCACCCACAGCGTTTATTTTGTATTAGGTATAGCTAAAAGGTAGAGAGTAGACGTTTTAATTTGTATAGGTCGATGTAATTATATTACACAGCGGTTATTCAGATTGGGTGTACACAAATGTTTAATATAAAGTGTAACATAAAAATCTGCATGAGAATAACGGCTGATTTTGAAAACTTATACTGGTATTTCAGTGGTGAGGTTCAAAAGAGAAAAGTGATTTTTAATACATTTATTAAAAATTTAATAGTTTTGTTAAAAAATAATTTTTTTTTTTACAAAATCATAGATATTGTTCGTTAGTGTTTTAAAAAATGATATAAATTGAATCCAATTTTGGCTCTATCGTAATTTTATTTTTAATTTGTTTATTAATTTTCAGATAAAAATGTCTTTACAACGTTAATAAGACGTGTTCTCGATTTTAAATGACAATGAATGTAATTATTTAGGTACAAACAACCATCATTTATCAAGCATCAAAGTTCTAAATTTTTCAATTCATTGTAATTCTAATTATCATTAAATATCATTACCATTACTATCACTGGTTTGGTTTTGATTTTTTTCGCACGAGCAGCATAGCTCAACGTGCTTATTGTTTCACTGGTGTTCGAACGGGCCGGCGATACACATGCTACCTGAAAATTAAACAAATAATGATGATGTCTTAGGAACATCACCGCCTTTTTTTACTTTTACATTTGCCGTTATAGATATTAACGTGTTATAAAGATTTGTTCAACATCGCGGCTTAGCGAATATGTTAACGTTTTCCTTCACTATAAAATAATTGGCAAAATAAAAACCGAAGTGAGATACGCAGTTTTTAACTAAATCATTAGCCATATGCAATAAAAAAAAAAACTAAATCATTACATACATTTAAGGTGTTATCAATAAAAATTAACGTGAAAACTAATTTGAACGTCTGATTACCATTAGCGTGACACCAGTGCCGGCCAGGCTGTCTGACAAGAGTTTAGTGAGTTTGCTGTCTCGGTACGGAATATGGCCTTTCCGTTTTTTCGGATCGCTCAGAGACGCTATGCAGTAACCTTGACAGGAGGAGAAAAATATTTGTTAGTGTGTCGCCGACGGTTTACCCATTCATTTTTTCCCAAACGGCTTCCCCGGGGTTCAGGGGCCAGTGTTGTATGTTTGACATTTCGCACCGGACTGACACATGGACTTCACCTCAGGCTAAGTGTAAGGACGTTAAATCGATCGCGTGGTCGGTTTTCCTTTTTTCCCCCTGATTGACCCCAAGAAAATGGCCTTATTATTAATTCAACAGCAAGACGTAATGGCCAACCCCCTCCCGTTACTTTAATTGTATGGCGATTGGAGAAATATATATTGATTTGAGAAGTGGTTTTTAACGGTTATTTTGGTCGGAGGGCTTTTCTATATTGAGCTGGTTTTAATGTTTTATTAATCGAAAATTAAAAAAAACAAAGTTTAGATAATATCATCATCATTCATTTTTCATAAGAAAAACATGTGCACGCCGATTACAAGTATTAAAAAAGTGTATATTGTTGTTTTCGTATACGCTGACCATGTTTACAAGAATCGTTGAAATGCTCTATTGTTTTCCCTTTGTGAGTTCATTGTTTTTGCGCTGGGACGGTAATAACAATAGGTGTTAGCTACAGGATTTTGTCAGCGACATGTACATAACCCGGGTTATAATCAGGCGTTGACTGATGAGCATCTATGAATAATATGTGTGTGAGTGTGTAACAGCATTTTGTATTCAGTGTTTACTCTACCTAAAACCATAAGGCTCTTATTAATGTTGTTGGCCTCTTCTAGTGTTTTTCCCTCGCTCATGGTCTTCTTAGTCATTTCGCTACCGGCTAAATCGACAAAATTAATTTTCCCTTGTTTCGTGATGAAAACTCCATCTTCGGATATCTATAATCAATGAAAACATATATTATATGAATTAAGGTGTATGTCTTTGACGTCTGGTAAGCACATTTTCGATCGCGCAAAACGCTTGATAAAAACACATAAAATAAAATGTTTTGTTATGCAGAATTAAAGCAAAAAACAAAAAAAAAAAAAATACAAATAATTTATTTGCTTTTAGGAATTAATCGAAAACGTGGTGAATGGAAAAAAAATGACAATGATTGTAGTACACCATTGTAGACCGCCAAGGTTGCGTAGACCGAAGAAAAACCAATATAATGAGAATTATAAAGACTAGTAGGTCAAGTTATGCTAAATTTGTCTGGAATTTAAAAGGATTACATAGAAAAATAACAAGGTGATCAATAAAAACAGATATCATAAAAGTTTTAATATATTTTGAAGTAGTAAACGGAAAAGAAGAAGCAAAAAATTACTCATCACAAATAAAGCATCAGGGACTGAATAATTTTAGTAAGGTTAACACGATCTTCAAGAAACAAGTCGAGCTAATATGAAATTGAGATACGGAATACGTAGTTTGTATGGAGTTACAAATACTGATCCTATTATTATTTTATCTACTAAAATATATATTTTTTTTAAATAAAATACGTTAGAATCCAATTGGTGTGCTTATCAATTACCATAGTAAACATACCAAAATAACTAAAATAATGAAGTAAACAAAAATTGTGTAAAAACATAATAATATTATTCATTAAATATGTTATTAAAGTCGGTCATCTAAAAATTTGAATCCCTCTAATCTGTCTGTAATATTATATTTAGGGACCAGTGACCGTAGTACGAATAGGAAACCATGTGAATTAAACTGAATACATTTAAATTTCAATATGTGCATCACGTCGTGCATGTTAAATTGATTATACAGCACAATAAACCTAAACCATTTTAAGGTAATTTAACGAATTTAATTTTAATGAAGAAATGCTTCGAACAATTCAACATACTTATCCACAAAACAATTGCATATTTTTAATATATCTTATAGAAAAGTATAATATTATAGTTATAAGTACTAACTTGCTGTTCAGATGTAATGTACACAGTTAACATTGTATGACTTCTACTAGAGCATTCATTCATGTTATGACTGCCCACCGACCTGTTCTTCATACCTTTTTTACAGAATAAAGTAAAAATTAACCAGTGTATTTTCCAACTTAACTGGGTTAAGGCTTTTTATGGATACTATCCTAAATATTTTAAGAACCAATAAAGTGCCAGTGAGAAAGAGGCCTACAGGAAGCGATGCGATGAGTTAATGGAGTAAACAAGACATGGAAACACTGAGAGATTGAAAGAAAAGTGTCCAAGATAATGGCGTGCGAATTCGGTAGTAGAAGAAGAGAAATAATCAGATTTTCAGTCAAAAATTTCGAGTTGTTGCATTTTTGAACTGGATCGGTGTAAAACAGATAAATACCCTCTTCTAAAACAGCTTGTAGATCGTCTAATTCTTCACAATCCACCATGAACAAGTTGTCGACGTAAAAGTTGCGAGATTTTCTTGACCATCTTACGTCCAAAGACTTCCTGACCGTTCCCGGGTTTAGCAAATCGATCACCTGAGGCAAAAATGTAAAACACGTGTTTCACTCTTGTCCTCATTCGATAGTTTTACAATAATTAGGTACGGTTGATATCGTGCAAAAAAAAAATACAGCTAACAATAATTATTATGTCATCGGAGTAGTTTATAATAGCTGCATTCACTGGACATTAGTAAACAACCCTTGTGCGTTACTATTTCTATTAAAATAATATGTGCACCTTTTTACCGGTTAATTATCGGTATCAAAAAAAAAATATATATATATCTATATATTATATGAATACAATTTATATTTATGTGTTATTGTACTGAGGTCAACGAACTACATATTGATTTATACGCGACGTGTAGGGAATATTAAATTAGGCGGTGAGCCATCGGCCATAAATTACTTTTTCATTGTATATTTCTAAAAAAGACGCCTTAAGGACGAAATGATGGTCTTGCCGCTGTTGCAACAATCGAAAAAGGTACATGAACGAACGAAACACAAGACCGTGATCCTTGGAGAACGGCTCAATCCGTTTGTTGAAAAACTGAAAAAAAAAAAAATAAGAGCGATGGTCATTATTTGGTATTAATCACTCCATAGCACTTTTCCCAAATTCAGTGCCATTGGGACTCTAATAAAACTAGTGACGGGCATTGTTGGGAAATTCGGATGTGAATAATGGATTCAAATAGTAAACTTAATTATTTGAATTTAAATAACAATTATACTAAAAAAAACCTTAGATGCGAATTTGTAGATCATCAATATATTGAATATTAATAAAAATTACAACACAAAGTCATTATAATGCTTATGGTTCTATGACCATATTTCAATAGTATAGATGGAGTTGCTAAATAACATACACGGGTGGTAGCACTTAATTCATGTCACAGTGATAATTGATTTTATTTTGTTGTTTTTATGGCTAGCCTTGGTTTTATTGTGTTTGCCTTGATTAAATCGAGTAAAACAAATAATTCAAGACTTTAACGTTCGAACGCTTTGCAAGTTAATGCTACAAATATGTTTGGTATAATGTTATAAATTAGACTCCTAATTGTATTTAAGTATAAAACTCAAACAATAAACTAATAAAAAAGGGATTTCAGATGATTGTTGATTAAAATACTGTCAAACTGTTTGAGTTAAATCGTTAATAATTTTTATTATCTTTAGAAAATGGCACAAACAATGTTAATTTTCAAACCATTGAGTTTTATATTAGTAATAGAGTACATAATAAATAAATTATAAACCGATTGTTGCGCTAAAAATTTAGTATTTCTACACTTATAAGGTTGTAACAAACTGCTAACGTTATGAAATTTAATTTTTTTTTTCTACATAAAAGATAACCTGATTTGATTATCTGTAATTGACGAATCCATCAATACTCATAGAATATTGTCTATTATTTTTCGCGTGTTTTTCAAAATCTGAAATGACCTTCGTAGTTTCTAATGACCTGAATCGAAATAATTTGTATAGAAATTCGTTGTCAATAAATGGGTTACAAAAAAAAAAAAAAAATAGGTACTGTTTGTTATTTCCATGTAATTTGCATTCCATTGGGCTTACAAGGTTTCTTGTGTAACCAGGTAACTTTTATAATTTATTGTTTTTTAAGAATCAACCCTATAATATAACATACAACAAATCACTGTCCAAAAATCTATAGTTAGAACTAAGAGATAATTTGGAAATGTTCGCTCGAGGCAAACATTTTCTTATACATTTATGCACTCGTTTGAATGTCAGGAATACACATGGTAATTCGGGTCCCAGAAGATCAAATAAATATTGGGTTATTAAATACAGACAGAAGTCACAAAGTTCAATTGTATTGCGGATAAACACAATCTTTATTTAATATTAAACCTATACTTATATTATAAGGCAAATTTTTGTTTTATATACAATATATTTGTTAGCAGTAAATTCAAAACGTTTGGCATGCATCCTTCCAGACCATATTTTTTTCAAATGTAAAAACAAATAATGGCTGCACGCATATTTCTTATTATTATTTGCTTAGAAGTTGCGTACTTAAAGAAGAAGACATATTACGTACAATTTTTCAGAATACTTAAATGCTTCTCTATCGTTGTTTCTGAGAAACAATCCATCAACTTCACGGTACTAAAAAAAAAGAAATCTAAAATGTTATATCATTAAGCAAAACTTGTTGTATCGCGGCAGTCTCTACTGTATAAAAAACCATTCCCTAAGTGTGTTTGATTAAATTAAAGTAAATATTCAAGCAAAAACACGTAGGTTTAATTAAAAAAAAAAAAATCAAATTTTTATTAATGACAGTGGTAGTAGAATTGGTTAATGGTAATGGGAAAATTGATGTTAAAAATATATGTAAGTAATCCTGAGTAACTTTATTGTATTATTTGAAATATATTTTAAGATTTGATGTAAAGCCGATTGCTGAAAACGTATTGATTTGTTTTTAAATATTATAAAAAAATCTGAGGTACTTTGGAAGGAATTTTTTTTATTGATACTGGATAGGTACTTAAATCGAACATTTGAGCTGGTAGAAATTGTCACGTGAAATACCAATTTCTCCATTTAGTATTCTAATTCGGCTTTTATGTATAGCTACAAAGTTAATGTTTATAATGGCGTGGTTTTAAAATTTTCTCTTGGCACTAAAACGTTTTTTTTTTAACAAAATTTGTTTCAATTTAAATACGTATACCTATAGTATTTTTGCTTTTTGGAGATCAAAAGTTTAAAAAGTTAATTGATTCTCTGCCAACACTACAATATCCAACAACGTACAATTACAACGCAATGACATACTACCCAAATGTATTACCTGTTTTTAACAAACGCAGATATTTTAAAAATTAAGACCAAGTTAAAATGAATAAAAATTAATTGGAGGACTTGAAAAGAATGTTTATTCAAACTCTTTCCATAAAATATATTAAGAAAAAAGTGTAGAAAGTATAAAACTTAATTTATCTGTATGTTAAAGAAAAATATTGTTGCTATGAGTAAATTACACGGACAGACGTAATATACTTAACATCAACCAAATAAACAGAATTCAGACAATTGAGGCCACGACATTTTGTAAATTTAAGTATTTTTATTTTACTTTAAATAAAACCTTTTGTTAAATTTTTTTACCGTCTACAAAGTCTTTCTTCATTGTGTGTATATATTTAATATTACACAAACAGAAAACTAAATAAAATAAAGTTAAAGAGTATGTGATTTCTTTGGCCCATCCGGTTCAAGTAGACATAGCACAACACAACAATGCCAAGAACATTTTGCTTTTAACGCTTAACTTTCAAGTGTGCGAACCAATCACAAAATATTTAGTTCCAATACGAATTCGTCGAGAAGTATGTGGGTGTTGACAATAAACGTTTTTTAGATGTTCGCACAAGAAAAGAAATCATTGATATTTTCAAATTTTAACTTTCATGAAAATTTGTTGAACCGAGAAATTAATTTTTTATACTATTCTTTGGTATTACTCAACCCTTATACCATGAAATAAGAAACCCAATAAAAATACTCTGCAAAAACGAATTTGTGTTTTTTATGGAAGTTTTCTTTATTTATATTTAACATTTTGGAATGCTATTTATAAAGTATATATTATTAAAAAGTTATCAGTATCAAATATTTTAAATTTAAATAACTGAAATATATTACATTATAATGTCTTTAGTGTAACTGAGAGTTCAAATGTTTTGCCCATTAGTAAAAAATATAAAAGGATTCATTTAACAAATTTAATTAGTTTTAAGGTCTCGCTCAAAAAAGGCTTATTACTAATTTAGTACTTAACGATGATTTTAATTTTGGTACTAACTATATAATATTACCAAATTAGCTGACAAAAGTTTGCAAACGGGATAAACAGCTATACTGATCGGTTATATAAATGTTCAAAAGCTAGTGGGTGCTAAAAAGTGTTAAATTCAAAAAGGCGTATTGTAATAATTTGTATTTTGTATTATTGAATTATTTTAATAGGGCTATATTTTTAGTTAAGAGATGAACTACAGTTGTAAGCGTTTTTTTACAGAGTGAAGTAGGATAGTTGTGAACAAATAGAGACAAACGTCTGAAGTAAAATAATTTAAATTACCCCAACCTACTCAAGTGTAACCAATATAGCAGTTTTTTTTTGTAATTATTATTGCGAAAGGTACGTAGTCAAATTAATTTTTCTAGTGAATTGTAATTATTACCTTAAATCGTTTATTCTTATGTAATATATTATGCTAAGCCTAGCAATCGAGTAATTTCTGGTAAAAAAATGGTATTTGATTATTATAGTTTACACTAATTTAAATTAAATTGCATTTCAATTTCGCTGATAGCAATAAAGGATTTAGCACAGCGATATTGGAATTTAATCGTTCTAATCCTTTAACGACGTTAATTCACGTTAAGACCACGTTAATGCATTTCAGTGAGTCTAACTAAATCAATAATTGGTATGTTAATGTAACGACAACGTTGTTTTATCGTTTTTGAAGATTGCCAAGTATATAATTAAATTAGAAATCTATTAATTTAGTCGAGGACCCATTCAGCCATGCTTATATTACTCTGTTAGGGTCGAATTTATGAAGTTTTTTTGGTTAAATTTTAACTTAAATATTATTTGTGCCAACAGCTTTATTTTGTAGTTTAGGCTATAGTATAATTGGCCAACGTTTTTTTCTAAATACATTTCAGTCTTTTTTTTTAATATTATTTTATTTTGAAATAAAATGTTGTACGTCGGTTCGTTCCACGGTATCTAGAAATTAATGTTTTCAATTTTATTCATTTTGACGCATAGAATAAAATACCAGCGTTTATTTTGAAATGTTTTCCTATTTTATTCTATCCTTTATTTGGCGATTTTGCGTCGTGTCTTATGTACTAAAGCACTTACCATTCCTGGCGGTCCCGTGAGCGAGTGAGTTTTGCCACTGCCGGTTTGTCCGTAACAAAAGCACGTTGTGTTAAAACCCTCGGCAGCCATTTCAATAAGCTTCTTAATGCCCGAATACTGGAAGACGTCTTCTTGAGTGGACGCTGGTTCGAAAACCACATTGAACGAGTAAAGCTTGGATTTAGGTCCATTAGATCCGCCAATTGATTGAGATCCTTCGACCTAAAAATAAAAAAATTGTATGCATATATATATATATATATATAACAAGTAGTGTTATGTACCTATAACACTCTACTTAGTTCGTGTACATTATACGTTGGGATGATCGCGCTAAGGACTTTGAGTCGAATACTGATTGGGATTTCGGTACACGTATACAGTATTTTAACAACGTTAGCAATAACGCTATGCAAATTAAGAATTGACAACGAATGCATTTTTTCCAATTAAAGTAAATCAAACATGTAATGCTGTCGTGAAGATTGAGTCGAGTTCAATAACATAAAGACCATAATAGATTATTGATTACTCGATAAACATTAACAAAATTACCTACGCTATTGTGTAAAAATGTTAAATAATTATATATTTTTTATTTACTACGCCATTTTTTTATTTTAATAATACAATATCGATCAAGCCTCAAGTGATAATGGGCTGATAGTATTTGATTATATGCTAATACTTGAAATATTATAAAAGATACAATTTTCTAAATATTTACCCTTCTTCGTTTTTCTGCACTAACTTTTGAAATGTTAAAAACCTTTCATGTGAAGTTTATTCGTGATTTTGAATGTTGACAGAAATATGAAAATTGATGGGATTTACATATTTGTCTACTACTACCATACGTAGTGAAATCGCTTTTAACGGATGTAAAAATCACTAACAAAATATTATGATTGCTTTTTTAAAATGCTTGTATTTAAATTTTTCAGAGGTAGTACGAATTATTGTATGTAAAATAAAACACATTACTTTGCTACCAATACGTAATCTGAGTTGTTCAGTATCAAAGCTAAAATAAATTAGCACGTTAGCAATTAGTCGGTTGGGATTAAGCAAACTATACAGCGTTTGCAGCTGAATGTTTGAAAAACCGTCTGAATTATTGGTCTGGACCGCCAAACTGCCGGACTAAACTCGGAACTCCCGTTGTAAAACAATAATCATGCACATGCTGCTGTTAGTGTTGGTCTGACCCGCTTCGGATGAATAGAGGCCGCTAATACGCCGACGTTTGCTTTGGAGAAATCGCAAAATACCGAAAGTTTTCTTGTAAATCATTTTCTGCTCACAAAATAACAGGTGTGTGTAATCGAATTACTTCAAAATCATCATGCCATTGCAGACCAACGAAATATATGTTCAAGGGTGGGAAATCGATGTTTATCCATTCCCGGAATCCCATTGGGTCCACGTTACTATTACTAACCCCACGCGGTTATTATTGTCGACGTGAAAGTCCATGTAATCGTGTGAGGTGTTAAAATGCTTAGCGTGACCGACACGAGTTGTGTAAATGAAGTGCGTTAAAGATAAACGACAAATTTTTCACCACCGGGTTCCAATTAAATCAAGGGTGTAAGCGCAGTTATGTGAAAACAAGTTAGCTGCACAATCTGTATAACGATTGTTGTACTGACACTTGAATACAATGACTTCCTTCATCACTTGTGTGATCTTTTGCGTTTCGCCACTTACATTTGTCCAGAGTTTCCACATTTAGGGAATAGAGATTTTAGGATTATATGAATTATCTAAAGTTCATGTTTGTCTATACAGTGTTATTGTAACAACGCAAATAATAGTGGGTATTATTAATTTGCAAACTGATGCGACGGATAAGCGATGCACAGCACGCATGCTGTTAAATTGCAGACACGTTACGCCGCCGGATCGGTGTTTGTTCTTTTTTTTTTATATTAACTTTTCGCCTGAAGACAATGCGTTTCCTTATGGGAAAAACTGCGCAGATATTCGTTGTCCGCAAACTCTCGTCTACGCATTACGACCCATTGTGTGTTATACCGAATTTTCGCATATTATTATTATTATTATGGTAATTTTTCAACAACACTTTCAGCCGGCATATAGATAACGGTAATAATAATAATAACCACAATACTAGTAATAATAAAATCTAATAACGGGCGTTATTTTTCCGTACCAAAATGCGTCCGCCTCCTGGAAACGTTACCGACAACGGTTCTGCTGCCTTGTTTTCTTTAGCGTTCAATGGCCGAACCCTGGAGAGAAAAACAATAGATCTTGAATATACCGCCGAACGGGAAGCGGCCGACCGGATTTGTTTCGGGCCGGTTTAATGACCGGAAAACAAACGGCCAAAACAAAAAAAAAAAAAAAACAATATCCAAGTCTACTATATTGTTATAGTGTGTACTTAGCCCACTGTTGGCGTACCTCACGACGACGTAGATACCGTTTTCCTGGTCATCGAGATCGTTGTAAGACCGGTTTAGCGATCCGTTCGATCGGTCCAAGTCGTTCAGGGACGAGAGAGAACTGCAACACAAAAATCAGTTTTATTTTCAATAACTGTTCCGCAACCATTTCTCTGTCCGAGACAGTATTTAATGATACGCTTCATGTCTTGTAAGTCGTTCAGACATTTTCGGCACGTGTGCTCGTTCGTTCGACTACTTCAATGATAAAAAAAATGTAAGACGTTTAGTGCATACGAACAAGGTAGAAACAAATCCGTATATTAGCAGCATTTGCCTCTTTACGCTTGTAAACACTGACCTACTCTGTCATCCGGGGAATGATTAATTTAATTGATGGTCTTATTGATTTTTACTTAATGAACACTATTATTATAGTCGGTATGATCATGACCTAATTAAGTAATATAATAATAATATGTACTAAATATATTATTATTTATTTTAAATAATTTAAAACAAATAAAAGTCTAATTAAAACAAATGTGCGTCTTAATTACTTTTTTTTAATTATACCTATTTTACTTTATTCTTAATTCGCGTTTTGACTTAGACAAGACTTCGTATGAAGTTAAATGCACAATTAAACAACGAACGTTTACACCAATGCCAGTATATTATTTTCAAACAACATGGTTTAATTATAATTTAAGACAGATTTTAATTATAAAAGAATTGATTACCTTAATTCAGTTAAAAGCTTTTCTTTTGTTTGAATAATTAAAGTACAACAGGAATAATTGTAATATTGTTATTTCTATTTAAATATAACTCAAATATTTTCCCGGAAAAAAATAATTCAATGCTTAATTTTAATTGTTTCTGAAAATGTAAAAATTAATACTGTAAAAATTATAAAATAAAGCGTTTTCAATCTAAACAAAATATATAACTTTGGACAGCACCCAACTATATAGGATTGTTTAATGTAAATTTGTGTAAATATTTTTCGTGCCAACGAAATCGTACGCATTAATTTTCAATTTATTTAAATTGTTTTTCATATTTAAATTTTTCTTTTTTTTAGGGAAAAAATCACATAGGGTCCAGTGCCTAGGGTCTTTATGACAATAGCATTGATTAACCGTGTTAGTCTGATTGAGTATGATCTAAATTAATCATAGTATTGACATTTTAAATTATACATATGCATATTGAATCTTGGTGTCTATGTTGAGTCTCATGTCTCTAAAAGTAATGTGATTCTAAAGTGTTACTTACTCGTCACTATATTTTGAATTCAACTTCATGGTCGCGTCAGCCATTAAGCCATTTCACAATATCGTATTAATTATGTTTTTTTGCTTAAAAAAAAAATTGCGAGATCAAGAGTCAATGTTAAAAAGACACTTTGGAATTTATAATTTTACTGGATTATGGCCCGTGAATATTTTATAGCATAAAAAGAAGTGCGCGTGCTTTGTGTTGGTGGGCACTTGGTAACTGAATTGAGGAAAGCACAACATTTGCGTTAGTTGTTCGACACAAAGTGGTGGAATTTTTGAGTGTGTGTGTGTGTGTGTGTCAAAAGGGTAAAATCGAACGTTAGTCATTATCGAATGGTGGGGAGCACCTATATTAGGTTGATATCGCGTTTTATCCTTTGCCCTCGCTGTTATTTTAAGTACATTATTTCCGTAGAAATCGCATGTGGTTTTCTGACATAGATAAATTTGTTTTTTGAATTTAATAGATTTTACCATAATTTATCTATAATACAATTAAATACTAATATGTACGGGACCAGTAGACTGATAGGTTGCCAATTGCAACCCATGAGTTGGGCACCTCGCCATTATTATTATTGTCAAGAAAGGTTGTATATTTCTAGATACTTGTCTATTAAAAACAAAAATTTTTGATGAAAATATAAAAGAAAATCGCTTTTGCACTTTATACTTTCCAGATGTTCTATTTACATACATTTTTAAAAAAATGCATGAAACATTTCTAGTAAGATTATTAACATTGATCGTTTTCAAGAAAAATAATAGTAGGTCTTTTTTTTTTAATCTTAATCTTAAAGTCCAATCATTCACATATACAATACACATTTTACCAACTTAATTATATATTAACATAATATATATATATATGAAGTATTTGAATTAATTGGTTATTAGTTTAGCTTAGAGTTAAAAATTATTTATTTGTATGTCCTATTTAGTTTTGATTATCGACTATTATATTAATGTTTTGATGTATAGTATTTTTTAAATTGTAATAATAAAAAAACACTCGATAACATGCACAATAAGTGGGTTCGGTAGAATCAATAATAATATTTCTATTGAATAATAAGAACTGGCATCAATGGAAAGCCACTCAACTGTGATGCGCGACAATGAATGGTTTATATTTAATTTAAAGATGTCTATACAAATTAAAAACGGTCGTAAACGTAATGTCACAAAATTGATTTTATAGTATTACGATTAGTATAAGACCGATTGGAATTTTTTTGTAATGAAGAACATTTTTTAAATGCCATATTTATTTACTTGTCCATGGTATTAATTCCACACAACAACATTGCTGTATTGTATATAGTATAAATATTAGTCCTTACTTTTAAAAATTAGTTACCACCCCCCCCCCCTTAGAGGCCGACACTATCTACAATTTGGACCCATAGGTGAAATACCTATTTTTAACTGCCTATTCTACCCTGCGAATAGTACAGACAAGATGTACTTTATAATATAACAAAACATAATGGTTTTTAATTTGAAAATGTTGGTCTATTATAATGTTATACTATGGTGGAAAACAAACAGTAGAAACAGATTTCCCTATTTCCACTTCAAGTAGCTATTCCATTTAGATGTGAACAATGTAGCAGGGTACAACACTGTATAAATAAAATGTATAATATACAATTCACCGAGTATGCATACGATGGTTAAATATATCCTGTCAAGAACAAAAACTGTCAGTAGATAAATGCACATTACAGTGAAATAATTTCATAAAGCTACAATGCGGATTTATTATTACAGAACAACATACATGAAGATGAGTACGATATTTTATAACAAGTACATAATTTTAATAATATTGTATTGTACGAAAGTGTTAGTCATATACATTTTTAAAATTTAATTAAGATTACGCTTAGAAGTGACTTATGTTGGTAAAGTGATGCGGCATTATATACTTATAACATCTTTTATAGAGTACTTACTAACAAAAAAATAATACTTTTACGTAATAACTAACATGACATACTAAGTAGTAAGTGTCCAACAATTAATTAATCGTGCCTTTTCTTGAAATCGTCTGGCAGTGACGTTTAAAATAAGAAAATGAGACCAAAATATTAAAAATAAACAGTATTATGGTTACTTTGCTTTGTTCTGTAATTGAATTTCCCATTGTCATTCGACAAAATGTCTGTACTATAAAACAGCATAATGGCATGGTTGCTATATTTTAATATGGAGTAGAATTATTTATGTCATTTCATATTATACGTTATTCTTTGTACTAAAGCTCCGAAGACAGGCTACTGAAAGCTTCTAGAACATTGGCAGTCCACTTAGCGTGTGTACGTATATCGGTATTGGTCGCAAACCAAGTATGTGCTTCTTTTGATTTCGCTTCAAAAGTTATTTCATTGTAATCCAGTACAGCTGAATATTCTTTCTATATATTAATAAAAAATGTATCCATTATAAAATAAATGCGCTTTCAAAACAAAAATTAAGTGAAGAAAACAATTTGTTTAACTTTATATTCAAAATTAACAACGCAGAAAATATTCACTGAACGGAGTTTGATCATTAAAGTAATATTATAAACACAAAACTTGGTCAAACTCAAAGTGACTTTTGACGATAGCCAACAAGAGTACTATAAACAACCTGAGTAGTAATTTTGCTGGAAATATTGACATTCGCCCCTAACTTACGAGTTCCTAACATTTTCATTAATTGTGTAACAACTATTTCCGCACACACATAAATTAAATTAGAACAACCCTTATTATAGGTAGCTTTCGTAAACTTCATAATCTAACGGAGACTGTTTACCCGGAAGTTCAATATGTATATTTGGACGTCGCCAAAGCTATATTAATTGAAACTACATCACAAGCGCTATGGGAGGTGAATTTCGTTGGATATTGGGCAATAAATCTTGTATACTTACAGCCATAATTATGTATGTAAGTACGTATAAATTCATTGGTATACATTTTTATATGGCACTACATATATATTATATTATATGGTCTTAATAAAGTGCTTATCTTCGCAATAAAAAAAAAAAATACGCAATTTTTGAAATATATCTTTTTATTGGGACTTTAAAAGACTTGAATTTTTTCGAAAGCTATACCGGTACCAAAACTGTAAATACCTGGTATTACTATTCATTGCATTCAAATCGGTCTTTCCAATATTATATGGTTACGGTCAGAATACAAATGTGTATGTCCGTTGTATATTATTCACTCGGTTAACCTGCTATCATATAAGATTTTTTAAGAATAATCGATTCGTAATATATTCAATTTAGTATTACCATTTCTTATAGAAAATAAAAAGTAATGGCAAAAATGGATTTAAGAATAACGTATGTAGTAAATAACTGTGTCGTTAACTGCGAACGCATTAAAATAAATTGTTTCTATATTTTATTCAGATGTAAAGAAAAATCGTTAAAAATCGACATAGCACTCGTGTTGATGTTTTAAAAAAATATAGCAGAAAAAAAAACCATAAAAACAAATGCTTTATTAACTAGGTATTTCACTACTAATAAAAAATAAATTAACATATTATTTTTCGATAAACACAATTGTATTTAAATAATCATAAATGTAATAGTTTTCCTTGTTTCATTGCTGATTTTTTTGTAATATAATTTCGATACTTTTAGCTATAATACAATTAAATTAATACTGTCAACCGCAGGATTTTTTTTTATTTAAAAAAAAAATGTTGCTATACTGTTGCCAATGACACTGTTAATATATTTGTATTGCAAAGAGTTTAATTTCTATTTTTTTAGACAACATAGTGCAGCATGATATACTTTTTTCAATTTGTTTTATTTAATTAAATTTTTTATGTATAAATTATAATCAATGTGTATACACTTTTATATTATTATGGTCACGATTGTATTTTATTGTGTCGTGTTTCATTATTTATCTTGAAATTATTTCTGTTTTTAGTACTTTTTCGTTGCTTGTACAATGTATATAAACATTGATAAGCCAAACTCGGCTTGTTTTTATATAACTTATTGTTGGTTTTTAAAGGCTTAAAGAATTCATCAAATATTTTTTTTTTTTTTTAAGAAAATAATATGACAATTAAGTAGCTCAGCGTTATCCGCGAGTTAAAATGATGTCCGCAGCTGTTATGCTTTTTTGCATTCCGTTCTCCTTTTTCCGCCTTAATAAACGACAAAATACAGGAGTGAATCTTATCTACAAGTCGCTCGACTAGAAATTATCCTCTAACATTTTTCATTGATAAAACGCCAACTCAACAGGAAGATAAGGAAATTTCAATATCAGCTTTCTTAATTAGTTCTGAAACCAAAGCAAACGCCTAAGAGCATTTTACTAAAATGGAGTTATAATATGTTTTTTCTAAAGAAAAAATATTTCTTTAACACTCCTTTAGCTAAAACCATAGCTTTATTGTCAAACTTTTAGTGTACGGTTAAAATACAGTTATTTATCAGCTAGCTAAATAACTCTTTTTGTTTTTTATAATATTTTATTTATTTATTTTTATAATTGAACAATCCGAATTTTGATGACCATGTTCCATTAAAATTTGTTTACGTATTTGGCCATAAAATTAAATTCAAAAAGTTTTCTAATTAAAAAGTAAAGTTATTTCATTTAACATACATAAAAAAAAATACTTAATACTCGCATTTAAAAAATAATGATTGAAAATATAAATTTTTGCAAAAAGTAAAGTTTATTTTAAGTATCGATGTTTTGAAAAAACTTATTACATTTTACAAGTTATATAACATCATAATGTATAGCAAATGTTCGCTGTAACTTCAAAGTTACATTTTTATTGAAACTTTTTTGGACCATTTAAATTAAAACAAGAAACATTTATTTTTGTACCTCATATTTTCTCATTACGTCTATTAATTAGAATTGTTTTACTATGATTCGGTTTGTTAAAAAAAGGGTTACGATTTTCTTAGCGGCTTACAAAGTATTATGATTCCCGCTATAAAAAGTTATTTTAAATACAGTTCCATCGATTGCTGTTAGATTTAACATTGTAATTTTGTAATATTATTTATTTTTACTGACGCTTTACAAGTAGATGTTTTATAATTTATTACAGACCTTATTTTTGACCTGGTTATCAAAGGCTCTCATCTAACCATCAGCCATGTAAGAATTTGGTTTTGGATAACCACTTTTAAAACTTTTAATGTCCCAAGTTCAAATAGTCACTTCGGGAGTTCCCTAGGGTGAACATATCTATTTATCTTGCTATTTTCACAGCTGTGTAATAATGCTAACTTTATTCTCCAACACAATCGGTTGCTTTCTTTCACTAATAACATAATAAAACTGTAAAATGAAATCGAAAAATAATTTCATTTAATGAGAATGTCGTTTCTGTTTTATTATATTCAAAAGGGCATCTTTTAAATTTTTTAAAAGTAATCATTCCTTTTTTTGGAAATATTTTTAGCAGCAGGACATAATATTATCCCCAAATAATCTTCTTATTTTTTTTGTATAAAATTTGGATTCTTTGTGGAGCTACACGAATTTTTATTTTTGAGATTGAACTACCTGCTAAATAGTTATTTGCAATTTTATTTACGCAAACAAGAAAAACATTTAATTAAACAAATATCAGAATGATACATGCTAATTTTTTATACATTTTGAGGAAAAAAAATGTTTTATTATGAGGGAAGTTTATTGTGTAAGAATCAGATTTTATTTTACTTGAAAAAGAGGTAGATTGGTTTTTGATGTTTAAAAAATATATACTATTCATTAGATATACATTTAATAAAATACATATAAATACTATGAATTTTGTCGCTCATCTTAGTTATGACTAAAGACCTTCCCTAAAGGTATATGGAGTCAGTGGCGGTTATTAATTACTAGCGGTGCTCTAAGTGTAAAGGGCAATTTCTGATATTAGACATTTTGGAGAAGTACGAGTATATTCCTTGGCCTGACACGCAGTATCGCCTATGATACTATGTACTATATTAATACGGACACGGACAGTATCATCCATTTTAGCTTCGATGCGTAGCTGAGAAGGTATTGTTTTTACAATGATGTGTTTTTTTTGTCTGTACCTTCGATGTCTTCTAAACTAAATAAACCGTTGTCTTCGTGTAGCAGCTCTATAGATTAGAAATTGTACTTGTAAAGTATTTTAATGGCCTACAAATTAAATACGTTTATCCTTTTTCCTTCAAAATGGAGAAAACACCAAAAAAAAATGTACATATTTAATAAATAAATAAATTACAGCGCTCCATAACTTTTTTGAAAATAATCCTATCACTTTCAAATTTGTATAGAATATTCTAAAGACATAGTATACTATCGTTAAACGTTGACCACCTAAACAAATATCATAAATCCTTTCTTCTAGATGGGGTGGAAACTTTATATTTATTTCGCTTTTTAAGGTGAGGTTTTAAGTCTGAAAATTAGGACGAAGTTAAATCTAAAATAGGGTTATAACAAATGTAAATATTCTCAAAAATCGGTAATCAAACTTTTTTTTATCAAGCAAACACCAAAAAAGGGGAAATTTACACTTTGACCATAGTCTGTTTCTAGGTTGCTATGTGTGCGTGAATCAAAAATCAACAGGTATACGCAAAATATTTTCATAATGTTGTTATTTACGATAAATGGGTAACTACGGCAACAAATTGTTATATACAGACGATCAACCCTAACCGTTATCGTATCTACCCTAATACTAAAAACACAATTTTCAGCACATTATTGAAAGCGATTTTTAATATATCCACGGATACGCATCGAAGCGTTTATTTGAAAGTGATTTTATCACTTTTAATTTAAAATTCTTGTAGACCTATGACTTCTCCCGTTCTAATATGCTCCGTCCCTACTATGTTCCGAACCCATTTTACTGGCTTTTTTCATTTTTAGCAGAAATTCACGAATATATTATCTATTTACCAATAGTGTGATCTGCACAATGTTTTTGAAAATAAAAGGAATTTCGGTACCAACACGATTTAATATAATTTGAAAAAAATATGAGACTGCATTATTGTAACATTTTTTAGTCTGAAAGTATGCAATCGACATACTTATTGGTAATGTATCAAGTTTACATACAGATGGTTCAGCGTATAAATATCATAAATGCTTGTTTTAAATTATTTTATAGGAACGATGGTGGAAAATGTACGAGTATAATGCTATGTTATTCCATTTATTTGATTAACCTAACGTTCATATTAGTAACACAACTTTGTATATTTCGAATATTTTGCATCCAATATTTGTACATAATCTGTAGAAGGTATTTCGATATTTGGTAGATAAAATTTAATTTAAAAAAAATATATATAACGTTTATACATTTTGCAAGTAACAATTTTGAAACATTAAAATTCGATCTAGAAAAAACTGTTAAGCAAACTTATGGTTAAATATATAGTAAAGATATAAAATCTACTTGAACCCTAAACCATAAAAATTATACATGCTGTCAGCGCTGAAGATGACAACATCGTTGTCGTAACACGTGTACGCAAGAAGTGTATAATTTTTATGGTTTAGGGTTCAAGTAGATTTTATATCTTTACTATTAAAATTCGAGTTAAAACATCTTTATAGCTTATTTAAAACAGTTAATTTTTTTTAAATGTTGTACATTGATGCAGTATGGGTAGGATATTTGCGGAATTTCAAGGTAAGACATATGTACATTATTAGATTGCTTTTCTCGATTTTAAAGGGATAAGTTTTTACAACTTTTGGCATTATAAAATACCTTAAGTGTAAGCTTTTAGGATTTATAGACTTGCTACACGAAGAATCTGGGCTAATAGCTAAAAAGTTACCGTGAGTCCAGTAAATCTGGACTTGAATACATAGTATATATATAAATATAATAATAATATATTAGTAGTGGAAACTCTACTTTGGCAAGTAAACTAAAATGATGAAAATTCGAAAATAAAGGAGGCCGGAGAGTTTCCCGTGTGATTTAGTTTATTTTTATGTACATGCTGATGTAATATTAATGGACGAAACAATGTGATATCAGCGATATCTTTTTCTCGGGTTTTCGGTGAACGATTATTCGTTTTTGTCCTATTTTACCGATCACTCGGCTTAGCCTCTGCGGTATACGCGCACTGGACGAGTATATCATGACTTTTGGGACCAACTGTTCAGCGTAGCAATATTATTGTAAAAGCTTTTGGCGCGTTTAGTTTTTCGACGTGACGCCGGAGCGTCGTCGATAAAGAGATAATATGTATTATGATTATTTTTTTTTTTTTTTTAAGAGAAAGAGACAGACTACACATGCACGGTGGCCGTCCACGCACAGCCAAAACCCACAGGCTTTGCCCGCATGGGATATGCCCGTGTGTGTGTACTGTGTATGTATAAAACACAGCCGGCAGGAGCTTGCGCGCGCTCCACGAACAGATGTCGTGTGTCCGCGGATAGACCGGCGTTTTATCCGGCACGGCGTTTGCCATTCGGTCGGCCGACTCCGTTGTCAGTACCCGATCGCCGGTCTTTCCGTCGTCGCCATCCACGTTTTAAATTAATACCATTTTACGGTCACAAAGTCTCACAAAGGCGTGTGTGTGTGTGTGTGATGTTAATTTATCCGGTTTCCCGGTGGTCGTCTCGTGTCCTGTATAATATCCTGTTATCGCCCGTAGTGTGCACAAAGTGAAATATTGGCGCCCAAAACCGACCGAGGGTAAGATCACAAAAATAGTATTATATTATATGTATATTCCACGTTAGTCCCGACGTTTAATTAAATATTATTGCTAAGACGATCTCGATGGAACGCAAACTATGGCCGTTATTCGCTAAAAATCCCCCCCCTCTTCCTCACACTCGCTCTCTCTCTCTCACTTGCTCGCGAGATAGGACTAGAATAATAATAACATGAATTGGATCCTCGAGGGGATAATACAGCTTTTTTTTAAAAAAAAATTAATTAACGGAACAACTCGTTTTAATTATATTTTCAAAGATTACCTGAAAAAGAAGGGTATTGTCTATTTTTAGTGACGATGCGCAGCTGAGAAGGTATTGGATTTACGATAATGTGTTTCTATTTTTTGTAATATTCTTTTGTGTCTGGTCCCACGATACCTTTTTAACTACCAGACCTATTTCTTGGTGTAGCAAAGCTATCGTTCAGAAATCATACCAAAAAAGTACTTTATATAACCAAAAATTAAACAATTTTACCCCTTGCTCCTCAGAATCGAGATAAACTTTGAAAAAATGTACATATTTTTTTACTTCAAATTAATGCACGCCATAACATTTTGAAAAAAAGTCTAATTACTTACAAACATTTGTGAGATATCCTTTAGATATACCACTGATAAACCAAGAAAATATTCAAAACCCTTTCGGTAGATTCTTTTTCCTTATATTTTTCTTTTTTGGGGTGCAGTTTTAGATTTTAAGGTCGAAAAGTGACACTGAACTAGATCAGAGTAGCGATCTGAAGTAGATTTAGTATAGCTCTATAAAAAAATGACTTAATATTTTATTAAATGTTCAATAAATAAGTCGAAATGAAGTTGTCGTTCAAGAAAAAAAACTAATCTGTAAAGACACATTTGTATTACGAAAACTTAAAAAAATCAAATCACACGATTATAAACATGATTTATTGTGTAAAATATATTTATATTTACATTGAATGGTTTTTACTACACACGGTTTCGCATCCAAGTGTTATTGAAAGAGATTTTGTCACTTTCAGTATCATAATTCCTAAAGACTTGTGATCTCAGTGATTCCAATTAGATCCACAATGCTAGCTGTTTTTACTGCAAATTAACTGCAAATATTACCTATATCGAACCCGTTACCAAACGACTAAGTTAGTTATAATATAAGTATATATTATATACTTATTATATTATATATTATTATATATTTTATAATCGATTTTATGTTAAAAAAGACAATTAAAGTTGTTCGGTGCAAAATATAATGGCCATAATCCACAATTGTCTTAAAGCAATACATTTAAATAGCCTTTATAGCATAATAATAGCATTATTATTAATAAAAGGGTTTCGTTTTAACATTAAAAAGTCATAAAAAACCACAATTGGCAATCATGTTAACTCGATTTTCCCTCATTCAAAAGTGAAACTATGTAAGTGTTGTGAACATTTCGTGTAAACGAAAATCTGAGTTAAGGGATTATCACATATTTATATTCTATAATATAATTAACGCAGAAAATAATAAAAATATTATACTTAAAAGTCCGCGTAGAATATTTCTCTAAGCCACAAAAGTACTATGTTCTGCAGTCGTGTAGTTGAAATTGTTAAGTCTTTTCTAATTATAAACGTGTACATATTATACAATAGCTATATAGTTGATGTCAACAATCAATTAATGTAGGTAGTAAAATGTCAACAGTTATCTGTGGTAAAATGTTTGTCATTTCAAATGTACCATTGTTTGATAATGACATTCAACGATCTAGAGTCTAGACATCTCAATATTAAATTAGGTTACTCGGTTTTAACTATTCATAGACGAAATGTTTTGGACTATTACAAATCTCGTACTTTAGGAATAGAACATTTTCAAAGAGAAAAAATATTCAGCTAGTTGTATGAAATAAAAATCTAGTATGGTTTCCAGTCGGATATTTTCATATTACCTTAGGGCGTTGACTATATTAACTTATATTCAGTAAGCTCGTATGCATTACTCAAACCGTTTGAGTGACACTTACAATTTGAAACTGTCATGTAAAAAGTATACTTTACGGAAATTTGTTTATGCAAATAGCGAAGTCAATTTTTTTGTTGGTGTTAGTAAGATACAATAGGGACAAATTGTATTTGTATAGCTGGTCAAAATTCAAAATTTATAAAATGGAAAATCCAAACTATCTAAATTAATTACTTCAATATACGTGCCAATAATTATATTATTAACAATTATCGGGTAAGATATTCGGGTAATGTAAGGGTTAGAGCGAACGGCGACGGTCAACTAGACCCAAATACCGCAATGTGTATAAACGATCAATCACAATGCACGTGTTTCGCAAAGGTATTTCGGATGCTATTATTTTGCTGAGATATCCCATTATTATTATATCAATCCTGTTATTAGAAGACCGGTAAACTATAAAAGGGGCTGATGTTCATTTTTCTTTGAACGACACAATGTCTAAAGTAATATATTACAATAATACACAAACGGAATTTATTAAGACTCGAATTTGAAGTACTAAAATATGCATAAATAAAATATATTATTTGTTATTTTGAGCCTAATATTATCTTTCTTAAACAAGTGTAACCTCATTATACAACTCATCAAAACCCCTTATTTACAAAATCTACCATCTAAAATACTTAAAATTTGATTTTAGGAGGTTAAAATTAAATTTAAATTAAATTTTCTTTAATTTGGCCACATTATTTTATTATTATCTTAAAACGTACCTAAGTCTTTCGAAAAAAACGGTTGGAATAATTCCAAAATTTGTTATAAGACATTTTCTTAACCCCTCCCAGACTGACATTTTTCTAGCATATAACTTAAGAAGTTTTAATAGTTAAAACTAAGAATAAAGGTATATAACAAAATGAGTTTATGTAACTCGCTTATATTTATAACAAAAGGTGTTACGTTGATTATAAATATGTATATTATATTATAAATTATAATATTTGAACTTCATTTTTAATCATTAAGAGTATGTGTAATACATAATATTGAATTATAATCCAATTATTTTTTTCTTAGGTATTGCTTATGGTCTCAGAACTGAAGTATTCGAATTATGTTAATTTCAGTTCGCATACAATTTATGGAAATTTGGCAACGTGGAGAACGTGTACAATAATCCATCTGGATTACATAATTCACTTCTATGCCTTATGAAATATGCTTATAATTGAAATCACTAAATCCAAAATAATTGAAATAGTGTAAAAGCACATTCTGTTCTGGCAAGCCTTCCACTTTTAAATAGTTAATTTACATATTATATTTCAACTTAAATTACACTTTTCAATAAAAAAAAAATCTAGTGTAGGCACATTTAATAAACTTACCCCTAACATAATTATCACAATCCGGATAAATATAGAGTTCTTTGGAAATTTATATTGATAAGGGTTTTTTGTTTAGGATGCAATTAAAATATTACATTTTAGGCTACATAATATGTAAGAGATATAATTTCTTATAATTTACAGTATTCGTTTGGTAATATTTGACTTATTTTAAGTTTTCGAAGTTAGTAAATTAATGAAAAATATGTATTCAATATTTTTTTAATTTTAAATTTAGTTTTTATTATTTTATTTTTCTTATAATAAGTAATAAAATAAATAAATAAGTATTGTTTTTTACTCGAATTCTTATATACAAAATATTATACTAGAGTCAATGATTATATCGTAAGCTACCAACTTTGTAAGTTTAAACTCGACTTTTCCACTTTGTAATTAAAGTCATCGTCCTACGACGGTTAATATTACATTCTTGAAGCACAGCCTTTATTTGCATTTTAATTCATAATTTATGAACATATTACTGTACTGCACTGTATAGGACTTGATAATCAAATTCATATATTTATTTGGGGTTTTAATTGTTTTGAGCGTACAAATATACTTAATGCTTAAAAACAAACAAAACATTTCCTATGAGGGACGTTGTCGTCATGCATTGTGGGTTGCATTCGAGTCATTCACACTGTACTGTCAACAAAACTATAAACGATAAGTTCTAAACATTATTCTGCCACTCAAGTCATTTCAAACATTTTCTATCAGGCAATGCTGTTTGTGATGGCAATTAGTGATGAGTATAGAACGGTTGGATTATTGATTTTAAACTGAGTTCATAGCTACAATTAAAAGTTATAAATTAAAAATAATAAATCGAAGCAAAAACATTAATTTCTTCAACAAAAGTGATGATTGACTGTTGATTGAGTGGTTTTAGTAATATTATTGTTTCATTTGCAATGACGTTAATGAACTGTTCTCTATAGACAGAGTAAAAAATACGGATGAAGTCGTTTGAATGTGCCCTCTAAATTATTTGATGTTGCGAATACAGGTAAACGTCCGTTAATACACATTTCAAGAGATTAGTGAAAACCGTATTTTTTTTAGTTGCATGGACTTTTATAAATAAATTGAAATATCAAATTCATGGTTTTATACTTTATAGTATAACATACACACACACGCAAATACATAAAGACGTCACAGCTAAACTGAAGGTTGATTGGTAATATTATATATAATTGTCAATTGTCATTGACCATCGGCAATGAATGATTTATAGGGTCGCATGTGGGTTAATCGTGAACGAAAAACTAGACTAGACTAGAATATAATACGGTAATTACTTAATCACTTGGTGTTAACGCTTTATTAATTTAGGTAACATGTATCAATATAAATTATGTAATATATTAACTATTGTGAAATCTAGCGGGAATCATAGTACAATCAGCTTGGATTTATTATTTATTTATAATAATATAAATTAATGGGCACGTAAACTGTCGGATGGTATAAAATATGTACCATATTCCTTGGTCTTTGAGGACTAGTGCGCCCCTCTACCAAAATATATGTTGTGCTACGGTTATTGTGTTAACTAGTGGTATCAAATTCAAACAGCAGGTCAGTCCCTATAATATTGTGTATTCTACTGGAAATGCGGTTTTTTTAC